GATTGCCTGGACCGCAACTTCGATACCTGACTCTGGAGAGGCCCAGAAGGGCGCAGACACTGACAAATCCACTGTGGGTGGCCTGGGGTCACCGACTCTGAACGTCTCAGAAGGACGGGACTCTGGACCGCCAGAAGGCCCAAACTCGATGCGGTAGTCCGTCACTGATGCATTCTCAGGTATGGGAATTTCGACGTCGAATGTGCCGAACTTCTCGTCAACCTGAACTTGAAGCACATCCTCCAGCTTCAAATGGCCCCCTGTATGGTTGAGGGGTGGTATGATCGATAGGATGGACTGCTGTATGTCTGAAGAAAAGAGGCTCAAGCCTTCCTGGTCCATGACGAAACCCTTCACATGCAGCGACTCGCCTGGCCTGACTAGCTTCCGATCCAGCACAAGAGAGGCTCGGGTTCGACCCAGGGAGTGCTCATCGATGCTCACACGTGGCAGAAACAGGTATTTCTTATTGTGCTTGATCACAAGCAACATACGCTCAGGTTCAACCGGGACAATGGCACGGCCGTCGGTGCCTGTAGTCACATTTCCCAGCAGCTCCCTCTCCAACTTTCCACTTGGGGTTGAGAAAATCATCACCTCCACTCCCTCCACAGGGGTGCCATCTACCAGTGATGTCACCCACACAGTGGCATTACCCTTGCCATCGATCACTCCAGCAGAAACAATCGAGACCTGCACATCGGTCTCCGTGATAACCTGCTTCTCAAACATGCCATTGCGGCAGCTCTCATGGACAACCGTTCCAGTTGCATTGAATAACTCAGGAACAAACTTTCCTTCAACAAACTCGCCTGGCTCATTTGCATCGATTTTGAATTCCAAATCTGCTCCCCCGAACAACTCCTTCACAGAACCACTGTTGGGAAGCTGCAGAATGTCGAGCACGCCTTCAACATCTTCTGTACTTTCGATTGCATAGATGTCAAGCGCCGGGGCGCCGCAGCCACTTATGAAGGTTGTTGAGAAGGGGCCCCTGCCAAGGGCGATCACTCCATTGGTCCACTCTGGGTGGCCTGCTTCAAAGTAGGCAAGAGGAGGTGCCGATCGCGCCATCAACGGCAAGAAGAATGAAGCAGCTGCCGTGCCCGTAAGGGCGATCTCAGAGGGCAGAAGAGGCTGCCCGTACCGGTCAGTCACCGGGAGGTCCGCAGGCACCGAGAGCCCGTACAGGCCCAGGGGCTTGAGGTCCGAGGCGTTCAACCGCAGGGTACCGTCGTTTGGAAGCTCCAGCGTGAAATCCACTTCCAAGGTCTGATCGTCGCCGACCAGGATCAGCCCCCCCCGAAGAGCCTCCAGCGCCTCCTGAGGCCTCTCCAGCCCATGAGGCAGCCACATGTCCAGCACCGGCGAGTTTATGTCCACATCCCCCAGCACAAAAGGTATCCTGAACGGCCTAAGCCCGGCGAAGCGCGCCTCGCGTGCCTGCAGCAGCCTGCCCGCGCCAGCCCTCCGCGTGTAAGCGGCTGTCTCCTCAAGGACCAGCGTGTACGATGTGTTGGGCAGAATCCCCCCTTCAATCCTCACCGCCGCGCATTTCGTCTCCCCTTCAATCTGGCCGGCATTCCCGACCGCCGACGCATCCTGGCAAGTCTCCACGACGGCCCTGAGCGCAAGCGAGCCCCCGTTGGCCACCGTCGACCCGGCCGCCTCCTTTACCTTCAAATTCTCACTCAACAGGTCCAGCGCCACGCCGTGGCTGAACTCCAGCTGTATGACCCCGTCCGGGGGCACCTCCGGCAGCTTGTCGCCGTCCTGGCCCACGAACGGGTCCCACAGGCCGCTGGTGAAGTTCTTGGCCTGCTCGGATACCACGGTCCGCACGGACATCTCCAGCGACTCCGTCACCAGCGCCACGGACCGGGGACCCTCCAGGGACAATGGCACGCCGTCGAACGTCACCAGATTCTCATTGAGGGCAAATTCAAGCGTCAGGTCGGAGGGCCAGCCGCCCGCGGGGTCAAACCGGGCAACGTACGTGGTGACCCACCGCAGGCGGCCCTCCACGGCGGGGGTGAGCGTGAAAGGCGTGTGGTTGGCAGGGATCCCGTCGTCCCCGAATCCCGCGCCCAGCGCCACCACGGACCGGGAGAATACCACGGCCAGGGGCTGCGAGCCGCCAATGGCGATCGGCCCCGCCGACGTGGCCAGGTCCCCAGGCGTTGTCAGAGTGACTTCCAGGGGCAAGGAGGCGCCCAGGACGCTGTCGGGGGCCCCAGCTTCCGCACCCTCTGCGGCGTCCTGGAGAATGACCCGCCCGCCGCAGCCGACGACAAGCACGGCCAGGCAGCAGGCCGCAGCCCATCGCGCGGGCAGTGGACCACACATGTGGCCCCTGGCCAGCTTCCGGGCCGCAGCGGGCAAGGGATGTCCGGAACGGCCAATGCCCGGGGGTCTTCTGCGCATCGAAAATCAGCGCTCGCCCCGCTTGGAAAAGCGCGGGGTCGGTGGGTAGGCAGGCGGGCGGGGGTGCCTGGGAGGAGAGGCTGGCGAAGCAGCCCGCAGCCAGGGAGCTGATCGTGGCGCCCTCTGGGCGTTCAGGGGTTTTGGCTGGGTAGTACCCGGCAGTACTATATGGCGTCATACATATGACCGGGGCCAACCTCACGCTATCCAAATTTGCACCTTCATCCAGGCGTCACGTTTACGGGCGTCCTGCACGGCCCCGACTCACTGACGAAGGCAGGCAGGATCGCGGGGTGGCGATCCCTGAACGGGAATTGGACACTCAGGGTCCACGGCAACGGTTTACAGCCGAGGCGAAATGACAACAGGCGTTCTGTCCTTTATGCTCAGTCCTTTCATCAGCGTCCTTAACGCAATTCCTATTGCTTCATCATCTTTTCGTGCATTCAGTTATTAATAATGCTCAATCAGTTCTAGCTGCAACACCACCTTCGGTAAATGGAGAAAAAGTGATAGCGATGATCGTATTAGCGCAGGTGGAAGGGCGAATGCTTGTTTTTTGCGACAATGGACCAGTGTTCGCTTAGCTGCATAATGACCAGCGTTTCACTGAGTGGATCGCTTATGCTTGATGGGTAACGGTTGGTGTGCATTACAAAGCGTGATTCGCTGCTTGCGATGACCCCCAGAAAACGCTGCAGCGGAAAATATTGCTATGAAACATGCAAAGGTTCTTCACACCGGGGTGTCACAATTCCTGGTGCGACATTGAGCTGGTAGCTTCCCAGCCCATGTGTACTCCTTTGCTTGAAGATTGGCAGTTTGTGACAACAAGAAGACATGTTCATGAAATTCTCCTTGAGCCATTTCTTTGACTCAATTCTGAAATCGTTTGACCTAATTTGGTTCTTGAGGTAGTTTCGATCACCCTCATGTTTGCAGGGGACAACATGAGCTTTATGAAAGAACGCAAAGCAGTTCATGGGCTTTTGTGACGGATGACGGTCCTTGGGGGCTGAACAGGTGGATGCGTGGTTGTGAGGCAGGAAGAAATTTGGTCATGTTTGGCGCCGCCGTCGGCAAGGAATGTTGTGTTTGGGCTTGGAACCGGACGAGCAAATATGTGTGCCCGAGTTCTGCGTGGGAGCCGCCTTGCAAGACTGGGCGTGAGCACCGCTGGGCCGGCGTCGAGCGCATGGTGTGACCGCGCTGCCCGTGTGCACCCGAAAGGAGCGGTTTGAGTCGCATCAACCGCCTTCCCTTCAAGACCAGTCTTTTTTGGGTGCAGTGCCAAAACAATCTTTCTTGCCAACAGCGAATTCATTCTCTTGGGCGAGCGTTGTTCTTTCCCGCGACAGCAGCCATGACATGAGCGTAGCTTGGAAGCATGTGAAGCCCACTGGCCAAGCCATCCATTGGACGCCACAGTGCCCCATTGTGACTTATCCTCTGGTTGGCAGATGCGGGCCGTCCACCCGTGCTCACTGACGAATGCGCTGAACGGTTTGAACAATGAACCCAAGAAGCGTGACAAGTTCCGGTGGCGGATGCCCATGCTTTGGGTCGATAAAGAACGCCGGGAGGGGGGATGTGTGCCGTGAGATGCAAGCTTTTGAGGTATTTTTGCATCTTAGAGAGCATTCCAGGACCACGGGAGAACAGAACGTGGCACCAGAAACTGCACCCAGTTGGCCATAGCGCTGCATTTCTGCACCATGCACTGCACAGCTGTAGTCCTTTTTAGGTTACCGTTTCAATAGTATTTCACAAGCTATAGCGCTAAAGCGTAGTTGGGCAGTATGTGATGGGGTACAATAGAGCATATCGAAAACTCTTCCAGCACACTGAGCTCCAAACAGAAGGCCATGGTTTGTTATTGCTCTATAGGGCAGATGGCATGCGCCGACGCAGCCCCTTGCAGCCGTATTTTGAGCATCCGCAGCCCGTCTTGCGAAAAGAGAGCCCAATTTTCTGCCATGCGGACTGACCCTGGCGCCCCAAACCGGTAACCCTCAGGTACTGCAGGGCTCCACTTCTCAGGGCAGTTAAATACTAATCAACAATGAGCTAAACCTCCTGACCGCCAGAACAAAACCCGGTCGCCTCCCCTGTTGCACTTTAGTCTTGGTCACTGTCGAATGCACCCCTTCCAACAACAGCGATGCTTCAAATGGCCTACTTGCATAGCACCTGGCCCCACTTCGTTGTCTTGGTCCTCCAGCTGACAGGCCGCGTTGCTGTTCAGTCGACCCGAGGGACAAGCAGAGACACCCAAGAGCAACTCATGATAGTCGCTATTGAATTGCATCGAGATACATCGTTGGTGACTGCAAATGAACTAATAAGAATTACTTTTGTCAGACATTCTAGTCACGCAAAGATGTAGTTGGCAGTCGGCCAGCGCAACTGCATGAAGTCGATTGTGTTCCAAGAGCAGAAACTGGATGGGATCATTGCTTTCGTTCCCCTGCCGAACCGTGGGGCTACACTCCAGACAGGATGTGTATTGGACGCAACATACCCGACCTATAGCTCCATGTCACCCACACGGCTTGAAACTCTTCACTCAATATCGCCTACAGTATTTCTGAGTCCGCTACCACATATTGTGCCTGCATGCCCGCCGACAAATGATCATGGACGTCGCAGTAGATGTCGTACACGCCCGTGGGGCCGACAGGGGCCGTCAGATCCACCACGAAGCTCGTTGAAGGCATCACCTGCATTAACCAGCCAGGCATACAACGCATCATGGAAGGTTCGCAACGTCGGCTATTGATTGTGGCGTGAAGAAGTTGTGTCTGACGATGCGGAGAGCAGGTCGTAATATGGACACTACTCCTGAACAAACATTCTGCCTGGCAACGACGCATCGCATTGGTCAGACTTCACAACAGGAGTACAAGCTGCGGCAACTTCACACACGAGTTGAAACTCCAAAACTCGAGAGTTGCTTCAACTCTGCAGTCCCTATTGCAAGCATCGGATGCCCAGACATCTTGAAACTGTTGACTTGCTGATGCGGCAGACAGTGCCACAGCAATATGGCTCAGCGATGGGCAACACTTCAACGACACAGGAACAAAAAGGTGTTTGTCTGTGAAGATGAATTCATGCCGGGCAGTGACGACAGAAATTCATGCAGCACCTCACCTGCACAGCAGCCACGTTCTGGCCCCGGTGCACCAAAGGAGCTCCAGAAAATATTGGGACATGCATGTCAGTCTCAGACCCCATCCCCATCAGAACCACTTGCAGCAGGCTGTCCTTGTACAGCTTGATCCTGGGCATGTTGCAGTACAGGTAACCATTGACGGCATGCATAAGGTTAGACTCTTCAAAATCCTCTGACTCTGTGTCAACCGTGGAGTTCAGGAGTGCCTCAGCCACTGCAATGTTATCATCAAGGTATGGGCTCTCATTCTCGTTCTGGATGGCGAACAGCAGTGGCACGATGCCATCGACACCCTCCACCATGCTGCTATTGGGCTTCAGGGCCCCAGGGGCAGCCACCAGCAGAGGCCCCACCAGTCCCGCGTTGCTCTGTGCCACAAAGTCCACTGTGGAGGTGTAGATGTAGGAGGCAGTGTTGGGCACACAGCCGCTGCAGGGACCTGCATCCTCAAGCACCTTGAATTCATACTGCTGGGTGCCTCCCGGGGACACAACACCTCCCCCCAATACCTCATTCTCAGTTACCAAGCCACCCACATTGAAATTGGCATCCTGATCTGTGAGGTTGTTTCGGAACAACACACGCAGGGTGGCACCAGCTTCGACCACAATCAGTGGACCCACAATGCCATACTGGGGGTCTTTTGGGAGTAGCTCTGTGAATGTGTCATCCGTGTAGGCGTTGAAAACTGCCTTCTTGTATTTGCTGCCCAGGGTGGTTTCTGTTGTCTCTGTGAACACCAGCTGGTCTTCGTCGAAGGGCTCCCCAGTGCAGCCGTCATAACCAAAGGGCGTGTAGTCCCAATCCACCTCATCCGCCGAAATGAAGTATGTACGTACAGCACCATTGCCCTGGGGGACTGCCATGTTGCTGGCCTCCACAGTCAACACAGCCACCATGCCTGCTGCAATGTGGTCTGCAATTCGGCATGCGATCTGGAAACGCCCAGGCACCCGCGGGACACTGTCCGCAACTGTCATGCCACCTGCAATCAAACGCTGCTTGAATGCTATGGGCCTCAAGACGAAATGCCGATCTTTTGCTAGGAGGCAAAGAGAATGCAGGAGTATATGTACCAAATCACAGCTCACCCATTTGTGGTGTGTCAGGTGGGTGGTGTGGTTGCCAATCAGGGAATGGCACTCTGGTTGTGGACACTTGTAGGCATATGGGCAATAGGCAGGTACGCAATGCCTTCAAGATAACAGCGATCTTGAATGCGGTGATCAGCAGCCCACCTGCAATGAGCTGCAGTGTCTCCTCTGGCTCGCCCAGACCAACCAAGGTTGCCGCCTGCATGTTCGGTGTGTGCATGTCGACCTCGGTTCCCAGAGCCATGACATACCACCGCACACGTTGGCCTTGAGAGACAACAAGGTTTGGCAGGTTGCAGTATAAGAAGCCGTTGATCTGGTGCATGAGATTCGATTCTTGGAAGCCCTCATCCTCCTTCAGCTCTTCTGCCTCATCTTCCCCCAAATTGGGCAGGAATGTGGCGATGTTGTCGTCAAACAGCAGCGACTCGGCCTCATCGATCACGCTGAAGAACAGAACCACCTCTCTGTCCACGTCCATGGGCATGGCGGTTTTGGGGTCAGCCACGTCCGCTCGTGTCACAATGAGCGCCCCAACCAGACCCGTGTTTGTGTCAGCAATCTCGTCTACATGAGAATGGTACATCCACAGGACAGAGCTGCCATCCTTCTTCCCTGCAAAAGTCAAGAAAGTAGCCAAACCGCTTGCAGCTCTGTTGTGCCAGTTGTCAGCGTACCAACACATAAGTGATAAAAGGCAGTCCGATGCATTGTTGGTGCTTATTGTCATGTATGAGTATGTCTTGTGTCAACGAGTCGTTGTCATGCATTTGAGGGCAGTCCTACACCATGAACAATGCATTGGTGTTGCTGATGTTGGAAGGGTACAGCAACAAGGAGCAGCTACCACTTGCTTTTGGACAAGCCCACCCAGGTAAGAAATGCAGTCTGTTATACTTTTCAGGCTACATTCTGCACTTCGACTGAATTCCTGTTTTGTTTTGCACCACACCACGACCGGGCTTTTGGTTTTTGCTGCACTGAAAAACCAAATCGAATTCGCAGTGTCAATGAGCATCAGCTACAGCCTGCAGTTGCACAGAAAATCGAAGCTTGAGCAGGGGAGCATGCAAGTTCAACTGCAGTATATCTAGGAAGGCCACAGAACCTGCAATGACTTATTTCATACCATGGTCGCCGATCTTTCCACATTTGAAGCACCCAGTGATTCTCCATTACAGCGACCCCTTCCTCACCTGGCCCTGCCCGATCGACAACGTGCCATGTCATGATGACAGTCTGATTCTGCTCCACAAAGTCATCAAGCTTGTCGTCTCCAGAAGTGCCATCTGCATAAGGCGTACCTTCTGAATCCTGGTGGCACATTGAACTGCTATCAATGTGCTATGCAAATTATCAGGCGTAGAATTAGGACCCCTATGTTGCAGTCTCTCAAAAACCACTTCACTCGCCCGATCCAACATACTGATCGAACATGAGCCCTTACACCATCGCTGCTAAACAGCTGGGAACTTGAAGGCAGAAGCCTTGGTCTAGCACACACTGTGCACATTGACTGACAATGGCGAAATCTACCAATTAACAAGCGTAAACCCTCCCTTTGCCACTCTTTGCAACAAAGGCATGGAATGTAAAACGGAGCCTTCAGTATGTTCAAAAAATATCACAACAAAGCACATATCAGGCAATGAGGCAGTCCTCTCGTCAATTTGGACTGACTGCCAAAGTGGAACACAGCATGCTGGGTAAGGCGAAGTGCATGCACATGCTGGGACCAGTCGTGACTTGCACAACCCATCGGCCACATCCCTGATTGATGAGTATGTTGATGCGTTCATGGGCAGCTGGACAAGCAGTTGGGGTGCAGCCTGTGTCTTATGACCCACCTTCTCATACAGCACCCCATGGGGGTGAACGGTGACAGGGTGCAGAACGTTCTTGTTCATGAACGTTATCTTCATCGTGTCACCAACGGCCGCCCTGAGAATGGGGCCCAGGAGCCCCAGGTATGCATCCTCTGGATCCCGCTCCACAGGAGTTGCGAAAGAGGCATCGGTATACTGCACATACCGTGCCTTCAGATATTCACTCCCAATTGTGGTCTCTGTGCGCTCCAGAAAGACATTCTCATCCTCACCAAATGGCATCCCATCCTTGCTGCACAAGTTCATCTTTTCGGGGACATATTCCCAGTTGACCATCTCTGCTGCAATAAAATATTCTCGAAGGACACCAGTGCGCTGGATTTCGGCAAGCTGGCCAGTGACAGTGTATGTCATAATCATGCCAGCTCGAATGTGGTCATTAACATGGCAGTGCAGCAGCCAAGTTCCAGGATCGTCCATAGTCATGTCCTGCACAGTTTCATTCCCAACTCTCAGAAACTAAATCTTTGAACCTGCACACCAAGATAACTACAACATCCTTTTGAAGTCATTTGAATATGTGTGGTCATACCCTTCCAGCATTGGAAAAGACGCCATGAAATGTTCACTTTTTCTCTGCTTCATGGTTGGGCAGCCACAATGCTGCTGGAGTGCCTGTGCTGCACATTTATATCTATCCTCAAGGTTCGAGGTCACATTAAAGTTGGCAACAGTAGGTTTAGGTTATGTTTGTGTGCGGAATCGCTGAGCGAGACACTGTCAGTCCCTGCTTCAAACAGGCTCGCATGACTGGCCATTTTGCATGGATCTATGATGCACCTGAAAAGTGGCATCAAGAACACCCCTGAGCTGCCAATGTAAAAACAATGAAAAACTGATGAAAGAAACTGCAGGAGTGAAACTTAGGGGCATAGCCATTGCATAAGGTAAAGCACAGTAAACGCTAAAAAGTACTGACACCATTGGGTGAACATACTCGTGGTTGTTGTCCAGCTCATATTGATTTGATGCATGGTTTTTTCGTGTTGCACTGCAACCTATTGCATTTGATCAACTCACCAGAGAATAGGCCACGCCCGGAATGAGATGTAATGAGTCCATCTGGTTTCCATTAAAGTTGAATGTATGGCCATGCCAATGGGCAGTGTGGAGGTCAACCTCATTCCCCACTGCCACCACATGCCAGCGCACAACATCACCAACGGCTGACTGTGGAGGCGGCAAATTGCAATACACATAGCCATTGATCCCATGCATCAAGTTGGACTCCTCAAAGTCTTCCTCCTCAAGACCAAAGTCTTCTGCTGTCCGACCCGCCAGGTTGTCCCCCAGGAAGGGGGAGTCATTCTCATTCCACACTTCCAGCACCAAAAAATACTCCGCATCCACGTCCATGGCTCGACCAGCCTCGTTTCCTGCACCTTTCCTTGCAACCACAACAGGACCAAGCAGTCCTGCGACATAGGGAACATCAAGTATTTCAGAGCTGATTTAGGGTCTCATGCTGATGGTGTACTGTTTTGTGAAGCCAAACATGGTGAACGTACAGAAGCTCATGACAAGTCGTATCACCTACCCCAACTAACATCACAAAGGAAGGGCATTCTCGTCCACAGCATTTGCCACAACATCACAAAGCACTGCCCTTGCAGCTTGAAGTGTATGTCGAGCATACTATCAAGGTTACTTTCGCAAAGACAGTCCCATTCCCCTTCATGCAGGAAGGACAACAGCCAAGGCTGGAGCGTGGTTCCGTCCATTGTCATGATGTCTTCCTGCATCTGAGTGTTGGTCAACCCTGCTCTGAGACTGCACATCTTTCATGCAGCAAAATTTTTTGCCGGCCAGATCCTGAAGTTCAGCACTGTGCCCAACCCGACTCAGTTCATGTTCAAACTCGTGACTGACTCTCACAATTGGATTGTCAAATGACGCATTTTCTATTGTAAAAGTTGAAAGAATTGGTCCAATTCTGGCTATTCCTGTCTAATACCAAAATTACTGAAGCCTGTGCTGAGCACACCCACAAGCTCCCAACAAGATCAAGTCATGTCCAAGCACGCAAAGATGCATGATGCTACCCATGTACAACATCCTTTTATGGTGGCAAGGTGTTCAGCAGATGCACTAACTGCACAGGAGACAACATGATAACACATTTGTGTTCTCAACTGAAAGTGAACACCCTGTAAATATCACAACACTGTGTCAGCATTGTAATACTGTAGCAGATCAACCTGCAGCTGGGTGCATTGATTGACATGATGGACTGTGACCCCAAAGAGCAAGAATACTTTGGAGACTCTTTTCTGCAGCACACAAGATCATGCAGCAGATGCCTCCATATGCAGCAGGAAAAGTGCACCACACAGATTAGCGATGGAAGCATAATGTCCTTGTGAATGTCCTGTCCACTTCAAACTTCAGGCAATTTGGCAGTTTCAGGCAGTTTCAGGCAGTTTGAAACTGCCCACCTGCATTGGCATGCTGTGGCTGGTCCACAGTCGACCTATAGAGCCACACCACAGAGCTGGCCTGATCTTCTGTGGGCCCCTGCTTGTCTTCCACCGTCCAGCGATAGGTCAAGGCCTCGCCCGTGTTCACCACACCATTTTGCAGGACGACGCCCTGGACATCAAAGTTGATGGCAAAGGGCAGGTCGTTTCGAAGGACAACCTCCAGGGTGTCTCCCACCTCCGCAAACAGAGGTGGACCCAACAGGCCCATGTGTTCAAACTCCGCCGGCCTCGGCCTCGGTTCCGCAAAGCTGGCGTCAGTGTACTCGCGGAACACAGCCTTCTTGTACACAGTGCCCAGCCCTGACAAGCCAGGGGCACTGTAAGAACAGCAATCATAAGCCTAAAAGCTTGCCATTCTGATAATAGGCACAAATATGTGGCCGTGCATCCACTGTGGCAAGCACGTAGCCAAATGCATGGCCAACCACAGTCCAGGACTACAGCACTTACCTTTGGGTTGCCACCATTCATCGCAATTCGTAGTACATCGTGGGGGCAGTGGAGGGGCCAGTGTTATTCACCTAGCATCCTTCCCCTTGCTAGAGCCAGAATGGTTTTAAAAAAGTGTGACAGTACAAACTTTGGCAACATTTTTCACCAGCTTGCAGCCACAAAGCTGCCGGTTATTCTTCATTCCCCCGTCGATAGATTTCTGACCAGTTCTTAAAGGTTGTAAGTCACGAGCTGGGGCTGCTTTAGACCGGCAGGGAACTACCATTCCTTGCCTAATGCATGATGTCCTTAATGCACAGAGCAGTAAAATAAGTACTGACCAGGGCGGAAGGCGCTTTTTCAACAAGTAGATATGGCACTTACGAAGGCGACCTGAGTCGACGAGTGCGATAGAAAAAGCACGGAGGGCCGCAATGGATCACCATGCGCGTGTCGTATGAACGTGGCGTTCGCCCCGTTCGCCGCAACGCTTTCCGCATCCATAAAGCAGAACTGGCGAGGGCTAGCTGTCCACACCTTCCGTCGTGAATATTGCTTCATCTCCCGTGAAGTCCGCGCCATTGCACTGGTTTATACCAGAAGGAGCGTAGTCCCACTCCACGGCCTCCGCTCTTAAGTAGTGGGTGCGAGTCGCGCCGTCGGCCGCGCTGCTCTGCGCCATCGCCAGACTCACCCCCAGCACCAGCAACGTGCCGACAAGCATGGTGCGCGCCATCTGCATCCAACGAACACAGAAATTATTCTTCCGCAAACGCCAATCAGCAACTTCGATTAGTGCCCGCTGTCCCCTGTGCGCCCGTTCTCACACATACCCCACAGGATGAATGCACAATACGCAACAAACATCTTGTGCGTCGTGAACAGCTCTGCGCACGAGGATGCCTTGACTGGACTTTCCCGCCAATCAGCGAGAACAGACGTGCCACTGTACATCTGTTGCGGTGTGTTGGCGCCCCAGAGACCAATCGTCCCCAACGCACAAGCCTCAAGCTATCAACGATTCCATTGCACGTCCTTGGCCACCAATGGGGCCATTTATCAGGGCTCCCTCGGCTCGGGGAACGCTGTCCGCATCGCAGAATTGAGCGTACGGTTCATATTACGCTCTCCCCATCACCATTGTTTTTCGTTCCCGACGCGCGACCTTGCGCCCTCACGCAACAGGGGCTCGAACCTTCGCCTTGGGCGCCACCGGGGGCGAAAGGGGGGCAGCGCAGCGCGGGCGGCCGCAATCTGAGGCAGGACTTCCTTTGAGAGCCGTGCACCGCCCTCTCGTGGTGGCCTGGGCCTCGGGCGCGTGGCGCACGCGCGTCTCACACGCATTCCACACCCACTCCCAGCTTCGTGGTCACGCTCGCCCCGACCGTAGCCCGCGCTTGCATGTCGCATCAGATCGATCGGCAAAACACAAATCGTCCGCCATCCGGGATCCTCCCTCACTGTGGGCGCCCGCAATACGGCCCTGACTAGCACCCACGTGTCCCCGGAAGCCCCCCGCGGGGCGCAGCCTGACGCCAGAAGATGCAGAGTGATGCCGGGACGTGCACCGCCCCACCGCGAGTCCGAGGTAAAAGCGTCCGGTGACGACCTACGAAGGCGTCAGGCTGGTCCCTCGGTTGCCTGGACATCAGGTCGGTGCGCCGGGCGAACTTCCTTCAGCACGCGCAAACTGCCCCGCTCCCCTCTCCCGGCGTGCCTTGAAGTGCTTCCAGCTTTGCGAGGCAGCCTAGTTTATCTTCACCAAGTGAGACGAGCTTGGGGCAAACTGCACTTTTGCGATCCAGGGCGTGGGCGAAGCGAGCTCCGACCACCGGCCGACGACCGCGCCATTGACTGCCCTACTTCAGACTTCTCTTAGCGGGGAAGGGCGAGCGGGTGACGAGCGGGATGCCCATGCTGGGCGTCGATGGGCCACCGGTGGCACCACTGCCAAGCGAAAGTTAGGACTGTCTTTACCAGAGCTGCCCGGCTACAGACAGCCCCGATTCGCCTGTCTGTGTCAAGGCGAACCCAAGTCCGTGGCACCCACTAGCGGAACATGCAAGTAGGCGATGCCAACTTCGACGCCATTCTGCTACTATGTGGCGCCATCCCAGGGATTGCGACGACGTCATCAAGGCATCTGCGATGGCATCAGATAAGGCCAAAAAGCAATGCAGTTTGCGACGCGAGAATGGTGTTTTCTACTGGGAACCGGGGCCGCTCGGCAGGCGACACCAGAGCGAGCGGTGTCCCCGACGTGTGCTTGGCAGGAGCTCGCGTCCTGGGTGTGGACATGGCGACTGTGTCGCACGCGGTGTGCATGAATAATGGAACCCGCACGTGTGCGGCAGGAACCTTTTTGTGTGCGTGGCTCACGCTTGACTTGCGTCAGTATCTGTGTGATTGATCTTGTGATTCACCATTCTGAATTCACGCTCGCGCACATCGGCGTTGTGCACACCGAGTTGCGGCGCGTGGGTGTCCGCCTTGGAGGTTCGGTGACATACGGGCCCAGGCTGCCTTGGCCCCTGGGCGATCGATCGGGAGGCAGGCGGGCGCCCATCGCTTGCCATCCGGACGGCTCGGGCCTCCAGCCGCAGGAAGCGATCGCAGGCATCTACTAGCGCCGTCGCGGACTGGACTTGCAGACGATCGCGTCGCCCGGCCCGCCGCCGATTGGACTCGTGAAGGCCCACCCCGCCTTGCGCCATCCTCTCGGCATTCCCCGCCAACCGGCAGGCCCCTGGGCGATCGATCGGCAGGCAGGCAGGCGCCCCACCATTCCACTTTCCGTTTCCATTTGCATGCCGTGCGGCCACGCCGGGTCGCTCCAACCTTCCAACCAATCTCCAACCAAACGAAAACAACTGCCTCGCCACTGGGCTCGATCCCTCGCCGCTGGCTCGATGGACCTCGCTTTGCGCGGCACAAGTTCTGCCATTCATTTGCAGTGCTGCGCGACCACATGTTCTCATACCCACCTCCGTTTCCTCGTCCTCTGAGTCGCTGGGCGGCCCGCTGTCCAGCCGCGCCTCCCCTCGCGCGTCGCTGGGACTCTTGGGAACCGTTCCCAGAGCCGGGCGGCTGGTGTCGCACGGTGCACGCACGTACGAGGCTTGGGACTGGTCCGTTGCACCTATAACTTGGGATGCAGCCTCTAGAGGCCCCGGAGCCCGTGCGACACGGTGCGACGCACAGAAAAAGATAAAGTACGACTGTAACGGTAACGGTCCCGGAAGAAAATGCGGAGGAAAAACGTAACGGTCGGGATGGACGGACGCGGATGGGGAAGGGTTGAGTATGTTACAGTGGTATTCCCACAGATATGGGCTGAATAGTGCCAGATCAGGGCCGGAAGTCATCTCCGGGATGAAGTTAGTCGATCCGCCTTTTCCAGTGAGGATCCCTATTGTTTCACACACCCTAAAGCCTAAACCACTGACCCACTGACCGGCGTTGGCCTTGTCAGCGCAAGAAGAACGGGTCCTCGCGGACAAGACAGAGGGACCAATATAATCTCGTCATCTCCCTTCAGAAAAAAACGCACCACACTCAATCAACAAACAAAAAAAAGTGAAAAGTGACGTTTTGTCGAGTCACTGGGCACCAACGATGACAGCTCGTTTGGGATGCTGGGAGCCAGAGGCCCGGCCCGGGGTGCCTGCTCGCGGTTGACCTCCTGGACCCTGGGACAGCCAGGGCGGCCGTTTCGTCGCAGCCAGCAGCCCGCGATCCCCTTCAAGCGGCGACGACAACTGTTGCGTGCATTCCGACACGAAATGACGGGGCGGTATTTCGAGAACACGCTCGTTGCGGTCGATCCCGGAGTCGCGGGAACGCAAGCGTCGGACGCGCCGACGGCGGACTGGTCGCAGAAGATATGGGGCGCGGTTCAGGAAAGCCTGGCGGTCATCCGAGAGAACGCGGGCAAGCATTCTGGCGTGGATGGAGGAACGATATACTGCGGCTTGGGGGGCATTGCCATGATGCACTTTCACATGGCCATGCAGTGCAGGCACGGGTTGCGTGGCGGTCGCTTGGAGGAAAAGGAGTTGCTATCTCAGGCACTTCACTGGAGCACCCAGGCTGAAGGGTTTGTCAGCGCCCGGCACAGGCGGCACCGGGTGACTTTCCTAGAGGGTTACAGTGGCATACTTGCGCTGAAGGCGGTCATATTTCATTACATGGGAAGCAGGGATGCCTGCGAACAGTGTGTGCGGGAACTGGAAGCGGTGAACGAAAGAGTTTCCGTGCTGCCTAGCGGGGAGTGTGAGGTTCTGTATGGGCGTTGTGGATACTTGTTCTCATTGCTTTTCGTCCAGCACCACGTTGGCAAACAAGCTGTCGATGGCCGAATTTTGTCGCGGCTCGCCAAACATGTTCTGGACGAGGGGAGGACCATGTCAGCCAAGATGCCAGAGTTTGCCTCTTTCCAGTTGATGTACTCATGGCATGACAGCTTCTACCTTGGTGCCTGCCATGGCCTTGCGGGCATCCTTCACATCCTTTTGATGTGCCCGTCTGAAGTTGCCCAGGCGCTGCCTGGAGGGGAGGGATCGGCACTTATTCAAGGTGGGACAGCAGCGCTTGTGGAGCGGTGTTTCCCCTCTGGAAACTTGCCATCTTCGCTGGGCAATCAGGAAGACAGGCTGGTTCAGTGGTGCCACGGCAGCCCTGGTCTCATCCAGCTCTTGGTGCACTCTCTGAAGAAAGGCAACGACGCGAGGGACGACGCATTTTTGCTTGCGGCCAGGCGTGCCAGCGACGATGTGTGGCGGCGTGGCCTGCTGACGAAAGGTCTGGGACTGTGCCATGGGATGGCAGGCAATGGCTACAGCTTTTTGAGCCTGTACAGAGCAACAGGGGACATACGGGAGCTTTCAAGGGCGAGGGCGTTTGCAGAGTGCATGGCTGACAATTGGAAGAACCTTGTGGACATTCCAGACAGACCCATGTCCCTTTACGAAGGTTTGGCAGGCGCTGTTTGCTTCTGGGTTGATGTGCTGAATGCGGAGCACTCTCGCTTCCCAGGATTCGAACTCTGAGAACAGGAAATCAGTCACAATGTGTACTGTAACATCAGTAGTATGCTCAAAACAGTGTGTACATGTTCATGCAGTGCCCCAGGTTCAAACAATGACCCAAAAGACAGCTTGAGGGCCAAAGCGCATTGACTGTCCAGCAGGCCACCATCTGCCAGTGAGAAGCCCAGATCATGGTCCATCTGTGTTTGTGTCTGTTCCTCGTTCAGGTTTTCTGCTTATTGCAACAGCTCCAATCGTGGATCCTTGACTGTGCGTCCCAAGGGACACACCACTGGAGCACAAGAAAAGCAAAGTGAACACCATTAGCTGCCGATGGTTGATAGATGTAACACCTGGATACATCAACGGTTGCGAACATGGCTACATGGCAGTGCCACAGCTGGCACTGTCCTCCTGTACGCAGGGTGATCACTTTGCAGCTGGCAGCATTTTCTGACAAACCACGATTGCTCACAGTGCAGCACAGCACACTGCACAGAATGAGGCAGATGCTGAAAGACTATCTAAACAAAGGGTATAGATAGTCATTAAAAGGGTCGTGGGCACACCATTGCTTTTCTTTGTTCAGACAAACACCAGGTTTGCTACCTACTTGAGAGCTGCTCTGTATCTGGCGCCATCATCCTTGTTCTTGACTTCATCCAGCAACACTTGCAGCCTCTGCTTGTTGGCAGCAGCCAGTACCTATAGGACAGATCCCACAATGCAGTTTTTCGAAGCCGATTATCGTGGCTCTGTAAGTCCTCACAACCATGCACAGTAAGATCGCCTGAGAATCGAGATGAGTTTCCGTGGCCAAAGAGAACGAAGTGAAACACGACACAGGCAGAGAAGCGCATAGTATCCAGATTTGAATCATGAAAAATGTAATTCCCATGCACCATGTGACTAAATGAATGGGCAACATGCACAACAATTTGGCATCCAAAATCTCTTCAAAAAACTGACCTGCTGATCCACAAATGTCTTGCTCCTTAAAACTCTGGCGCGATCGCCGTAGGACTCGTCCAAGATTCCATCGCGGCCAGTGGGATTTGTGGTGTTCATTACCCATTGCCCAAGGTAGAACGGGGCCACCATGGCAGCAGCACCGAAGCCCCAGAATCGCCAGGTCAGGGGCTTGTACCTGCTGGCCATGCTCAGTGTACTTCTTGTGCGCAACCGTTGCGAGGTCGACTGCCTCTCACTGGCTTCAATTGGGCATCAGCAGTCCCGGATGGTCCCAGCAGCCACGTCAGTGCCTAGACGCCGCCAGCAACGGAAGAAGGGTTCAGTTGCTCTTTCCTTGGGGCGCCTCTTCGTTTTCTCTGCTTGCCGCCTGCCCAACTTGATCCGGCCGGCGAGCCGGCTTGTCAGGTAGCAGTGCGAAGCCCACGACACCCTGACACGCACCAAGACAAACAGGCTGTCTGGCACCATGCCCTTCGAGAACCCACAGGGCCACGGGGGAGTGCTTCGTGTCCAAACAGCGGACTCCCGCTACTGGCCCCAGTCGTGCCAAGCATGTGCCCGGCGCGAGGCGGACACCATCGTTCAGCCCGGCGCGCACCTCTTTCTCAACGCACTCTCGGAGCTTCTTCACCAGCGGCACGCATTTGAGCTCGTTGTAGTTCTTAGCGGCGACGCAGTTGAGAAGTGCCTCCGCAGCCTTCGCGCACACGAACGCCTCTTCGGGCGCGTCGCGGGCGGCCATTGGTGGCGGTAACGCAAGCTCGACACCGAGATACTCACTAGCATCCTTGCCTCGGGATGACTAACACCCTCCCCCCCATTGCGCGAGTATACTGTACACCCGAGTACAAGAACACGGAAGCCTTCCTTGGCTTCTCATGGTCATGTGACGCAAGCAGGGTAAGATTTGTTACGAAGTGAAAGGGAAACAGGTCATTTTACGGGCGCCCCCTCCCAAGCAAGTGTATGCGAGGGTCTCGCAGCGACACCCTTTTCCATGGTGTGGAAAGATGATGTGAAGTCTCCGGTGCAAAATGATGAGCGCACAACATTGGCGTCGCAAACAGGCAAGAAACATGCACCCAGGGTGAACACGAGCAGGGTTAGTACAGAGGAACCCTTTCCAGCACACAGCGCCATCGGACCGGCCATCTCTCCAGGCTGATCGGCAGCACAGACCCACAACTCCAACTGCTTAGTTGCGGGCAATGGCGCTCTTGTTGCTTGTCCGCTGGTCTGTCATTCTCAGTGATAGAACTTTGCGCCGTGCGTCGAGAGCTGCTGGGTAATTTAGTGCCATTTCTGCCCTCCAGAGGATCCCCAGGGCAGCTTCTATCCCTGGTATTCGTGTGTAACGTTCGCCTCAGTTTAGTCAGAATATCGAGACATGGAAGACCACCTCAAACCCGTCCATAGATCCAGTCGAATCTGCAAAGCCCCGAGGACTCAATGTATACCTACTGCAAGCCTCATTGACGCTGGATCAAGAGGAGCCCAGCACACTATGCAGTGAGTCTAGGGCGCCATACGTTTTTATGGTCGCACACAGCAGCTTCGAGGCAAGCCTAGCTTCCGTATTTGGTAGAAAACATACTTCAATTGCACTGCATCATTGCACGTACACACCATGGAATCGCAGAGGGTCCCACGCGGGAAACAAAGGGCTCCTCAGTTTCGTTGTGTGGATATCGTCCTGAAGCTGGTCTGCGCCCCGTCTGACCCACTCCGTATTTGCCGAGGGGGCGTGAAATGCCTTACTTAGAATTGTTATGTTGATGTCAGGCAGATTCTCAGGAGGCCTAAGTGTGTTGAGCAGGCGATTTGTTTAGCTCATCCCCTGCTGGGCAAGAATGTACAGGGAGCCACGTTGCGGTGGGCACCTTGGGTGCTTCGCGCTGCAGTGCCGGTGCCAATGCTATCTCACTGGCTGCATGTGATGGACGTCCGCTCCAGATAGAAATCCACGCCGCACAGCCATTACTGTCTTCGGATGTTCTGGGTGAAATGAGCTGAGCAGACATTCTCTAACAAACAGCGAGTACGGAAAGATGTTGCTATTGCTTTCAGGTTCAAGGCCAGTAGTTTGTGAACTTTTCTGGTAAATGCAGTTACAAATATCAGCCACAGTTGCCAGCTGTATCCACAAATGGCCGGGTTGATGCAGACTCTGCGGTCACAAGCAACAGTCCACCGCCCCGCTGGCGTCCTTGTACAAGCAGAAATTGGCCTCTGTGATGGCAATGGGCGGTTTGCTGAGTGGGCGGGGCATGTGCCTTCGCCTGCATCCTGCAAGCCCGCTGCCACACAGCCGCATCGCTACGAGTACACTGATACCCACCGACGCGGCACTGGCGAGAAGCCACATTCGGCTGTTCAGCCGCAGATTTCACGGGCAGCAACGCTGCTAGCAATGAATCCACATACAGCCCAGAGTTTTGGGACAATTGCAACACCGGTTGGAGGATGGGGTGAGTGTAAATGACGCGGTGCTTGCTATGGCCACCACATTGCAGAAATCAAGGTTGCAGGTGTCGCATACATGAGATCAGTCCGGGCCCTGCATCCTCAATTTCGGGTCGCCTCCGGAGACCATCTCGTGACTTCGCGTTCCTCTACCTGCACAAAATAAATGATTCTCACACGGAGATAAACTGCCACTCGTTACCAATTTCAATGCCGAAAAGTCCTTGGTAATTAACGTGTTCCTGGAAATGGTTCTTCTAAACGCTGTGGAGAGCGATGTGGAATTATTGCAGGCACGAGGAGAAGCGCAGCAACAATTTGAGTCCCAAATATACAGGAGATGCTCCTAAGAAGCTAAGAAGCTTCTAAGAAGTTAACAAGCTCGATGCGCGATAGAGACTTCACCGCAACAGCGTACTGGCAAATATACAAACATATGAGCAAAAATGCAAAAAGAGACAAACCCATCATATCCGACGTGAATGTGCAGAGCTCCAGGCGCGAGGCAGCGGAAGAGGAAACACCTGATGGCCGATTATGTTGTGGCCTGGGGTGGTGGAGTGGGGATATGGCAATCCAAAGCAAAACTAGGTGTGGGAACAGCGAATCAATTAAGCAGTGGGCGTCTCACAGCGGCAATTTTTGAAACCAAACCGCCAACCAATCGTAAAGTCAAACCTCGCTCACCTTGGCGCTGCAAATGCAGTCCAATGAATGGGCATGTGTTTGCGTGCACTCACTAATATACAGCAACAGAAGGCCTTTGGCAACCTGGTGGACAACACAACGGAATTCTATAGTGATAATCGTGCACACTTTTCGTCAGCGGCAGCTGGCCACAAGATCGCGTTTGCACTGCGCAACCAAAGTAGGGTGCGTTTCAACACAACCCGGATGGACACATCCATCATTTCTACAGGAGCTTGACCAGATCACCGTCATGGTAAATCAATACCCGCTACAAGACCTCGCATAGCTGCCCAAGCAGGTGAGAGAAATGTTGAAAACTATCACGTTTCCCTCAATTCCACCAGGGCGCTCAATTGTTTCAAATACAGAGCGTCCCCCAAGCACCTCAGCCGAGCGTAGTGCAGGACTGTGCAAATCAGACCATGTCCCAGCCCAGCCCGCGCATGGCAAAACGTCAAGCTCTTTGCAAAAACGACACTGAGCAGGAGGCCACAGCTCCACTTCATGCGGTACATTCTTTGCACATGCTGGTGATTGCTGCACGTCCTGAGAAGCGCATTATCTCGTCATCTCGACATTTGTCACACAGGCGCAGTACGCCGAACCAGGCAGAAGAGTGTCCACACTTTCTAACTGCCTTCCAGTCTTGTTGGCAGTCACATTGGTAGTCGCATTAATTGGCGCACTTCTTCCAATCACATTTATGACAGCAACAAACATCGCCTTGCGATTGCGAGGCGATGGCGGACATGTTCCCACATTCACGTCGCTTGTTTACGATATTGAATGCATAAAGCGCACTGCAGACACCGGTCGCTGACGGCTGACAAGTCCCTTTCCATGCATCAAATTCTGCTATATCGCACTTCGCAGGCTCAAGGAGCATGGAGAGGAGTCTGGCCCTCACCTGACCACACAGCCTGCTCATGACCTGCAGGTCCTTCCAGTCGATGCCTGTGTCCGTAGCAGCATGAAGCGGCACAACTAGAACACAAAAGTCTGCATGTACCCTGGAGGGGTGCCGCTGGTACAGCACGTAATCGGCTCCGTAATTGATGCCAGAACGCACAAACCATCCCTGCCAACAAAACACACGAGTGGATTATCTAGACATGAATGAATTGACCAAATGATCAAGTTCCCCATAGTATGGGGCCGCAGCGGAATGCATGGGTCCATGAAATAAGCCTAGGCTCTTCTGCCAGCCCAACTGCCAGCCTCATTCCGGCAAGGGTGCACACTGAAAATCATATGGTCTGTGTTTACCAAATCGACAATTGACTCCCGTATTCATCACTGGCCCGGAATTGTTCGTTGCAATCTCTCACAAACCATCCACCAAAAAGCACTGACAGCGTCCCAAATAGAGAAAGAACGAAATCGTGGCTAATAATACAAAAGCAACTGTAAGTCTTGCAATGAATCTGTTTCACAAGATCCGATCTTCCCCGTCTTCCCTGCATCCCCAGGTCAATATGCAGTCGAAATCCTTTCAGGACATCATTTTCCTTTCCCACACATTGGATCGGGTTCCCGTTAACTTTGGTGCAGGCAGTTATTGATGCAGGTATTACTGGGTGGTGTACGTGCTTCTGTGCCCCAGCACAACAGCCAGTACTGCTACCCTCTAGATGCCCACAAGTTCCTGCTTTGTGCCTCACCTTTTGGCCCTGTTCACAGTTGTGCCAATATCCAGCACTTTCAACACTGCTCGTTATGAAATAAGCACTCCCTCTGCTCAGTTGGGTGAGCTCACTGAAATACTTGCCCTTGTCAGCAGATACACTTGCATATCCAACGCCCGCCACATCGAATCTGACTGCACATGGTGGAAAGAACTGGAATGGGGATGGTCGCAGATTGCCCCATTGCAGAGTCCCGCAATTCCACCCCCTACCTTGCTCCGGAAGTGATGGTACGCCACATAGCTTGCGACAAAAGCGGGTTGAGCATGAGTGCAGGCAGACCAAAATTCCTGAACAGCCAAGCTCCACACTGAAATATTGAGAAGACACAGATTGTCGGAAGACAGTTCAAAGGCAGCATTGGTCAGTTGTGCATACATGGCTGCTGGACGATGCAAAATGTCCATCTTGTGTGCTATCCTGCTGTTCTTAGAGACTTCTGTACCACTCTAAGAGGACAGGCTAGAGTCTCAACATATGGCTTGCCCAGAAGGAGGGGTTCAGGAGGGTGTGAAATGTTCCTTCGTGTCAAAGCGAACACTTATCTACAAAATTGGGAGAGCGGCACCATGCAGCAATTGCACATTCATTGCAATGGCACCAGTGCTTGGTTGCAGTGGACCAAGTCTCGCGAATCACAGGAAAACAAGAACTTCTTTTGTTCAATCACACATTCACATGCATTATTTCTACTACAATTTTGTTTCTGCTCCATCTTCATGTGCTTTGCAGCAGTCCTTCAGCAATATGCGGTTGTGGGAGCACAGTGTGGCAATTGGGGAAAGAAAATTGGGACCCTTTCACAAAACTCCACCCTAAGAGAAATGTGGACTTGAAATCCTCGACCTCCAGGAAGATAAGTCTGATAGCTTGAGACCATACCACATCTTTCTGCACCAATGATGGCAAATGTCACTTGATGGTAGATGGCAATTTACCTCATCAGAGAGATTCCGAATTCCTCCTGTGCACTCAGATTGGTAAATTTGCAGCACGCTCCAGCCACATTTGTAATAAGCTGCCTCTTGAAGTGTCAACAATATGCTTACAGATCCTGCCTGCAACCAAAACAATAAACATCGCATCGCTGAGAGTGCAAAGAATTAGTCAGCAGTAGGTACGCATTTTGGCAGGCAGCAGCACAGGGTCCTGAGACCCTCTCAAATCAAGCCCCAGGTGCATGGATGGTGCTACAGGCAATCTCAGAGCACTGTCCTGTTAGGACATCTTTGACACGATATAAGCAAGTCGTTTTGGCACCTGTTGTGAAGCTTGGTAAGTTTGGGAAACTAGCACAGGCCAAGCTTGGACTGGCAGGGACTGACAGCCTCACTTCACACATCCCAAGAATACTTTGCTACTTGCATGAGAAACTTCTGTGTGGCTTGATTTCTCAAACACGTCATCGCTGGACTGCATGAGCACCCCATGTGGGGCGTCAAGCCCATTCTTCCGATCGCAGCCAGCAAAACAGAAATCGGTGCTGAGCAGAGCGCCGGCTCCACGACCGCAACCTGGGACAGTGGTGCAGGCACGCACATATTCTTGCAACGCTAAACCTGCACAAATGTCAAGCCAATTGGACATACAGAATGCTCTACCATCTGGGGTCTGAGAGTGGCATGTGCTTCTCTTCCAGAATTTCCACCTTTGTCAATTTTTGTCCAATGCATGCATGCTTGCATTAGGCAACCCTGGTATAGGCGGCGGCCACCTGAACATTTTCTCCAATTCTGAGGGTAGCAGCTGTCTCCTTTGCAGTTGTTGGTCCTCCTTCCACAGTTCCAATGCAGCAGCTGTCGAGTATGGCAGCTGTGGCGTCATCCACAGAAAGCCACACACCACCAAACTGGAAAACGCCAGTCAAATGACAATGGAGAAGGCTGTCGGCGACCTAAAAGCACAGAGCCAGTCAAAAAGACAAGGTTAAAGTTTAGGGCATAAAGGTTGCCGTTGCCACACGGGGCTTGCCACAGAAGTTCGGCTTTACTGACTGCATTACCACGATCACCGGCAAGAAGAGAAATAAGGCTAGAAATAGGATATCTTCCTTTTCTGAGGGCGTACGAACAGCCTGGGACAGTGACTGAGTTTTGTGAAACCCTTCTGCCTGCTTGCTTGTGGACAAAGGCGTTCTTGTCCAATACAATTTTCGTTACATTGTGGCCAAAATTATGTCCCAATGTGGTTGCCCTCAATCACCCTGAACGATCAATAAGATCGCTCAGCAACCTTCACTGGTTTCATCAGCAAGGGTGCATTGGCCTGCCCGCAGGAACCTTCCCCCGCCCCTCTTGCCTCAGAGTCTACGCTCACCTCTTGTGCGGTCACAGGAGGCCCAGCCGTGCGGCGTTTCTTAACCGCAGGCTGACGCCCGCCAGATCCGCTCGTCGCCATCCTCTCATACTGCACGAACCCCAGTGCTCTTCGCACATCGCACAACGCGGCTGATTCCCGTCATTCACTCTTCTTGGCGGCGCCCAATCTTGGCTACAATAGTGGCCTTCACGGCAGACCTGCGAACTCCCATACGGGCGCGCGAACTCCAACGAAGCGCGGAAGAAAACGGGCAACAACGCCGGCTGGCACACTTCCAGGATCGACATAAGAGGGACGGAAGGCAGCACACCGGGTACAACACCGGCCAACATGGCGCGCCGTGTGCAATAACTGCGCCTTGATGTCGGACCAGGCTGATGCCTAACCGTACATTAGCGCAGCCACCCCCCCCCCAGCGCAGGCTCAGGCAGTACATTATAGCGTGATACACAGTTGCTTCCGTGGTCACTCGCCGCGGCCGACTCAGCGACACTTCGGGAGTTGCCTTGCCGAGACAAGTCACAACAGCCATGAAGGCCGTCGCGCAGCAGCAGCCCGGCGCGTCCAGTCGGCCGCCCGAACAAGTGCGGGGCGGGGAGGCGGGGTGGGCGACCACGGGGGCCCCCGCGGGCCCTTCAGGAAGGAACGCTGGGGGAGGGACTGGGACTCCGGATGCGCCCAGGAAAAGGGTGCGGCCGTCGAGCAACACGACAGGTAAACTGCGGCGCTGGCTGCAGGCTGCCCCGGCGTATGGAACTGATGGGACCGTCGCTGGTTGTCCATCGCGCAATGCCTTTCTTTGGAGGGAGTGCTCAGTGAATTGCGTGTCCACTTTCCCTCCGCTGTTCTTAAGAATCGTTGCAAGCACATTTTGCCATGCCGACGCCAAAACTGGTTCGCGTTCGCCAGAGGTTGTGAGGTGGATTGAAGCGCTTGTGGAGATTGTGATCAGAAAATGTCTTCAACAGAAAGGCTACTTGGCATACGATGGGCATCCCACACCTGGGTAACAACTGCGAACCGATATTTTTCCCAGGTTGTGAACGATGCAGTGGTCTCTGACTGCAGTAGGAGCGGTGCACGACAGAGAGTAGCACGAGCAGACAAAACGTACACTTGGTCCTGAAAATGGTGTGGGGCAGTAATATGGTCCCACTTTGAGGCATGAAAGATCCCTACAGAGAGTAGCCATGCGGGACATATGGGAAGGTGACTGCTCTAAGCAGAGCCAAATTTATTGTGCGATGACCTCTGGTTTTATTCCCTAGAAGAAAAGCACGAAGTTTGGCAAGCATTGCATCTCACTGTTGTGCATCAATCAAGAATCTACAGAGGCACAGCTGTCCTCGCACACTTTTTGTGCACCAACATTGGGTGTTTGGCAGCTTACTAACTGATCGCTTGCCTGTTGCCCCCCCCAGATGGCGAATCGGATGGCCCGGTGAAGCGAGGGCTGTTTGAGAAGGATTGTAAGTGGACTTTGCAGCATCTCGAGTCTCCAGGGTGCTATGACTTGGGTGCCGACACCACCAAGGTTGACAGTGACTGTCAATGAATGGTCTATGTGTGATGTGCTGCAGTGCCTGGCATAATGTATGGCTACGGTGACAGTGAGACCCCGAGGCAAGAAACAGTGGAGCTGGTTGAGGTGTGTTGGACTTCTGCAGCTGTTTTCTTGTGCGCCATGAAGGAACTTCTGTGACATCGGTTGTTAGCAGGAATATAATCTTGCAGGAACATGCAAGTGGGTGGCAAAATCTACAGGTCAACATTTGCATCAGATGCTGAAATTGCCAACCCCTTGTTAGTGCTTGGGCATGATTTGTCGGTGTTGCAAAATTGTTTGAAAGTTGAAGAAACTGCACCTAAGGCTTTCATGTTGCCATGTTTTAGGCTGAAACATGGCAATATTGCCCATCTGTTAAAAACGTATTGTTTGTGGGATACGACTTGAGGCAGGGGATTGAAGGCATTCTGTTATGAAAACAGTCTCACATATGGACTGAATCGCACATTCTGGCCTTCATATTCAACAATTTTCCTGGATGCTCCGGCAAAGTTCTTCACAATCCTTCCCCAGACAGAGCACCCCATTTGAACCACTCAGATGCATAGTGCAGAAAATTCTCCCTCACAGACAATACTCCATTTCATCCACCCAGCCCAAAGAGTCATATTTTGAAGGCTTTTCTCATCTCCTCCTTGCTAACACCCAGGACTTGCCCAGGACATAGTGTTTGAGTATGTCTCTGGACTACTCCACAAGGCCATGGAGACGGCATCCTTGAGGGGGAAGCTGAAGTATGAAGACTTTATGTTCCAAGTCCGATCGGTGAGCATGGAATATGTTGTGGCCATCAATGCTGCTGTTCATGTGACATTTGTGACATATTGTTGCATTCTACGAAATGGGCACTGTGCATGGTACCCCTCTGATGGAGCCTTGAAGCTATAAAGAGCAGGGAGATGGTCTTACTGTCTGGTACCAAGTTGTACCATCATCTTCCTGGAAGAAGCATTCGCCACCTCAAAAGGCGCACCCAGGCTTGCACTCCTCAATGTGCTGCTTGGAACTAGTGGATGCCAACTGAGAATCAGCATTGAGCTGGGCTGAAGTGTGCTCAGATCAATGTTGTTCGGAGATTGCAATCGGCTCAACTATGAACATGCATGGTCTAACAAACCATGAGCACGACTGGCACTGTGTGCTTCAGGAACCGCAGAAAATAGAGAGGATTCAAGAACTGCTGCAGAAAAATGAAGAGATAAAGAAGGCTCGCAAGGTGCAGAAAGTTTATGTGCAAGTTTGAGAAAGCTCCTGGCTGATTGTCTGCACATGTGATTGGTTGTATGGAGAGAATTCATTACAAGCCAGCTCATGTCATATGTTCTACCACTGTTTAAGCTGTTGTGTGACAAGCAGGTGTCATGTTTGACGGCTATAGACAAAGATCTTTTCATGTGTGTTTCGATGCTTCAAACACCCACCTTTGACTTTGTGCCATGAAAGGGCATGCAATTGCATTACGTTTTGGGGGTAGTAGAATGCCAGTAGTGGCTGTGCTTCCTTGTCCTTATTGACTTTGGCAAAGACGAACATGCTGATGTCCCTGTTGTGTGGCTTTGCAGCAAATGGATTTAGACAATGCGGATTAATACAGCACTTGGAGGGAAACAGGATATCCAGGGTGCGTTTCTGTGGCCTTGACTGGACCCATTGACGGGACACTGCGTTGTGAGGGATGAACTGGCTCCAGGATGTGGCCAATAAGTGTCCCTGCATTTTCCGAACACTAACGATGCTCAAGAGCTTTTCTTGTCCATCCATCTGTCAACGATTGGCACAATGGCTCTTCATTTCCTCTCTTATGGACAGCCAAGCTGGAGAGCCTCAACGGAAGCGTTGTCATCGTTGTTTGCAGGAGGCCCAGCGAAATAACTGGAAATGGCATCGCTGCAAGACATCGTCTTGTTGACCATGGAGGGACGAACCACACCGAGAGAGAGGCAACTTTTCATGAGCAAGAGTGTTGAATAACCATCTGTACACACTAAGCTAGGGTGCTGGTGCCTTTAAATACATGACAAGAAACTCAAGGAGACCAATGCAGTGGAGGAAAAAGAGGGCACAGGCATGGGTAGTAATGGAGGCAACGACAGGGCATGGGTGTCCTCTTGCAAAACACTGGATGATGGATGCCGCTTGCGATGCTGCTGCATTGCCGGCTCTGCACTGTGGTGCCCATGCAGATGATCAGTTGCCTAGTGATGAGAGCAGATATTTGTTTCTGGGCTCTGAGGAAAGTGCAGAGATGCAGTATAGAGCACTGGTCAATGCTGTGTTGACGGCATTCAATAAATACTGGCAACATCGGTGAATGGGGTGTTTGATGTGGTTGTTACCGCAAATGCGGTAGGGGCAAAGAATCACAGCCTCAGACGTTGCAGAAAATAGGACAGGATGTGCCGCATTGCACCACCATGAGCGAGCGAAATGTCGGAGCATGAATCGCTGTGCGTTTATCCGATACTCTCAAAACAGCAATGTGACAACAAATTGCGAGGAGCAAGCCAGAAAGGCACTGTGGCAACACGAAGGATTGTTGTCTACGCCATTTGGTGTCTGGCGTTCCTTGCATTTGGTGCAAGTGTCTTTGGCTGGACAACCAACACCAGCCTGCTGCCATTCAGCCAGTATTCAGCCCCCTTCGCATCCCCGCTCTGCATGCAGTGGGTTTCATCCGTTTGTGCCTTTCCACGTTCGCGTTATCACTGGTGAAAGGTGCACAGCAGCCACTGGCATGCGCTGCCGATTTTGTCAATTTGGGGTAACCAACATGGGAGACCAGGCCATTTGGGACATGTGCTGCCAATGCCGCCGAAATGGAGGCTCCTGCCAATTCGCCCACGATACTACGCCTCCCCGGCTACCAACATGGGGAGGGGGCACCCTCCTACTGATGGGCTCTGTGGACACCCTCTCCCACCAACCCCCCAACGCCCGCCCACCCACCTCACAAAGCACTGCTGCATTGTGTCAACTGCAACATTCTGCTTTCATCGAGCTGTTTCATATCTGCGTGATGTGGATGACCCGCATTCGTGTGTCTCAGGATTGAACGCGCAAAGTTCACAATACGTCGTGGAAAAGCCTGCCCATGCAAACGAGGTTGCGAGGTGCATGCTTGTTTATTTCTTCCTTTCATGGATGCAACGACGTTACGTGACGGCATCGATAAATGTATCGTACGAATCCAGTGTGCGAGGGGCAAGCCCAAGCCCACCTATGCCAACAAAACGCGCCTCTAATGGCGGTCACAGTCGCGCGGTGCAAGTTCACCAAACCTGTTGCACTATCGAGGCCGTCGCTAGCGGTGCATGGACGAAGAACTGCCTTGATGAGGTGGTAAATTGAGTGCACTGTCGACGGCATGATCGCCATGGGGACTGAAGTGAGAGCATGCCTCCGTGGTGTTCCATGACGATCATTGTGGCTGCCCTGTCGGGCTGACGAGCCACGTCAGAATAGAATGTTCAGCTCAGAGTGCGTGTCCGACCCAAATGTCGAGGCACAGGGAGTCCCTATCAGGGACCCTAAAGGCAAGAGGCAGCAAATAAAATGGCCAGCCCCAAAAGTGCATATCAAGTGAAAATGGCTGGGACCACAGACCGGTCCAGTCACCGCCCTTGCAACTGCGCCCTGATCCCTCCTATTCTGGGTCCGCCAACCCCTTTTGGCGTTCCAAAGGACAGCTACAGGCCCCCTCTATGCATTAACGGAGAGAGAGAGTAGCGAATCAGCAAGTACAGATTTCTAACGAGTCTCACTACTCTGCTTACGGGACTCTGGTTCAGGAGAAAGAGATTTGTACAGAGCACCATCAGTATCACTTAACTGACAAATTCCAGGAACTGTGGGCATTCAGTAGTGTTAACAATACTTGGGCCCAATCCCTGGTGTTGTTCCCAGGAGCTCGGACGTTACCGAACGAGATCAACGCGTTACCAGGATACACGGTAACGTCCAGTATGTTGGAGCCTACGCCGCTTCGGCAGCAATATATTGACTAATTGCTTTGTTGCGCAGGTCTGACTTCCCACAGAGCCTCTCAAGATACTGACTACTTTTCTGCGGTTTCCTGCGCATATCTCAACTGTTCCCCGTTGTTGCATCAGCCCATACACTGTTCATGCCAGCCGCTTTGCTGACTAAAACCTTACATGTAATCCCTTCGACCTGAAATCATGGAAACGCATCTGATGTATGAAGCGGAGACATGGGTAATATCGTTGCAGAGGGCGGATGATTGTTTTTGAGAGCATTTCAATGTTCGATACATTGCCCCGCTGACTGCCCGTTCATGGCCATGATCGTCTGGCCAGCATTCCAATCTCTTAGCGTTTATCAGGTCCTCTTTCGAAGTCAATAGTCCGCAATATAGCGACAAATATGTCAGACACTTATGCATGCTTGAAGGTCTTGTCGCAGATTTGGTGACTCCTTTCTCCGGCGCACATTCTGCAGCCCAAGCAGATCGTCTTCAACCCTTGTGAACCTTGCATAGGCACAGTGGCCCCTCTTCACAGGACTACATATTTCCAATGTTCATCCTGTTCGGTCACCGAGGCAAGCGTAAAAGCAACCAATGCAAGTTGTGTATGTGCAACACCACCGATATACTCACAGTTCCCCTCGTCAGTACCGTAAGTACTGAGCTCCTGTCCACATGTCCCAACTGTCTGTTCCAGGCCAATGTCGTTCAAAAAAACGCTCCTTGTGCGCATTAAGAAGCATCCATTCCGCCGAACTCTCAGAATACTTCAGGTAGGTACATTGGTGCTCCCCCGGTCATCTGATACAGGCCCTCGAAAGAAGTTTCAATAGAAGCTTCACAACACCTTGCCTCTAGTCTCCGCTCATTTGCAAGATGAGCAGGCAGGATCCTGTCAGACATGTATGACGTTCTCCAGTGCAGCCTCAAACACACAGCCCTGGCAGCATGACGCACTGCCTGTATTTGTTACTGATCATCTTCGCATGACCCTATGTCCAAGCGCCATGGCAATCACAATCCTTGCGCGGAATTGACAGCATTCTGACGTCTTATCAAATCCTGCCCATTACAGTCGTATTAAAGCATGACCATCGCTCGCTGTTCGTACTTAATGTGCTTTTTTCTTCCCTTTCCCGTCAGACCGGGATTCCGCGGGGCCAGGCCAGTTGTCCTGGGGTAGTCGCAAGTCCATCTTGATATATCAGGATCAAGTGACTAATGGTATGCTTAACAGTGCGTTGAAGCAGCACACACTCATATTATAGGTCCGTTCCTCCTATGAGCTTTTGGTTGGGGAGCATTTGTGAGCTGCTTCCCTCTGTGCTCCCCATGCCTGGGTGCGTGGTGCCCATGGCCGTTGGTATAGGGTCAATAAAGAATATGAATTGTTCCTGACAATGTAAGCGCTCCGGACTGAAATTGACATATGCAGCCTGACTGGCCAGCGACAAAAGGCCAGTTAACTGTCGTAAACAGTACCAGCGTTGTGTTGTGACCATGGTGTGGCAGCGCAAAATATCTGTTACTGGAATTGCTCTCCATCGCAACTAACAGCAGTACAAATAAGGAGCATTAAGCATATGCTGCAATTTAGCATTTTGCTTTGCTGCAAATATCAAAGACGCCTTGATATTGGCCTTGCTCCTGCCCGCCTTGGCAGTGCCAGCCGCAACCAGGCTCGGTACTTATGGCACAAACACTGAGCGTTTACGCGTATTTACACGTAAAAATAATATCTGCGTTTGTGTACAAATAGTATGTACGTTTTTACGCCCAAAAATGCAAGTAAAAATTACGTAAATTTTGACCCGGTCCACATAAAGACAGTACGCGCAGACTCGGGGTGTCCGTGGAGTGGCAACCAGTCTCGCTGGAGTGTGCATAAAACAACTTCTTGTGCGGCGAAGTCTTTGCCCTTGCCAAGTGGACGCTGTGATGAGGGTGTTCGAGGGGGCGAAGGACCAACCATTGCACGCAAATTCATCATGTAACGTGGGTGCACCAATAAGCCGTAAAAATAGCAGTAAAAATAACCTTAGAAACAGCGGTAAGAATAGCTGTAGAAATAGCTGTAAAAACAGCCATAAAAATTGCCGTAAAATAGCCGTGAAACAACTCCTTTTGCACTTTTACGTTTTACGCTTGAAAAGTTGAACGCAAAAACGTAAACGTAAACGCAAATTTGAGTTTAAAGGCCAAGCCCAGCCGCAACAGAAAAATCGAGCGCAGGTTCGCTGGCATGCAGTCAAGTGCAAATGTCACAATTCACTGCATTGTTGACATGTCGCTGCCAGGCGGGCATAACCACGCCTTAACAAGACGCCCAGCACTCTTGATTGTGACAGCCATCGCAGGAGAAAGAAGAACAAGTGGGCTGGCAAACATCCAATTGCTACGCTTTAAGCCTACGATAGGGTTGTTTGCAAGAGCAATAATCTACAATAGTCCACAGCGAGTGGCTAGGGATGCTGGCATCGTGTGCGTGGTGCACATGACGCCAGTTCTGTACACAGGAAATTAAGCAAAATACGTGGCCATTGGCTCTTGGTCGAGTCAACCTGGTCAACGGCGGCTGAGTATGCATGCACATTATTCATGCACTCGAAGCAAATGCAAGTTTGGATGTCTGACCCATGGGATGTCAAAGACGGTTCTGCGCAATGAATGTTGCTGTATAAAGAACCATCAAAGACACCTCAGGGGTCACAAATTCAGAATTGCGTAGTTACCGTGAAGGAACCAGGGCGCATCCATGCGCACTTGCACTTGACGAGTTGCCGGCGTTGACCAAGAAGCAGTGGAGATGTGGCAAATTCAGCTGCTGGCCAACAGCTGCGACGCATTTCTTTGCAATTCAAAGAACGTCCACGCTGTGGCGATTCTCAGCCTGAAGACACGGATATGACCCAATAATGCGCTCGTATCAGCGACTGTTGACCTGTTGACAACGCCCATAAAGCTTCAAATTGGACGTTTTATCTTCCATTTTGCAGTGGCTGCCAGAACTAAGGCGACCAACAGCATGGCCATGAACAGAGCTGGTGCTGGAGCCTTCGCCAGCGGCTCAAGGCGCCAATGACATAGTTATTCATACCTTGCAGCCACATGTGGAACTCGCAATTGAATGCTTTTTCACTGAATTTGGGTGCAGGCATCCATTGTAAATGTGGAGCGAACGGATAGACGGGGTTCCTTTTCGCGGTTCTGAATCGTGACGAAGCGAGACTGGTGATGAACAACAAGCCACTGAGAGCAAATCCTCACAACGCGTCACCGGGCACAACTGCAGCAGCGACCCTGTGAGACGCGCCCACACAGAGGCCGCTACTCAGGACCTGGTGCCCACAGACGCCAGAGCATTATGCCACAGGTTCGACAGAGCCCGTGGTGCGCGGCGCCCCTTCCCCGCGGGGTTCCGCACCGCTTTCTGAGTCAGGCATCCGAATGTCCCTGGCAGGCGCCCCGCGGACGACTGTTCCTGCGCTCCGTTCGTGGCGCGCCCCCCGCGACCGACCCCGGCGGCGCTCCACGCGCGCCGTCGGTGCCGCGGTCGCGACCCGCGGCCCCGAAAGTTCCCGAGACACGGTGCGAAGGCCGCCGCCTATTTATCCGCGCCCCCGCTCCCTCCCCCACAAACGCGCACACAACCACATCCCCATTCCGCATCCCACGATCAACAAGCATCAACGAGTCGTGCCCCAGAGCCAGCCGCCCCCGACAGCCAAAAAGCTGTGCTTGAAGCCATTTGTCGGAATCCCAAGAAGCCGAACAGAATGAAGGCCACCGGGTGTGCGCGCAGCTTTTCGATGTTGCTTTTGCTGGCGGCCGCGCTGCTTGCGCTTGCCGCGGGGGTCGATGGACGGCGGCTTCGCCAGAGCGCCGTGTCGATCAGCAAGGTCAAGGCTGTCTCGGGCAGCGCCCTCGGCAGGGCCCGCAGCTCGGCCACCGTCTCCCCATACTCGGAGAGCGCCATCGCCAGCGCCATGTCGACCGCGGTGGACAGCGTCAGACGCGGGGACGGCGCAAGCGCGGAGGCTGAATCGGTGGCGGTTGCAATCGCCGAAGCATTCGCCGAGGTGGTGGCCAAGACCTCCGCCGAGGTGATGGCTTCCGGAGCCTCCCAGGCGTGCGCCCGTGCGCGCGTCAGCGCGTCCGCGGTCGCCAGGGCCATCGCGCGGGCGACCAGCAAGAGCTTGGCGAAGGTGCAGGCGGAGGGGGCGGGCTGGGATCCCGATTCGGCTGAAGCTTTTGCCAAGGCGGTGAGCGAGCAGACGGCGTCCGTGCACGCCACTTCTTTCAGCGAGGCGTGCGTGGCGCACGGGAAGGCTTCCGCGTACAACACCGTGGTGGCGTCGGCGTATGTGGAGGCGGTGGCCAAGGCGTTTGCGCACGTTCTGGCGACCGTGGATGGCGTGCCCGAGGCTGAGTCTGCGCCTGTGGCGGAATCGGAGTCAGTGGCGGAGGGCGGGGCTGTGACGTCTCGGGTGTCTTCAACCGGCCACGCCGTTGTGGAAGGCCAGGGGGTCGCGAAGCAGGTTGGAAGCGGGGACGCGGGGTCTGACTGAGGGTGGTGGATCAGTGGTTTTGTCGCGGGGGGTGTCTGGGTAGTCCTCGTCGTCATGAAATCTTACGCGACGAGGCAAGGGAGGTTGGCCAGTCACTGAGAGAGGAGATGTGACGTGTATTGTTTATTGAGTTGTTGGGGGAAGCGACTGAAGATGGGAGAACGGAGGCGTGCTTTGTACTACTATGTGCCGGAATGTACTTTCTTGGACTTCATGGCTTCTTGGCATTTGAACGATGGTGTTGCACGGAGTGGCCGCCCCGGCAGCAGCGATGCGCCATCCCCGTCGCGTTACTCGAAGACTCGGCTGGTGCAGTTCGATATGAAGAGTCTGCTGTCAGCGACTCCATCGCGGACAGCACACCCTACCAGGTTCCACATTTTGAAGATGCACAGTTTCTCCAGGCGCAGCTGCCTCGGTATTCAGAGTGAAGGAACGGAAAAGTGGCTCTCCAACGGTACGGTGCAATGGGCACAGAAGTCGATGTTGGTTTCCCACAGTGGCGGGAATGCCAGTAACAAAACTACGTCTGCTATACAATACCACTATCATTGCTGTACTACTACTGCGCACAACTGCACAGCTACCTTCTATGCACATGCATCACGTTAATGTAGCACTATTCAGCTGTTTCTGTGACTGCAAACACAGATAGTATCGCCTATGTCGCATGGGCCATGTGCATATGCGGCATTGCATCTGGGTGGTTTCCTTGGTCACTGGCACGAACCCAATGCGGCCGGTGTGAACCCTTCTCTGTTTCTGAAGAGTGGCGACAACGATGCCCACCTGTGAAATCGCGAAGGGCAAATTCTGGGTACCATCGACTGCATGTCCAATGCGATGATGGGGACAGCTCCAGACACCATGCAGGAATGGCCATCTTGTGCACACCGCGAATCATTTTTGCACGTTTTTTCATGTTCCCATGCTGCTGCCATTTTCCACAAGATGTCAGCCATCCAGTAAGCATCCAGGAGCCATGCCGTCCAGAGGGTTACTGAGGGTGGACCCCCTGGTTCAGGCAGGGCTGCCTAGACCTGAGCAGCCTGGACAACTGATGCTGTTGCTTGCATGCTGTACAGTGCAATGCTCCTTCCTGTTTTAGACACCTGTAGTGCGGGCCTCTACTTCTTAGCATGCTTTCCCTTCATCAGGACTGGGGATGCAAGCAGCACAGCAGGCACTCAGTTTCTGTCTCTTTGAAAACTTTTGGGCACAGAGCAAGCAAGCAACAAAGGCAGAGGCGCCAACACTCAACCAGGGAGTAATTTCAAGACAGACAATCCAGGTACTTGACGATGTGCACACTTCTACCATCTTCCACCCCGGCAATGGGCGAAGCCATTTTGGCTGCGGCACTCACTTGGCTCCTTCTTGGTACCACGGGCCTTCAGCGCACGGTTCTTCCTCTCCTTGATCTGCTTCCTGGATTTCTCCACCCGAGTAGCCAGACCATTCTGAAAGGGGGCAGCACCAGTGGTGCATTAGTTGTTCATCGGGGATGATTCCAGGCAAAGGGCGCCGACCACACACGGCATCCCATTATGCACCGTGGCAATTTGTCAAAAACATCGCTTCAGCAAATTTTCTGCTCCCATCTGCACCCCTCAGCTTGATTGCACCAAAATCGATAGGCTAGGTGCTTGAGGGCATACGCTTGGGTGCACAACTGCAGCTCACAGCATCATTTTTCTTCGGCCTTAAGATTATGTGCACACTTGCCTGCCTGCAACATTAATTCCAGAACTAACAAGAGCAAATTGGCAAATAGATGGGTGGGTAGGTGGGGACGCGAGTGGGGTGGGGTATCCAGGGTACACTTCAGGACAGAATGAACCGATTCTGTTGTTGACATCTCAAGCCACACCCCAACGATGAATGTGAAACAAACCCAGGTAACATCACATGAGCTACTCCACATATGAAACACAACCCCAGCAGGTGCTGAGATCGACAAAATGCGTTCAGCAAATACAAATGCAACATCGAGAATCCAACCGATTGCCATCTGTCTCTACGTTGCAATCCCCAGGATGCACATCGTGGCATTAATCGTTGTGGCAGGGAATGGGGTGCTACAGAGCATGTGCAGCAGCCACTGAATAAGCAGTTGGGCATTGCAGCAGAGGTCATTGAGACACAGCCCACAAGATGAAAAACAATCAGGCACTGCTTGACTCCCAGTGAATGCCCACAAAAGCCAGCGTTTTCTCAGTGAAAGGATTGTTTTGGAAGAGGCCACTGGCCGACAAAGCACCTGCCCGAGGACAGTTCATCAATGCTTACCCTGACTAGCCGGTATTGGGGTTCAAATTTCTTTGCAGCATCCAAACTGTCATAGATCAACCCGAAGCCCGTAGACTTGCCTCCACCAAACTGCGCGAAGGGAAAGGTGACACTCATATGCTTGCACTAGCCAGGCAGCGATGTCAAGCAGCAGAAAAGCGATTCTCAACTGGGCAACTACAGGACTGTGGAGCTGCAGGAACAAGTGTGCCAAATTCGATTTGGTATTTCTTCGGGTAACATTTCCAACACGACTTGCGGTCGCCGTTCATTTCCCTCAAAGTCAAAATGCTTTGCCAAATGCTGCTCCTCCCCATCAAGTCAATGCAAAATTTGAGGAGATTCATCCCATATCTGGAGTGTCTTGAGGAAACCTGTGTCAAATGCATCGCATCTTTCCCTCCCCCTTCCTTTACACAGTGTGCACCCGCATGGGAGGTGACATGATGCATTTGACTGTGCATACACACCGGCATTGTTGCCGGAGGAAATTCTGGCACAGCGCCGACCTAAAAGCCACTTCGGCCTCACCTGCGTTCGAAACCCAAAGAGAATGATCGTCTGCGGATCTTTGACGTCGTACATGGTTGAAAGAAGCTCTTGCAGCCTCGCCTGCGGTCGATCAACACCCACGGGTCAGGTATGATGCGCCGACTTCCGCAAGTGAATGCAACGGGGCCAATGCGAGATTGGTTGGTGTTGAGCGCAACCCCCGGTGACACGCCACTCGCCTTCTTCACATTCGCGCTTCCTGGATGCAGCACATCGAGGACCTGCACGCAAAGGAAGATAGGAGTGAGCGGTCCGCAAAGCTCAGTGTCGCGAGGACGGCTGGCATCACTTGTGCGGGATTGCAGATTGTGCACCCACAAATTGACGCCTCTGCAGAAGCCTGTTGGTCATGAACTTGCGCGTCCTCACGGTGCAAGGCTTGTCGCCCATGGTCGCTCAAGCCCCGGCCGGCTATGGCTGGGCGGGCGCTCAGACGGGCGCAGGCAGGCGACGTCCCTTCCGCCGCCACGTGCGTTGCAGGGGAACCCAGCCAGAACAGTTTTTTGGGCAGGCGGCAGAAGGGTAACGGTGGTAGAAAAAACTGTTACTCTACCACGAAGTTCAACGCTCGTGAAGTTCAACGCTCGTGAAGTTCAACGCTCGTGAAGTTCAACGCTCGTGAAGTTCAACGCTCGTGAAGTTCAACGCTCGTGAAGTTCAACGCTTTGCCAACTTAGGGCAAATGGAACCTTCAAACAAATTGCAGCGAAAATATGGGAAGGGCGAAATATTGCCAATGGCGGCACACAGCGAATAACGGAGGTGCCCAATCACGAGGAGCCATGCCAGCCACCCCCCTAGAATTTCGTGGCCCAAGTTTCTTGCATTCGCGATGGGGCTTCCTGCCCGCGAGACGCTGAGGTGGTAACCCGCGACCGAGGAAGTTGTGCAGAATCAGGGCCTGAAAGAAAGACCAAGCCAAAAAACACCCCAACCGCAGTGGTCTCCGCAGGTGTGTTGCACGCTGCCCCACGCGACAAACTACCAAGCGCTGCTCGGAAACCGCTTGAAACCGCAGGCTGCGGTGCCGATTGATTTGGTCGTCAAATGAACATCAAGGAGATGTCATCTGCGCCCGGTGCTGGGTTGAGTCGCCGTATGTACGAGGGACGCGGCCGGTAGCTGCCGCCTACAAGGTGCGCGCTGACATACCGACCAGCTGCGCAATGGCGGGCCGGGCCGGTGTCCCAGCGTTGGCAGCCCGCCAAAACGCAGCGCGGGCCCCGCCACGCCGATGCGTGGGCGGGTGCGGGTCTCCTGCCTGGTCTCCGCCCTGCTCGCCGCGCCTAGACAGTCCTTGTGTCGCTGGCGCAGCGCCTGCGATCGCCGCCTAACAGCCGCGGCTTCTCGCATCCCGCCGCCGGGATCGGCGTCGCGACTGCCGCCCGCGATGAAGCAGAGGAGCATTGCTAGCTTCTTCGGGTCGCCGGTGGTGGGGGCGAGGGGGGGGCCCTCGAGCAGCGGCGGGGATGGCGGGAGGGTAAAGGCTTTGGAGCCGGGCGCCGCGCCCAAGCGCCCGGGCGATGAGCCCAAGCCCACGTCCAAGCCACAAGCCGCCCAGGCCAGGAGCCCGCCAAAAGGGAAACGCCCGTCGCAGGTACGCGCCTCGGTTGTCGGGGAACATCCAAGGGTGCAATGGTGTGGCGATCTTGGTGGGTGTTCCCAATTCCAAACTGCAGCTGTTTGCGATCCTCTGGTCGGGCTGTTGTTTTGGCTTGCGATGAAGGTGTTTGCCTGGAAAGTTCAGCAACCCAGGAACGTCTGCAAGGCATTGTTGCTGGACTGCCTATTCGCCTCCCCGCGAATGGACGGGAGTGATCGCAATGCGGGGCGCGTGGTTTGTGGCGGTTGGGGGTATGGCGGTTGTTGAGAGGCGTATGTTGCGAGCGGTGGCTGCAGGACTACGGTGTTGATGCGCCGAGGAAGCCGAAGAGGCTGCGAAAGGCGAAGGGACAGGGAAAGGCTGCTCAACCGGAGGGTGTGGCGGCGGAGGAGGACGTGATCGATTCCCAAATGGAGAGTCCTCGAAATGAAGAAGGGCGAGGGCAGGCCGCGAGCGTCGCAGACGTCGCGGGAGCGTGTCTGGCGGATTCAGGAAAGGAAGATGGCAGCCAAGGAGCTGATCATTCGGACACTGAGAGCGATGCGGACTCGCGGACCTCTGCGAGCAGCGAAAGCGAGGTGTCCGCTGAGAATTTGGGTGGCAGGAAGGCGGGGAAGAATGGGATTGCGGAGCCGGGCGGCGGCACGCCTGGGAAGGGGAAGGCGACGCGCAGCCCGGCGGCTAAGAAGCGGGGGAAGAAGAAGGCGGCCCAGAGCAAAGCTGGCAAGGTGCGCCCGTTGTGCAAGGGAGCGCAGGTTTGAACGTCCCAAAGGAAGGATTGTTTGTGTGGCGCGCCTTCAAGGATGCTGATACCCATGGCAACCAGGATAACGTACAGATGCGGTCACAGGGATAGAGGAGTGGTTCCATGGGGGCTTGTATTCGCTCTCGTGACATTTAGTCCATCTGTCATGATGAACCCAATGCATCCATCTGTGAAAGTAAATGCTACCATGCCAGTGGCCACAAAGCCAGCACAGTGGCCAAACGCAGTGTAGCATGGCATTATGGGGGGGATACAATTCTTTCTGATGGTGTTTTGGAGCTAAGCATATAGGTTTTAAAGGTAAAAGTGAGGCAGTACCCGAAAACCTGTAATATGCACTCCCAAGTTGTAGGCTGTGGTTACAAGAAATGGTACGATCAAATGTGGCAATCGTATTTGCGCTACCCTTTTTACACATGCTGCACCCTGTGTGCTGCTATCTTGATGCCATTCCTATGCTGTCCTACTGGCGCAAATCTGAGAAATGGATCACAGGACACTCACAACTACCTGCCATTCCTGGAAGCTGGGTTGGGCCACCGATTGCCAAACCCAGCACGGGACAGACAAATGTGCTTCGCTTCGTCCAACAGGTTCCAGGGCAGTTCATTCCATGGATCACATCGCTCACAGGGACATGACAAACAAAAACCCTGCACCCTGAAATGGCGTTGACATGTGCAGCAGCTGTTGTTTGTTTGGTCTTGAGATACACACCATCTTGTGTACAACATTCCATCGCAGGCGACAGGCCGTGAGTTACCACTCTTGCCAACTGCAATTGTGATGGTGCACTCAGCCCACTGGTGCAGCAAACAGACAGCCACAGATGTTGGCACAGAACGAATCTCAAAGATGAACAGTGTGCCATGTGCTCAAGAGCCTGCCAGTTTCTATGTTCTCACCCACTAGCAGCAAATGAACTGCTCACCAATGTACACACATCCCCCTGCACTCTCCAACAAGAATTGTGTTGTCCACCGCCATGTCATTGTAACAATCACTGGGGATTTCCCCTTGGCAGGTGGAAGGAGTGGGAGCTGCCTCCGAAGCAGCTGCGGCCTTGTACAGTGAATTCAAGGAAGAGGACTATGAGGACTGGGATGCTGCAAAAGGTGCCCCCTACAAAGTTCTCACTGACACATTCCAAAAGATCGGCAATACCACCAAGAGGCTTGAAATAACGCTGCTGCTGACAAACACATTCCGGAGGATCATAAAGAGGAGTGCAGGCGACCTGCTGCCTGCTGTCTATCTGTGTGTGAATAGAGTGGCTCCTGCTCATGAGGGTCTGGAGCTGGGGCTGGGCGATGCGACTCTCATCAAGGTGATCCATATGGTCAAGTTCATCTCCTTTGGTTGCTCTTGATTACCCGTTGGTTGCAACATTTGCTTGTGCTTGCTGTGGGTGCCATTCAGCAATGGCCAAGTGTTGGTGGCCAGAACAGCTGTGCAATTGTGTGCGGACACAGTGGTCCAGGTCTTTGGTGCACTTGAGCAGCAACTGGTGTGGCTCTATGCCACACAGGAACACAGCTGTGAAGAAATTGGTCTGTTCTTTAATTCTGACATGGACACACACAGCATTCATGATACCTGCCTTGGCTGATGCTGGTGGGTGAGCATCTCACCACAACAGACAAATGGACCTGGTGCTGAGACTGGGTCACCACTGGCATGTTGGCTGTCTGTGCTCGCTTCCAGTTCCGAGCCTGGGAGTCTGGTTTCACATTGCCATTTAAATGAGGATATCTTGTCCAAACGAGTTGTTGCCTGGTGGGAGGCGTCCCAGTCCTAGCTTATGGAGATCCTGTTGCAGGCCATCGCCCAAGCGACTGGGAAGAAGGAAGCCCTCATCAAGAGTCAGTATGAAGAGAGTGGGGACCTTGGCACAGTGGCAGTGTCAGCCAGACACACGCAGCGGGTGCTGTTCCCGTTGCCGCCGTTGACCATCTCAGGCATGTTTCAGGCATTCAAGGCCATCGCCATGGCACAGGGCAGCAAGTCTCAGGACCAGAAGAAGCAGATGATCGGGAAATTGTTTGTGTCCAGCAAGGGCAACGAGGCTGGCTACATAGTTCGGTCGCTTCAGGGCAAATTGCGCATCGGCCTCGCTGAGCAGACAGTGCTGACATCCCTGGCACACGCAGTCCTGTTGGAGAGGGACAGCACAAGCGGCAAAGGCAGCCTGGCAGAGCGGTTGGAGAAAGCTGCACAGACTGTGAAGCAGGTTTACAGCCTGTGCCCGACTTACAATGTGGTGAGCTGAGGACTCTCTGACTCTGACTCTCAGCTTTCAACCCATCTCTTATGGGTGCCAGAAGTGGTGAATGCGGTGAACCTCCTCTCAGTACTTTTTGTCCAGGAGACTAAAGGTTGCCCAAGCATTTTACCCAGTGGCGATGCTGCCTGCTGTCAGCAGCCAGTTGTTGAATCAACAATCACCAAATGCAGATTGAGCACCACAAAGATGCTGATGCTGGTGGCCAGGCTGTGGTCGAGTTCCCTTTCGTGTGCACACTGCCACAGCAATGAACAGGGTTGTTGTGTGACAGGGCAGACCTGACTGACAAGTTTGATTGCCAGTTTGACAGGGCACTGGGATGTTGGTGTTGGCCACAAGAAAAACCTTTGTTTGTAGGACACCACTATTTTTGTGCTTTGGAGATCGCCAGAACACCCGCCAGTCACCATAAACCAGATCATTGCAGCGCGATGTGAGGTGCACATTGTGTACCAACTTGGTGCTGGAAGCGGCTGATGCAAGTCGTCATGCCTTTTACCCAGCAGAAGACACGATGTAAACATGCACCAGTAGAACTGTTGTGGGCATGCTGTGTGTGGATTTACTTGGAATTGGGTGCATGCTTATTGGAAAGCGACGCAGTTTCCACATAGCAACAGCTACTGGCTATTTCCTTGCAAGAAAGCTCAGCATGATGACAAGGATGTTTATGTGAGCGCTTGCTGAGATTCATCAGAAACTGACACGTGTTGCCAATTTACTTCACACAAGGTTATTTAGGGCGCTATGCCACTAGTTGATATTTCAGAAATGTAAGTTGTTGTCAATAGCTTAGGTGCATGACGAATGGGAGTTGGAGCATTTGTGGTTCTGTTGCTTGGGCAGGTGGTCCCTGCGCTGTTGGAGCATGGCCTCGACGACCTCAGCAAACATGCACCCTTCTCTCCTGGCATGCCTGTGCGTCCAATGTTGGCAAAGCCCACAAGTGGTGTCTCAGAAGTGCTGGACAAATTCTCAGACTGTGCGTTTACCTGCGAGTACAAATATGATGGCGAGCGTGCCCAGATCCACGTGTGGCACGACGATGCTGGCAAACAAAAAGTGCAGATCTACAGCCGCAATGCAGAAAACAACACATCGAAGTACCCGGACCTTGTGGCTCGGATGGCAAGTTGCCTGAAGGAGGGCGTCAAATCTGCAGTGCTGGACTGTGAGGCTGTGGCCTATGACATTCAGCAGAAGCGAATTCTGCCTTTCCAGGTTCGAGCCCATTTTCAGACGAAAATGGTGTTGTTGTTTAGCCAATGGGATTCTTCTTGGCTACTCCCAAGGAGCATGCGGCTGCATGTTGAAACTGGCCTTTGCTTGTGTCCGAAGGTGGTGTTTTTTGGTTGATGCATAGATTTTGGTGCAGCACAGAAGTCCCCGAAATGCGATTGCGAGTCATTCAATTGACATAGCGCAATGGAGAGGCAGATTGTTAAAACAAGGGAACAAAGTGTTTGGCTCAGAGAAACAGATGTTTGCTGGGTTGGTAGTGGAGAGGGAGGTGGCGGCCTTGTGACTGCACACAGTGGACACTTGTCGCTGTGTTCCCATTATGCTGCAGGCTGCAACCTACATTTGCCAGATCGTTTCAGGGTTCGATTGGAAGTGATGCTGACAGTGCAGCAGCATGCACATGCTGCCCCTTACTTTCTCTATTTGGCTGTCATTCTAGTCCGTCCCTTCAAATGTGATTTTGTCTGCATCACCATTTGATGTTGGTGTATTGCTGTCTCCCCAGTAGACCATCTGTCAGTCATGTGCTGTGTTGCAACCATTTTGCAATGTTGACATGGCAAGTGTGTATCCAGATGAAATGGTGCATCAACAGAAAAGTCGTCACACCCATCCTGCAGGAGCAGCTCTCTTGATGTATTCACAACTTGCAATCTCATTCCCCAGTGGACCAGCAGTGTCCGCCTGAGCCAAGGAAAGAATGGAGTCGAAACCTGAGAAGTGTGCATGTGTCTACACAGGTGCTGAGCACGCGAGCCAGGAAAGATGTGACTGTGACCGACATCAAGGTCCAAGTCTGCTTGTTTTGTTTTGACTGCCTGTACTTTAACGGCCGCCTCCTGTTCCAAGAGCCTCTGACAGGGCGGCGGCAGGTCTTGAACTCAGTCATCAAGGAGAAGGAGGGCGAAATTCAGTTCGCCAAAGCCATGGTTTCACGTGAGGTGGAGGAGCTTGAGGTGGGCTGTGTGGCTAACGTTTTAGCTGTGCTATGATGGGATGTCGTGTTTTGGTATAGTTGCGTTGCTGTCAGGGAAGGCAGCACAACTTGAGAACCATGTGAAATGGCAGACAATTCATAACCACAAGCTGATCGCCAGGTGTTGCCTCGGCCAACCAGAAAGCAATCAATTGTGTCGCCAAATTTATGCAGCACTTAGTGCATATGCGATATTCGGTTCCAACTGAAAATTAGCCCTGAAACTGAACAGAGGAAAGTGCCTGGAACAGCACACGCTCGTGATGTTAAGTGAAATGGCAGTAACTCAATGTCAGGTGTTATTTGAGGCCAGTAAAGCGATTTGGTTGCTGTTGATGGTGAGTTGGAACGGTTGGATCTGCAGGCTCCTTTGTGTGACACCATGGTGTGTTGATGGAAATGAACAGCTCTGGGACAACATACTGGAAAGGGCTTGCCTCCACATGCATTTCAGTCTGGCAGGCTCAGCAGATGCACCCTGACTTTTTGTTGTTCGGGGCTGACCCGACACTGACTGCCATGTGCAGGGCTTCCTCAATGATGCTGTTGCAGCTGGCACAGAGGGTTTGATTGTGAAAACGCTGGATGCCACCTACGAGCCTTCCCAGCGGTCACTGAACTGGCTGAAACTGAAGAAAGACTACCTCGAGGGCTGTGGCGACACCTTCGACGTGGTACCGATAGGAGCATGGCATGGGAAGGGCAAGAGGAAGGGTGGCTATGGATCATTCCTTCTGGCGATCTACAACCCAGGGCTGGAGGAGCTGCAGACAATATGCAAGATCGGAACTGGCTTCTCTGAAGAACAGCTGAAGGAGCTGTCAGACCAGATGAGAGGTTACGTGATAGGCAAGCCAAAAAAGTACTACAGCTATGGAGAGACCCTGATTCCCGATGTGTGGTTCGATGCAAAGGCCGTCTGGGAGATCAAGGCAGCAGACTTGTCCATCAGCCCTGTGCACCAGGCGGCACGGGGCATGGCAGACCCCTCGAAGGGGATCTCCATCAGGTTTCCACGCCTTGTGAGGGTACGAGATGACAAGGCTCCCGAGGACGCGACCACCGCAGAGCAAGTCACTGAAATGTACCAACAGCAGACTTTGGTGCAGGCGAAGAAGAAGTCCAGAAGGGACATGGATTGAAGCACAATGCCGGCTAGCAGGGCTCGGCTGCAAGGCGTTTGATCGAAACCTGCAAAACCTGGGGCCTGACTGAGTTGCAGAGGACATGTGCTCGGTTCATGTATTTAAGGCCTTAGGAACCGAGGTGGTTGTACAACAAAGTTGTTCGTTGTTGGATCATGGTTGATTTGCACTTCAGCTTGCTGCTCCTTGGGCAGGGTGGTGTGGCTACATTTGAACGGCTGTTGATGGTGCTGCATACATGCTGTCCTCAACAAATTTATATTTATTTGCTTGCAGTCTTTGTTGCTGCTTCCAATTGACAGCCGCCGTACTGAAGATTCAAGAAACAACACGTGCTCTGCACATACTCACGCATCGTACTTGTATGTCATTTATTATGTCTTGCATTGGGCATATTCAACTCCTTTCCATCAGCTCCAATTGATTCACATGGGCATACAATACAACATACTTCCTGCAAATCGAAAAGCACAGAGGGCAAGATACAGAAGATCGTACACTGCTGACTATAACTTGGCACCAAAAGCGCAAATGGATTCCGGTGAAAGCATCAAATGCGTTCAACTGCGATTCCATTTGTGTGCAAGTTGGTCCGGGTCATCTCTAAAGCAAAAAATGTGTGGCTCCCGTAGTGGTGGAAACACCGCTTGAGGCCAATCGCTTAGTGCCCTAATACTAGCCAATGGCTGCCTGCTGTTCTATATTTATTTATGCCTGCTGTGCCACAGTCGTGTCAACTGTTCCTGCCTGTAAACCACCAGTCGATGCCCAACACGGCCAGCAAACACAGGGCAAGGTTGGAAGTCCAACCAGCATGGCATCTGACACGGACAGATGGGCAATACCTTTGGTATGGCAAAACGAAGAAAAAAACAGACGTGAATCAGTAAATGCAACACTTGCTGCGGTCAATATTAAAAACCAACTGTTGCTACTGCTGTTTGCACAAAGCCATGCCTTCCTCTTGCTATTTCCATGATCCATAGAACCACTGGCTGCAAGTGCAACAGGTTTCCTGGCCTGCTGTTGGAAAATCCTGCCAGGACTCTACAGAGGTCAAAGCTCTCTCGAACATGGGATCTGATGGCGAACGTCTGGTGCGCAATCAATTCCAGACACTGCCAAAATTCCCAAATTGAAATAATACACAAAATCGGTTATCTATTTCAAGACAGCAATACCAGTACACGTTTTCGCACTGTGCCATTTCCTGACCCTTGCCATATCGCATATTCCTTGAGCTTGATGTGACACGCTGCCAGCTCTGCGTGTGCCCTGCTCACCGATGTCCCTGCATGTGTGTGGGCAGTGTTGCTAGGTCTGTTCGCATGGCATACATGAACACCTCCCGAACAGATGCCCAGAAGAACTTCATTGATCTGAGCACAGGATACAAGGTGAATCATGCATCGAGGCATCCATCATACACTCCTTTGGAGTAATTCTCAAAACGGGCAGAAGACAACCATTGGTGTGCAATGCTGTGCAAAAATGCATTTTCTGATACTCTGGTTTCTGGGGCAGACTCACTGCGACTGTATCTCCACCGCACACAATCTGCGGCCATCACAATGTTAAGTTCGCTGTTGCCTGTCTGTATGCCTTTATGGATGCATGAAGACCTCCCAATTGTCTGCAAGAGCATGGACCAGAGCCGCAAGAACAATGACCAGGAGTGGAATACCCAGTATAAGACAGATTTCGCTCTTTGTCAAGGACCCTTTGTCAAGTGCAGCACGCTTCATTCATTGCACGGTGCGGATGTCAGCAAGGACTTACCTCTTGAAGGTCCTCACATTGCGAAGCATTCTGTAGATGAACAAGAAAGTTGACAATGCCGCCAGCACAGGCATGCCCACCTTTGCCGTTCCACGATAAATGTTCCACTGCAGTAGCACAAAGGCACCTCAAAATGTCTACCTAACAAGGGACGTGGAACGGCAAAATAGCTACCAATGCAACAGACAAGTCTACAAACATGCCGACTACAACGTTCGTATACTTCCAACCACCACACATGCTCCAGTGCTGCTATCATGTCAGTGCAGCGGAACGATGTTGCTGCCGATTGTACTTGTTGCTATTGTTGCTGTCTCCCAAGATATGTCAATCACCAAGCAGCGTCCTTGCATCATCCAGCGACTCACAAATCAGCACATCAACTGCGTCCTGAATGTAAGTGTGTGCACAGCCAGGACGCCCACCACAAACTATACAGTGAACAGGCCAACGAAACCAACAACGTGCATGTCCTGCATCGGCAGGCTTCAAAACGTCACTACATGTGTTGCGCAGGGCGCAACTCCCCCGCTAGCTGCCTGGAATCAGCAGTCGGTTACCCAAACTTCCCATGCTCCTGATCTTGCACTCACCATTCTGTTGCACAGGCCTGGGTAGTATGACAGCAAGCCCTGGACCCAGGACAACAAAGTCGATCCCTGCGCTGCCACAGCCTGGCCGTCCGCAGAACCTGCAGCATCTCGCCATTAGTCAACGCCAGATACCATTTGCAGCCGTGTGCATCAATTTTGCTTGTTTAGACGAGGGCTTGTGATCAGCAGTTACTTGCTGCCATGCACTGTCAACAGAGTCTGTGGTGAAACAAGCTGCCGCCTCGCGGGTACATTTGCACTCGCATCACACTCATCCTATTTGTGTAAGTGACGATGGTCCCAGTGTGGCGCTCATCACATTACTGCCTACCATATTGTACAGAACAGGACTAGACAGGAGGGCAAAGTTCCAATGCTTGCTTACTGGTGGCATGTCATGCAGTTTGGGTGGTGTTGCATTGCATGGAACACATGTGGGCCATGGCAAAAACTCCAAGCATACCTCCTTTCTTCCTCATCGCTTGTTGCCGATGCTTCCGCTCCTGCTGCTGCTGCTGCTGCAGCCTTTCCTTGTTTGATAGATTGTCCAGTTGCTGAAACAGGATCTGACACAGCACATTGACTGGCATGAGCTCCAGAATTTGGAACTTGTGTGCTGTAACGCAAGCCAAACCACATCAAATCACAGGACAAACTGTCCACGAGCACCAGGGTCACAGCAGTTCAGTCCTCTTGGCTTCTGATGTTACCCACTCTCGCAGATGATGTCTAGGACTCAGTGCCTTCCCAAACCAAGATTCAGGAATCCCTACTATCGTTCTACATCTACCATCCCCACTGTACTATCCAGCCCGTATGATAAGCCACATCAAGCAAATTGACTATTGCTAATGCAACGCCATGATCTGAGCGGGGCCAATCCAGGCACTACAAAACTTGGGTTCCTACAAGTTCATGTGACCTGCCTGCCATCCTATGCTCTTCTTGCTGTTTCCTTGAAGTGCCCTTATCATGGACTTGGGCACGTCCTGGATTCTAACTTCTCTTTCTTTTACCAATGTCTGTATGTACTGCAGACAGGCATGAACGGAAAAAAGAATAGATAAGGGACAGAAACACATTTTTGGTTGTAACCCTACCCATCACCACGTGCCAGGCGCAAGGGCCCCGCATTGTCCTTGAAGGCAAACCTAAGCAAAGAATTTGCAAAGCTTCCATGCATCCATCCGAAAGCAGCAGTTGAAACTTGCCCTGTTCAATTTTGTTGTTGGAAAGGGGCAGACAGTCCATCCAGTCTTGACACATTGAAGCCAAGAGCGACTCAAGAAAGAGACACCATACATTCTAATGGATACATGCAGTTGCAGTCTTTGCCATCAGCACAAAGCACTTATTTATGGAGTTGTTCATAATTCAGCTCATTGCCTCCGTATGTGCTTCCCTACCTTCTTGTGCTCCGGAATTAGGACCTTTGTTGTTCCGATCCAACTCCTTGCCTCCATGGACCTATGAAGACCTTTCGCCAGTATCTCCACAGCATACACGCCACCCACCAAAGACAGGTCCTCATCGATCAGCGCTTCCCCTGCTTCAACAACGGCATCTGCAGGCAGACAATTGTGTTGTAGGGTACTCCACATCAACAAGGGTTGTGCCTACTCCGCTGTATGGCAAATCTCTCACCAATACCGTCGATGTTCGTGCAGCGCAATGCTAACTTTTGGTCCCAGAAGGGCAACTGTATCTGCACAACTGTATCTGCAAGTGCAATAACAAGATGATTTTCACACGCAGAATCTACAATGTGCAGCAACAACCATGAGAAGAACTCTGGAAAATAATCCTGGCTTTTCACAACGGCACTGCACAGTGCACACATCTGGCAGCAAAGGAAACCAAGAGCCAGGTGGCTTGAGTTTGAGCAGCACAACTGGACAGTTGACAAGTGTTAAGTGCATGCACAAGGGATTGGCATTGCTGCCAACCACAACAACCAACAGTATGGCGTTGCCACAGAGTATCATGAGCTTGAAACTGGTATGATAGGGTGTCCGATACTATAGTTCACGAGCCATAATTGCTGCAAGGCAGACAAAGCATTTCACCACCTGTGGCTGTCTGAGGGATTTATTTGCGAGGATTGGCACACAAAGAGGTGCTGCGATGCACAGATTCGCAATTTGCTGCAGTATCCAGCAGACTGTAAGCAGCTCAACAAGTATGGAACAATGGCATTGTGAGTTGTGACCACTGGCAAGGAAGAAGTGCAGATGACACTAACAGCACCTTGTCCACCTGCTGCACCATGTAGATTCTCGATGTAGTCTTCTGTGCACTGTTTCGATAGCAGCTGGAGTCGTTCATCCTCAGTTTGTAGCCCAACATCAACACACATTACCGCCCTGCAAGCAGGGAATGTTCAGGCATCAGTACTAACACTCTTGCCTTCCCACCTCCAGGTCATGCCACCAGTGAGATGCGGGTTACAACTGCCTTCTCCATAGTTTGCATTGGTAAAAGTGCAACACATGTTGGTATCTTTTGAGGCGTTCACGACACATGGGGCAGACAACACGAATTCAGACAATTCAAGGCCCCCAAATCAAGAATCCTGGCAATGCATACAACTGGCATCGCCCCCCCCCAGCGTGAATACTGCATTTCTTTTGTAAAACATGCGTGAAGAAAAGGTGCTTGGACACTAACAATGGAACAAGTGCTCAGCATGACCACAGCAAGGGTTTGGAAGTGTTTGGCCACAAATGAAAAGTTAGCCTGCTGCTTCTGACACAACCACACCGATGTGTTGGCACTCACCAGACTGCAAATTGCTTCGGTGGCAGCTCCATTGCGATATCTTTGGTGCTCAGAAACAGAGCCCGCAGTATTTCAAACCTTTACAGCCAGACCAATGCTATCCAGTCACCATTGCAGCTTTAGGCTTGCCTGAAACGGTTCGAAAGGTGGCTAGTCCAATATCGCGGTCTCAACATACAGGATGGGCGCTGCCACCGTGGCTGGGGAACGTCTTCTTGCACAAACAGGCAAGGCACACACACAATGGGAACCACCTTCCCAACAAGGATTCTTCTGAGCTCCTTTTCCTTCCTGGAGAAAATGTTGCAGAAATCTCCGAACGCAGGAGAAATGCCACACGATACAGAGCACCACAACAAGCAAGACACGTGCACACGGGGCGGCCCGCGTGACACTGCGCGAACGACCAGCTACGACCTCAAACAGGCATCAAGCACAGGCGACGCCGCCGCTGCCTCCTCGAGCGGTCAGTGCGCACAACCGCAGCGGCGCGGCTACACGCCAGCGGAAGGCGCGGGGCCGGGTGGCCAGGCGAGCATTGGCCCGCCAACATCCCCTCGGAGCGGCAGAGATTGGGATTGCAGGACCGCACAAAGCCACGCGCCACCATCCAGGAAGGACGCTGCGTCGGCAGCATCATGCCCTCCGCAGGCACGCCAGCACCAACAGCGGCGCCTTCCGCAACGGCCCATCAAACGCAGAGTTTAAAAGCCACACCCGGTCAGCCTCCCCCGCCCCCCTCCCTCCAAGCGCCTTCCCAACAATGCAGCCCAGCCCACCGTCACAGCAGAGAAGGCAAAGCGGACAAACGCACCTCTGGTCCTCGTACAGGGACGCCATGCGCACGGCGTACGCCCTCAGCCGCTGGTGCTTGGACACGAGCGCCGGGTCGCAGCCGAAGACACAACCCGCCTCCTCCGCAGCCTCCCTGTACAGGCCGGACACCAGCATCGCCTCGGCGTTCAGGATGTGCTCCTGCGGCGTGGCGCCGCCCATCCCGCCCATCCTCTCGCCGCCTCTGGCCACCGCGCGGCGGCGCTTGTGCGGACTGCCTCCTCGCTGGCCGGGCGCTGTTGGATGGGTACGGCGGGGTGGGGGGTGGGGTATGGGGTGCGCGGAATGATGGGGCAAACGGCGCCCTGATTTGTCGCAGGATTCGGCGCCCGGGCCGCAAAGGCGCCGGCCAGGCCGCAAACGGCGGGATCTTCGGCCGCGTCGGCAGCCACGCAAACAGATACTTCGGGGCGCAATTTGGGAAAGAACCCTCGAAATCGACGAGGGGGACGTGGAAAGGACCACGACTGGGGCGCCAACGTGGCGATCGCCCGTGACGTGGCCCAAAACAGGGCGCTCAGGGGGACCGGCGCTGAAAACTATGTACTTTAATGCATTTAGTTATAGTTCAATCAATCAAATGAGATTCAGATGCAGTGGGATGCGCAGTGCAGGAGGGAGTTGTCTGGATTGGTGAAGTGCTGTGCTAGCGGGAGATGTGGCCGCAGGGGTGCCGTTGATTTCGTTGCGGAAGCGGGACCTGTAGCCGGATTTCTCTGTGGCTCGTTCGTGTTCGCTGTTGGGTTGCTTTGTTTCTGTTTCACAACGCGCAGGCATCTGTGGAGGAGTTTCGATCTGTGCTGAACGGTTTGCTGTTTCGTCGAATCCACGCCAGCACTGCTTGTTCTCAGTCATTTGGCTTGCAAGCTCGAAAACCTTCCAAACTTCATCATTTCATCATTCCCAAACTTCTCACAGATGAATGATTGATAAGCCCCCTTTTGGGGAGGGCACGCCGAGCCCAAAGATTAATTCTTCAAAATTTATGTGTCCTTTGCTTCACGGACCCCAAAATCGCATACAACTTATTCAAGACCTATGTTCTGGGCTCAGTTGGATGTACCTTTCTTATTTGGGGTCCGTTTCTCGCGAAGACTCCATAGAATCAGTTGGAGAAGGTCCAGACTCAATTGTAACGCCACGTTCTTTGCCTTCCTGGCCAAACGCCACTGGGGATTATTTATGTCGAAATGGGAGCACTTCCTTTAGAATTTTACTTATGGAGACAGCTGGTGCGATATTGGAAACGAATGGTGGACTTCCCACCTCTCGGGTTCATGGCGCCATCTTCAAGTCCGGGTTTCAACAATTCTCAGCCAACCCTCGATCGTAGTATGGACGCATCATTGCCTTTTTCCATCGATTCTGGCCTGATCTCAGTTGAACGGAGGCTACACCAGTTGACCTACAGTCTTTTCAACGGATCTACAAACACGTCCTCAGTGCCAATGTCTTCTCCGACCAATCTTCAAGAATTCAGGGATGGTACAGACACATCAAGCGAGTCTACCAATATGAACGATCCCTGTCGTCATTACAGCCTATCTCCTTGAAGACATGTTCTTGCGATTTCTTTGTGGGGTGCACTTCCTGGAAGTTGAGCAACAACGACACCAAGCGAGACAATCTATTCCAGAATTTGCAAGATGACGGTGTTTTTATGTCACTCGGCCCCAGAGGACGAGATCCATTTTCTCTTCCACTGCCAGGCCTACGACATCATATGTCGAAGCCACTCTTGTATTTTTCGATGTCACAACGCAAAAACACTTTTTGCTTCGGTTCCCCCTCACCAACTGGCGAGAACACTTCTTCTGATGTACTATCATTGACAATCGCTTCTAGGCAGTTAATAGATTGATAAACTTTGTTGCGTTTAAAATTAGGTTTCAACGAACTGATCATAAACACTACTTTTCTCGGGCAAAATAGGAATCTGACGGCTGCCTCATTGCCTTGTTCTGCAAAAATGGTGGTGATGATGATGGAGACAAGCACCCTACGTCCAGGACAGGATGCGGAGTGTGAGCTTGACAGCTCTGAACCCAACCTCCCGCATTCAAGCCTTTGGGTTCGGTGTTTCGCAACAAAAACACCGGCACAGCGATGTGTACAGAAACCTGCGTAGTGTTCTGATGACCGAATGCAAGCACGAACGCTGCAACAGCCAAGACAAGTACAATGTATGCGAATGCGATCCGATTGGAACGCCGCTTCACCGTCCTGTTGGGCAAGTCACAGGGGGCAGGCGCGCCGCTTTCCCAGTGCACAAAAAGGGCGCAGCGAGGTGCGGTGCACCGGCGGAAGCCCCAAACCGATCGCACCACACACCTCCGCCCAAGTTTGCCGTCCTTTCCCCAGTGCGAACGACTGAGGCGGCGATCATCGCGTTCAGCGGGGCGCCGTCGCCCTTTGGAGGGTGGGGTGCTTGCGTGCTGGCGGCAGCATCACGGTCTGAAGCATGCCGGCCACGAGGAGAAGGAGGGCCGTACCTCGGCTGGGGACCAAGAGCCGGGTGCATCGGATCACCAACATCAAGAACTGGGAGAGGACACACGCGGCGGCGAAAAACCGGATGGTGTTCGTGCTGTTTGCGGCGGTGGGTTGCGCGGTCCATCACGCCTGCAGCCCTTGGCGATGCCAGCTTGGAAAGCAAGGGCTGTGATGGAGTTGGCGTGCGTAGCGTTTGCGCGCACATGCAGCGACTCCAGGCTTTCAGATGTTTGGGCAAAGTGCGACTTGGAATCCCAGTTCTTTTGTCCCTATTGGTTGCGTACCCTCTGCTTAGAATGGGTTCTCTGTGCGTTGTCATAGGACCAATTCGGGACTTGATTTATTGACAAGTCTGGTGCAACAGCTCTGCGCAGCCCTTTGATTGGTGCTTTGGAATCCGAACCTGGCTGTTGTCCCATTTCTGTGATTCCAACAGTTGCAAGCGCATGGCCGACAGACAAGCAGTTGCACCTGAAACACGATTATGGTCACATCGGCATCCAGCTTGTGTCTCTGCATTTCATATTGATTGCCTTTGATGAACGTGATCATGATCATAACACAGGCAATAGCAATGCTGGTGAAGGTTGTGACCCTTTCGAATGTAGACACCATGTATGCCAGTTTCTTTGCAGCTGACTTTGTGCTGTACGTGCTCTTGTGCTCGTGCTGGGCGACAGGAGTTTGCACCAAACACAATGAGGCTCAAGCAGTTTGTGGCAGAGATGTCCCAACAAACAAACTTTAAAGATGCTGAGTTCCTTTATGTGGATGTTGAGAGAGCGCCGGTAAGTATTGTTTTGAGTTTTTATGCCACAAGCCCTGAGGTGGTTTTTGCATCGCACCTGCCGTTTTTGATCACTTTTGATGTGTGTACGCCTTCTCTATGTGCGTATATGTGTGCCTTTTGTGTGCAGTTCCTTTGATTGCATCTGTTGTTGCGACAAAGCATACTTGGTGCACAGACAAGGCAATGAAAGTGCTCGATGTGTGCCCCAGTGTGACATACATCCTTGCCAGCACTGGTGGGTGTTGACATTTATGTTCCCAATGGCAGGGATTGTCAGAAGAACATGGAATAACTTCGGAGGAACTTCCAGTATTTGCCTGCTACCGAAATGGGGAGCTACTGGAGAAGTACCCAGTTGATGTAGGTGCACAAGCAGTCAAGCGCATCCAAGCAGTTGTGTGTTGTAGCGCAGCTGTTCAGCGTTGGCATCAGCTCAGATATGCCTGCTATCTGCAGTTGTACCATCCTTTCCTGCAAGTAAAGACCTATGGGCGGGTAGCACTGTCATCATGGCTGTGTCAGGGAGGAATGTTGAACCTGATTTTGCACATTTTTGGGGCGTTTTTGTAGCTTGCTGTGATTTGTGTGCTTCAATGTGCAACTAGGAAAAGGAGTTCAGCCAAAAGCTGCAACTCTGTCTGGTTTGGACATGATTTGGGATGGTTTTTACGAAGATAGTCTGGGAATTTTCTGCGCAAGGCCCTATGCTCAATGAAACTTTGTACATGCATTGCCTGTGCCCTGGATTTACGGCACGTGAGATCAAGAGTTTGCACTCTGTAAGCACTGATCAATGCACACACATTGAAACAAGTGTGAAGGTGACAAGCGTGGGTGGGATGGCCTCGTGTTTTGCCTGCAGTTAACCCATGGGTGCATGCCCTTTTCCCTGTTCTCCCCAAATGTTGATAAATCACACCCAGACTCCTGACGGGTGGTAAAGATTTGCGCAATTGCATTGCGAAGTCCCAAAGCTCTGCCACAGAATGGTCAAGGATTGGGACATTTTTTATACCTGCCTTATTCATTCATTTGTGGACACTCACACCTGTTGCTCAGAATGTTAGACGACTGATGGCATCGAATCAAATGTTGGGTGTGGAATTTGTGCAAAACACAACATTGTGTGCACAACTGTCCATCCCAATCTAAGGGCTTGTCTCAGAAACAGCTTGGCAGCAGTTGTCACTTCGAAGGACAGGCAGAACCAAATGACACTGGGGCAAAGCCATGCTTCAGTCTTCACTGAAACTGATTCAATGGCGACTAATTTGTGTCAGGGAATGGTAGCAAGTCCAAAATTCAATGCTGGGCATTTGGTGCTGGCATGGCATCCAGAGGAGCACAGATCTCTGGCTCCTTTGGAGGTAGAGTTTCTTCTTCTGGTCAGTTCAGTACTTGTGCACATAACATATTGTGCACTTTGGAGACTTTATTTTGGCAGCATGTGTTGCTGCGTTATTGTTCACGATTCTTCATTGATTGACATATTTGTTGTTCTGTTGTGCTTCAGCAAAAGATCGAGGGGATTCTGGCACATAAAATGTTCACAATGTTTTCCAGGCACACAGGTGAATAAGGATGTGAAGGCGGTTTAAATTGCTTGCTGGACACCCTGTCTTGTTGTTGTATTCTCACATACTGTTGATGCACCCTGCAAGCATATTTTGCAGCACCGATTCTTTCACCACAATTGCCAGAACGTGCCAAAGCACTGCCCTGTTGCCCTCACTGCAGTAATGGGCATTGCCCTGACAACAATGTTTGCTCCAACTCTCGATGCAATGAAGTTGATATGCCTCTCGACTCATGATGCGTTCACTTTTTCAGAGTTCATTCACATCTGCTCCAAGAATCCATAGAATCTCAAAGAATGGAGGGAAGAAGTTCAAATTCCATTGTGGGATAAGTGGTGTGGTCATTCCACAGATGAGAGCCTGTCAAATCAGTATAGGTTGACTCCATTTCGTGCTCCACCAGTGGACTGTCACTCCTCGCGGCCATCATCGTGAGGATATGGCTCCATAGCATGCACCTCCATTGACTCTCCTTTTCTGTTGGTGTTACAGCTAATGCCGCTGCTGAAAATGCACAACTTGCCAAGCCAGGCCTGAGTCGCGTTGTTCAGCTGGCCCTAGGAGCACTCACAGTGGGGGCAGTCGTTATTGGTAGGTCTCTCATGATCCATGCTGCAGGCTGCGTACTGAACAGAGTGGAATATTGTGGCTTGCATGCTTGGGCTGCTGGCAATGTGGACACCCTTTGGCGGCCTCCTTTCTAATCGTAGATATACCATTCAAGGGTAGATGTTCGTGCTGTAGGCGACAAGTTGCAAGTGCGCTGCACCAGCCACACTGGCAAAAAGCAGAAATGGCTGTGAAAAAGAAAACCACATTTCAATCCCCTTGATTCGTCCACGCACTGAGTTCCCTTAGCCTTACAGTTTTGCCTTGGGCTGTGTTCACCGTATTTGCCTCTAGCATTTATTTCTGGTGCATGTGTGAACTCGTTCCATTTCCATTTAAGGTTGTTTCATGCAATCGTGCACATGTCAGCATGTCCCCATTGTAAACTCGGCAGGTGCCAGTGAGCCCCCGCTGAAAATTGTTGTTTTGTGGATTTTGGGTTGAGGGCGATCACTGCGCGATGCCTGAGCAGTTGAAACCTTCCTTGCATGTTTTCCGTTGATGAATAATTTAGGTTGTTGGAGAATCAAGGGAGATACACAGATTGGCGCATGGTTTGCTTGACGAAGTGGAGGGGAACCGGCAGGTCTGATTCATCATCATTTTTACATAACAAGGCAATGACGTAGCCGTCAGCTTCCTATTCGTTTCGAGGAAAGTAGTGTTTATGATCAGTTCACGAAAATCTCATGTATAACACACAGTCTAGGAATCTATAAAGTCCTAATGCCAAGAAGCGTTTGTCGATGATGGTACATCAAAAGAAGTGTCTTTGCCAGTTGGCGAGCGGCAACTGAAGTAAATAGAAGGTCTGATTCACATGACGCTGTGTACGTGTTGGAGATTCGTTTAGTGGTACTTCTTTGAAGGAGCCCTCTTCGACCACCTGTTTTCCACAGCTGGGAAGTGACTGCGCTGACCAAAGGGGCATCAAAGGGGCCATCCCCCGTGTTCATCAGGAGGTGAGTTTTTGTGCACTTAGTAATGTGGTAGGCGGCTAGATGCAGTTTTTGGGTGCACTGAGCACACAGCATTCTTCCTGTGCCTGCAGCCGCTGCAGCGGTTGCCATTTCTAGGACGCTAGCTGATGGGGGGAGGACCGCAAGGGAGGCACCCCAGCGGCAGAAGCAGAGATCAGGCGGAGAGGCTTCACAGGCCTCGGGTGATGACGGCGATTCCGAATTGATATCTGAATTCGAGTCAGATGAGGAAGAAGAGGACTTGGAGCGCAGTTGGTTCGAAGGTGAGAGACAGAAGCGCTCAAACGGCGTTTCCAACAGAAGAGTTGACCAATTCAGTGTTGAATGACGAAGTGATGGTTTTCTTGGCCCGTCGCAGCCGGGCAAAGTTGTGGGAGTGTGGCTTTCTGCCCCATGCACCACCGTTCTCACGCGTTAGGTGCATTCACACACAAAGTGCAGGAGGACAGCAGGGTGTGGTGGGAACTTGGCGCCAGCCGAGCCTATTGCATCTGTTTGCTGCCTTCAGCATTTGCCTTTGGTCGTGTGTTCGCAGAGTATGAGGAAGGTGACTTCGATGACGAGGAAGACGAGGTGTAGAAGTCGTTCGCATGGCAGCCGCAGTACTGCGCCAGCATCCCCAGCTGCCACTGCGGCGTTGGCCCCGTCGCCTGGGCGTCATTGATGTTGTCATCCAGCGCCACAGTTTCTCGTTTGCTACAGCATTGGACTTCAAGTATCAAGTTGAGGGTCTTTGACTTGACAGTTAACACAAAGTGGTTTGTTGGTGGCAGCATTGCGAGTGTTGCTCACTGCCTGTTCGCCTGCCTTCAAATACCCAAATGTCAAGCCCTCCGGCTGGACGCCCCATCTTCGGGAGCTTTCAACAGACGCCTTTCCTGCACGTGAAGTTAAGAAGAAACGATTTGACATCTTTTCCTTGCAGCAGCTTTCTTGTTTGTCCTTTCTTGAGTGTCCTTAAGCGATTGCCGTTTCCCGCTAGGAATGGTCCGGAGAAAGAAGGGGAGCGGTAAATGAATGTACAGGGAGGCGCAGCTGTGGCAGTGGGCACATGGGTCAGGATTTGAGGCATGATAGCCCGTTTTGAGCAGGGTGAGTCGTGTGCAAAGGGGACAAGCAGTTCGCGCCCAGGGTTTGGAATTGATCTGGAAGATGGTCCCAGAATCAGGACCAACAGGTCGCGGTTAAGAGGCGCGAGCGTGCCAGATTGTATGTACCTTAGATCGTTACCAGCGCCTCCGGTTTGTCTCTTGCACTCCTTGTGAACGTTGGTTCTTCAGATGACAGGGAAGGCAGGTGGGTCGTTCGCACGTGTCGAGAACACAAGCTGAGGCGAATGTCGGATTTGTCGGCGAGATGCTGAACGATGGGTTGGAGGTTGCAGGCCCAAATCGGCTTGCTCAGAACGGCGGACTTACAGACACATGGCACCTCCGATGCAGACTTTGTGTTGAAATCTTCACCGTCCCTTGGACGGCGAGAAGCAGACGCATCCGTGGGTGGTAACAAGTTGTCAGCTACAGTGTGCCCTATTAGGCACAATTCCCTTCACCATAGATGGGGAACACTCAGTCGCATCGCAGGCTCGCAGCACACATGTGGGGCCATTACCGATGCAGCTCGCGCCCGCAGACTGTAGGATTGCCGATCACTTCACATGCCACGGTCTCCCGATCACATCTAACGCAGCGTCTGCAAATGCAGCAAACTTGGAGAGGTGTCAAGACGCCGGCTCCGATCTTCAAGTTCGCTCGCAGCTACGCATCTCGGCACTCGCCTGCGAAAAGGCCAGAGAAGCATATTTGCACCCCGACAGGGTCACATCCTGCAGACGATGCATCTGCTCATCAAGAGACCCCTGCCCCACCCTGAGATGTTACGAGTGTGAGCCCATATTGCGGCACCCATTTATTGCATGCTACAGACAATCACCACTGTCAACTACACAGCTGCGATCCATCCTTATTCTATTTTGGGGAGGCAGAACTGCAACACGGGAGTGCCCAAAGGTCACATTTCTAGGCTTCACAGCTTGCCGGTCAAGTTGCTGCACAAATTTTCAAGCGCAGCACCCCGTGCACCTGGCTCTGGACCACTGAACTCACACTAAGGGCTCGACGGAGGTGGGACAGACACCGTCCCTCGCTGCCTTGTTTCCAGGCGTTGCTGCAGGCTAACCGGCAACAGCGCCCCAGGGCGATCAGTGACACTCTCAGACCTCGATGGTTGACGCCTTGAAAGGCCGTACCGCAGCTCGTCAGCGACGGACAGTCCTAATGACAGAGAGCTTCCAGTCAGTGGGACTCAACGCACAAGGTCATTCTCTATTGCCACCAAGAGCACATTCCTCAGCAACAAAAACGTGGAGGTGGAGCAAGCGTTCTGCAAAAAAAGTCGGAGACCCCAAATCCTTTAGTTGGATCTGGTACCAGTCCCACACAACATATACCGAGCATGGAAGCAAGTGCCAGTGCCTGTGCCAACCATGTGCATACCATTCTCCTGATTGTGGCCACCCACATCCATCGCTGAGGTGCACCTTCGAGACAGGCGTGCCTTCAAGTTTGTCGCCTTTTCCTTGGCAGCCTGTGCGTTCTGCTCACATCAAACACCACGTCTGTGAGAACTCTGTACACGTACGGGTGTCCATGCTGCATGTGGTGCATCGGATGCAAGGGGGTCAGGGTGATGACAACAGTCAGAACAAGGACCTCGCTTCCAGTATGCCACTGTTTCTTTTGATGTGGATTATAGGCGACACTCTTTGCGGTTTGTCTCTTGTGCATGGATGTGGCCACTAGGGAGTGTCAAGTGCGGCCCACTGCCACACGTGCAACTGCATTTATCATCGGAACATAGCAGTTGGCAACAGCACTGTGAAGTGAAGGGCCAAGGACAAAGCCTTGTCGTTTCTCATGGAAGCACAGGAAGGATCGATTTCGCTGACAACCTGCTGAGCCTCCCTGCCACTGTCATGGCTGAGCAATATGCAAGTCAGTGTGGTGAGCTTCACTGGCTATGCACCATTCCCTAACTCCAAGGGAGACAAGAAGACAGCACTTGCACCGAAGTTGACATTCCCCCCCTGCAGGTGTCCAGCTCTCCAGATTCATCTATCAGAATAACGTACCAAAAGAACTTACGCTGCCAATCGTGCACTACCCAACCGTTCCCAAAGGGTAACTCACCTGAAGCAGCTGATACCCACGTGGAGTCGACGTCAGGACACTCCTGTCGCCAAGTCTTACGGGTGTGGAAGCAAACAGGGAGTCGAAACTGGACCGCTTGTCCACGTCTGCAGCAGTCTGCCTGCTGTCATAAGAGGGAAGGCTTGAAGGGCGATCCAGCCCGGCAAGCTCCCTGCACACATGGAAATTATGTTGGACCACAAAAAAACATTGTGCATGTGCCCCGATGCATCCATGGTAGCTTCGGGCCAATCGGCTTACATCAAGACCTGTTGATGCCACTGTGCCATTCTGCCCCTCTTGCAAGATGTTCAGCAGCTGCTCACTCTGCCATGCAGCAAACTGGCATGGCCGCACACCCATAAACAATCGCCAAACGCGAGTGTGGCAGACATTGCACTAGATGTGGATGACAAGGGTAAGAAAACACTATGCAGGCCACAACAAGTGTATGTATTCTGACCTGTATTCTCGGACCAGCTGCTCTTTGGTCCTCCTCCCTTTGACCCAACCAGGCTTCAGCCACTTTAGTCCTGCCTCCAAAATCTTCACGGTGATGCGCGGCACAGGAGTCACTCCGTTGGCGCAGCGCTGTCTGTTGATGGCCTCAAGAAGCACAGGATCATCCACACCTTGACCACCTGGAAACAGAAACAGAAATATCAGCTTTCAGTGAACAAAGGGAAGGTAAAGCACTCAATATGCACAATTTCAACACATTCTCTGTCCCCCTCTCCCCACCATTGCAGAACTGCACCGCCCTTCTGTTGGCCCTGTGTGGAAATCAGCCACAGCCATGCGGCAAACCCCAATAGCTGGATCCATCAAAATCAACAATGCCTGCAGAGTTGAGGCACTGCTGTGGAAGAGTTCGATTTCAAACCACTCTTTTGCCAGCATACAGCAGGAAACTGCAAGCAGCACTTTGAACCAATTTGCTGCTGGCCAAAATGGTGAGTTGTTCGATCGCCGATGACCCCGCTGCACACCTGATCTTGACTTGTTCGGGAAAGGCTCATAGTCAGGATCGTTCTCTGACAAGGGTGTTGGCTGATCAAAGTCGTCCTCATCGTCTTCGTCCTGTTCAATGAACTTTCAGTGAAACAATCGCTCACCAACATAAAATTACAATTGGATGCAGACATCCTATTGCACCCCTACTTTTGTGGTAAACAGATCTCTGCATCTTGATGTCAGCCATTCTGATTGCAACGCACATGGTGTTGAGGATACACAAATGGTCATCGCCCCCACAGAGCTAGCACAGCTGACAACGAAATGAAAAAGTTGCGATCGCAGACAGTGCTGACAATCTACTAACAACAGCACCCAGGGGGGCAAGCATGACATCTCTGCACAGCGTATGTCCTACAATCGTGGCAACAGCACTCCTCACCTCAGAAGCATCCATTGGGCTTCCATCTGCCAGGTCATCTTGTCCGGGAATGGGCGAGCCTGCAACATAAGGAAGCAGCTGACAACCTTCACCATACACACTCACTGAAGCACAATTCTTTCATAAAAACACACTTCAGTGCCCGATGCCCACATTCTCTCTCAGTGTGCTCGCAAAACGCAATCCTCACCAGCTTGAACAGTTCCGCTGGATGACTGATTCAACAGCAGCAATTGCATTCTGCAATCGTCCTTCTCACATAACGCGTTGTGGCTGCCAGTGTTGCCAATCAATCGCTGATGAAGTAGCTTACAATGGAATGGATGCAGTGGCCATACGGTGACATGGGGATTAATGATAACTTGTATACAAGCCCAGGATTTCACAAGGTGCCCTGGAGCCATAAAGTTGTTGGAATTCTGTGCACGGTTCTCATCAATGCCAAGCCGCACCAAGAGGGGTCCTCGTTACTCGCTCCATCTCGTTCAACAACTCGTTCAACGCAGCATCCTCCTGCAGCAAAGGGGACATCCCAGGCACATGTGTTGAGGCCAGCTGACATCAGACAGCTTCAGTGGAGGCACAAGGCATGGGAAACAGACACATAAGCAAATGAAACGTGAGCTGACAAAACATGGCCCACCTGGTGGTCCTGCACATCGCGGGAGGGGCTGGTGTGAGACATGACGATAGCAGCCTGTGTGCGTGCATTGGCAATCCACAGCTCTTGCTTCTCCTCTTCAGCCTCATCCAATTTTAGCTGCAGATTCGATGCTTCCTCTTGTATGCGGGCATTGTCAGCCTGAAGCTCGTTCATGATGCCCCTGCCACAAATGGAGAGAAGGGTCAAGATGCCCACAGCGGTCTGGCGATCCCCAACTTCCCAGACTTGTACACCTTCAAGCCAGCTTCCTTTACAGCCCTTGAACCAGCCATGGGTTCACAGAACGGACCAACACCACTAACCCATCACCCTGCTGACAAACATTAGCTCACCTCTGGTCGCTTGCGAGCCTGAACAGGGTCTTCAACAGTGCTCGGCCCTCGCCCAAGTTCTTGAGCCCTGTCCACCTCTTCACTTCTGCAGCGTTTCCTTGCTTGGCATCCTCTTCATTCTTTGCCTTCTCCCACTCTTCCTGCAGCTCGGCAATATGGGCGCTGCGCTGTGCGATGTCATCCTCAAACTTTCGTTTCAGCTCCTCAAGCTTTTGGCAGTTCTCAGCCCGGGCCATGGGGCTCGCTGAACTGGATATCCCAGGCGTGCTGATGTGCAGCATGCGCTTCTCTACTTCATGCAGTTGCCTGTATTATAACAGAAACCATTCCCATCGTTCAATGCAAGCAGCAAGTTGTTCCCAACATCCGGCAATTGTTTGTTGTCCCTTCAGATGTCCAGACAAATCGTTACTAGTCATGGGTTGACAGCCAGTACCAGCAAGCAGGGGGCAAATGATTGCATACAAAAGCATAGCATCGAAAGTGGTATGAAGCACAGGTATCTTTCTCACAGATGATTCAGAGGAACAAACAACAGCCACAAAGAGAAACAAGGATGAGCCCAAATTGAACACAACAACAAAACAAACTCTGTCCATGTATTGTGAGTTATTGCCCAAAAGCTATTTTCTAGCTGGCAGAAAGGTAATTGGGACTCACAACGTTGCTTATGCCAGTTTTCCATGCCCACACTTGATTTCATGCCCGGAGGCCAGAAAAGGCAGATGAATAAGCAACTTGCTGTACCTGGTCAACGGAATATGCAATACAGCAACAACGATCATAAATGCAAGCAGCTGTTGTGCAAGTGCAAAGCCTTGCTAACTTGCAAGTGATGTCCTCAACAATAAGATTTAAATAGTTGGCGATGCAAAACACCCATAGAGCACCCATAGAGCAGTCTGTGGCAACAAAGGCAAACTTGCACACTCTGCTGACCTGCAGGACTCTGCACGCAGAGCAATCTCGCCATCCAGAATGCGCCTCAAATCCCAAGACTACAGCAATCCAGCAAGCCAAATTTCAGCACACCAATTCAACAAGGCTGACAATTGGATCTGCCAAAAAAAAAATCAACAACTGCACCCATCCAATTCTGATAGTAGTGCATAATGCACGCTCAAGAAACAATACCCAGAGAGCTGCTTCCTCAGCACAATCAACAACGACACTAACGGGATTACTCTTGCAGTTGAATGTTCTCTTCAACAAAGAGAAAACTGGACATCCAAACAGACACAGTGCTGTACACTTTCACAGTTCCAATCAACTCTATCACTCCATTCCCACACAGCAACCAACCAGTTCTTCGCTGCAGGACACACGCTGAAAGATGGCAAGACTCTTTTACCCGATTGCAGATGTTGATCTCCCTTTCCAGCCAATCCCTGCGGCCCTTCTCATCCTTCAGCAAAGGTGCATGCAGGTTGGGCTGGCACTCGACAGCAACACCCACAGCGCCAGATCGCTTGCTTGCATCTTTCTGAGCTTTGCTGGTGAGGGCAACAATTTCCTGCAAGCACATCAAGACCCTCAGCCAGTCCCTGACACAGAACTCTTGCAGCCCTCACATTCAGTTGAAATACAGAGGCCTTATGACATTCCGCAATAGCCCCATGGGTTCAACCTTGTTATCAACCTTGTCAAAATGAGGTTGGCACTGCAGCAATGTGGAAGACACACCTTGAGCCGCTTTCTGGAGGCATCTGCTTCCTCAGTCTTGCGTTTAAGCACAGCCTGCTGCTTGGTATGCATGGCTTCCAAACGCTGGTACTTTGCAGCTGCGACACGGCCCTGCATAGGCACACCACCATTCAGGCACTGGTATCGACTGTGAGAAACCTGTTACCATGCACAAGCAACAGAACCAATTGCCTGGAAAAGGGCAACATGTACTAGCCCTTTGCGACGGGGTGCTGTCTCCCATGTTGGCCACATGCAATAACAAGTGTCTGCCCAACACGTTGCTGCATTCCTGACAAATGCAATCAAGAAAATCGCAACACATTTTCTGCATAGGCGACACAGTGCCAGGCTACTAACCTGTTTCTTCAGCTGCTTGAGCTCTTTCTCACGCTCTTTTATGCGCTGGGTGTAGTCCTTCTGCCGCTGGTCAATTTGCTTCACCAATGCAACCTGGAGCAGAGCAGCAGATGTTCACAACTACACCTTTCATACCAAGCACTCAAAGCCCACAATACAACAAGACATCGCTCCTGCAGCCTCCATATTCGCTACCTTCTGTTGCTTGATCCTCTGAACATCCTGTTCAAGCCTGCGGCAGGCATCCTCAGACTTGTTCTTGAGCCTCTCAATGCTCATGAGCTTTTTCTCTCTCTTCTTCAGCTCCTTCAGCTTCTCATCCTTTTCTCTCAGCTGCTCCTTGAACTTGTCCTCCAATTTTGCCTTGTCCTCTGCCTTTTCTGCTTGCAGGTTTTGGAGTTTCTGAATCAACACCACAATGTCTCTCTGCGTGAGTGAATTACTAACCCGTCAACATGCAAGACAAGTGAATAACTTGACAATTCCTGCTTTGCACCTGTGCAACTGCGCTGAATGTTCTGCTCAAAGGGCCTGACTGTCAAAACGTCCGTCAATTGTAATAATGCAACTTCGGCTATATGCTTATGCGGCTATATTTGTGATAGTTTGAATCCCTGCCCACCATGTGAGCCACTTGAACTGCTTATGCCCCGCACCAAACACTGAATAAAACTGCTGCTGAGGCCACAACATCACAAGTCTGGTGGCCACTGCTCATCAAATCAGGAACAAGCACAACAACACAGCAAGGTTTGGTCCAGAAGATCTGCAGTAGTTCTCCTCCAGCACACATGAAGACATTGGGGTACATTGCTGTGCAACAAAAAGGTGCCTCCAGAGAGCCAACAGATTTCAGCAGAGCAACAGCTCACTTTCCTCCACATGTCCCTCCCCATGTGCTTGCGATGCACACTTGATACACTGCACACCTGTAACACTTGTGATACACTGCCCATTTGTGCTGCAAGTTTCTCAGTGCACACACCTGAACAAGCTCCATCCTCTCTTTTTGCAGCTTATCCCTATCTTGGTTGAGGTCTTTCAGAACCTTTTCGTACTGCGCCTTCACTGTCTCCATCTGCCCACTGCTGTCCACCACTTTCTGGTACTGCTCTTCTTTGACTTCCAATGCACGTGATATGTTGTTCAATTCCTCTCCCAACCGCTTTTGTTCAAGTCTGCAGCAGCAGCAAGTATTACTTGTCTGGAGTGCAATTGCGGAGAAAGGGCGCAACGTTCACCTATATGGGTGACGTATTTTCACCAATATACACCAGGAACACAATCTGAGCGCAAAGGTGCTGGAAATCAATTCTGTGGTTGCTGACTTCATGCCAACTGGTCTTGAATTCGTCAGCACTATGGGACACATTCAACGCACAAATTGGAAAGCAATCTTCCCCACAATTCAGGTTGCAGGAATCAACTTGCTAAAGAATCAGGTTGTGTTGCACAAGCAAGGCTCATTGTATTCCAGTGGAATGACACAAAACAACTGCAATGAGATCAACAGATATTTTAGATTAGCAGAATGTGCACGTAGGCGATTTTAGACTCCGCAAGTGGATATGGCAACATGATGCAGCTTACATCCTGCCATACAGGTTGTGCAATCTAAGATCACATATTTGAGGCGCAAACAGCACTACAGAACAATTCCTGACTGGCCAACGTGCCTGTAAGCCTCCTCCTCTGCATCTGCCAGCACATCGGCCCTGAGCTGCTCGTCAACATCTTGAAGCTCTGGGCATGCATACGATCCTGAGTCATAGGACACCCCAGGTGTGGATGGTGCATGCCTGTGCTGCAGGGCATCCAGGCTCTCACGCAAGCGCTTGTTCTCCAGCTCAAGATCAGCCTTCGATGCCAACAGCCTGTCCATGACACCCCCGTCCTCAGTGTCTTCCTCCAGCATGGGCACCTCTACCCCATTGTCCTTCAACTGCTGCAGTGTCATATCAAGCTTGATTGTCCTTTTCTGGGCTTCCACCATTTTCTGGTTGGCAGTATGCACATCATCCATGGCACACTCCTGCATGCCACAACAATGTATGAGCAAAGGGAGTGGTGTTTGGAGAGAAAATGAGCTACTCACTGTGCACCTCCCCTGTCAGCAGAACTTGGGGATTTTCTACACTGCGCAGTGACTAGAGGTCTCCCAATGCAGCAGCGAAAGCAATGCAAGCCTTCAACAAGGCAGAAAGGTCACTGCATGTCCTGGCTTGTGCTCACCAGTTGGACCTTCATTTTGGCCACTTCGCTCATCAGATGAGCCCTCTCCCTTTGTGCCTTGTCCAGTTGATCTTGAAGGAACGTGTTGTCTGCCTGCGGGGCTGCAATCATCTTCGCACCTTCAGGCCCTGCCATTTTCTTGTACTGTGCCAGCTCAGCCCGTACCTGAACAAGCTGGTGCCTGAGGTAGGCAATTTGAGCCGCTGTGGGATCCCTATTGACCACAGGTTTGTTTTTGATGTTCCTGGCACGGTTGGCATAACGAAGGGTGTTGAGACTCTCATCCAGGTTCACATCAGCGGGGCTGACGCAAGCAAGCATGACGGTCCTGCTGTTGCCTCCCAATGAATCTTGCAGCAAGCGTGTGAGCTTGCTGTCACGATACGGGACATGGCTCTGCTTTTCCACAAGTGCACTGATGACCTTGCCAAGGGCCAAAAGCCCCCGATTGATGTCAATCGCCTCCTGCAGGCGCTGCCCCTCTGCCTTCGTGCGTTTTGCTCTTTCGCTGCCGGCCAAGTCAACAAGATGCATCTTTGCAACAAGATAGTCATCGACAGCAGCAAGGTCCCTGTCATTTTCCTTGTCACTGTCCTCAGAGTCCACAGACATGTTATCTCCTCCATCGTCATTGGAATGGTTGATCGCGAATCTTTGCCTCTGCTCCAGAGTGATTGTAAAGATGGCATGCGACCGAGACGATCTCGTGTTCATGTTGGTGGATGCAGTAGCCCTGACCAAGGAGCCCTGCTCAAGCAGCGCTGCGGTGTCATCTTTGCTCCTGACCTCCATCTCAGTGGCTCCAAAGAGGCAGACACCTCCGCCAGGGACGTCACGAACGTGGATCGCTGGCATGTGGCTGGTGTCCATCACCAGCAAGTCCCTCACCTCCTCCTGCAAGTCCACAAACCCCACAAGGATCACAATGGTCACCAGGAATCGAACCATCTGATCCGCGAATGGACTCCACAGGTGGATTGCAGATGTGGGTACACTTTTTGCTGGATGTCACAAGCTCTTTTGTGTTCTTGGCCAAGTGTGAAAGCCCACAGGCCAGCACGCAGAACTGGGAAAATCCGCAGTGAAATGACATGGCGAAGGCTTTGGACTTTTGCATCATCTCCAACAGTACTGAAACTGCCGCTTTGGCTCTCCTTAGCAGAAGTACAGGGGTACCCAGCTCACGACCTGGTCCCTCTATGCTGACAGGCTACCTTCGGCAAGGCACATGAGACCGACCAATGCCCTCGAATTCTGGACAGGCGCAATCCCGCGGTCGCGGAGCCGGCCACGTCCAGCCCATTCACGCACTCTCGCAGCAGACTCCGCGACGCGGCGGGCCGGCACTCACCTTGTGGATCTCCACAAAGCTGGCGCGCACGTTGCACTCCACGTCCTTCTGGCGGTTCAGCCTCTCGAAAATGAGGTCCAGCACCTCCGGGATGACGCCCTGGGAGTTTCCCCCCGGCGTGTAGGCCGATCCCATCGTGTAGGTCTTCCCCGACCCCGTCTGGCCGTACGCGAACACCGTGGCGTTGTACCCCTTGAACAGGCCGTCCACGAGCGGGTACACGCAGTGGTTGAAGATGCCCTCCGAGGGCTCCCCGCCGCAGCTCCCGTACACGCGGTCGAATGTGAAACTCTTGCCCAGGCAGGAGATCTGGGGAGACACGGCTACACGGCGTTCACTCCCCTTCCGAGAGTCGGCGACTCACCTCACTCAATCACCCCGCGCCCATGAACCGCGTGCCGCGCGCGCATCGGCCACCAACTCGGCAGTCAATCCGGGTCCATCGCCCGCGCCGCGCCGCGCCGCGCCCACTCGCCTGCGGCGCGCCCGGCGTGACGTTCAGGCAGGCCTGGCATCCCGCCACCACCTCGCTGTCGATCAGCGGCCGTATGTGCACGGCCACGCACACTGCGCAGTCCTCCTCCTCGTGGCCGCCATCCCTGAGCATGTCGGCCGCCATGGCGCCCAGCCGTGGCGCCACCCCCTCGGTCTCTCCGCCTGACTGTTCGCGGGTGGCAGCCGACAGGCAGGGCGCCGCCCTGGCAGCAGCAGAACGCGCGGGCAGGACAAGCTGTCAGGGGGGCCCTCGCGCTCTGTGCCCTGTGGCCCGCGCCCCGCGGGGATGACTAAACCGAGCGACGGAGTTGGCGGGTGATTATTTTGCGACGCGCCGGGGCGGACGAATGGCGTTCACTCAGGCAGATTTGGTCGCAAACTTCTTGGGCTGGTGGGGAGGGCCGCGGCTGATGGTACAGCCACCCGGGGCCTTGCGTCGTGCGCCGGGCAACATGGAGCTGTGTAGACTATGTGACGGGTCGCTCCCATTGGATAAGATGGGGGGCCATCTCGCATCCCTTGGACGAAGACTTCCGAGGCCCTTTCGTTCCAACTCCCCGGAACGGAGGGCGCGCCGCTGCTGGCGTGTGCACCACGTTGGGGCAGGTCCACGACTGGAAGGCACAGAGCCTCCTGAGCGCCGTCCTCCGCAATTTAGGAAGCCCCTGCAATTCGAATGGTGCCGTGCAGGAAAGATGTAGGAATGGCAGTCACCCCAAGATTCTGGTGCCTTGACCCACGCAAGCTTTGGTACCACGAACCATAAGAAGGGAAAGCTTGGACACTAAATTAACAAATCGGACAGTGCATTATATTGCACGTTTGCCTCGAGGTCCCTCTCAAAAGAAAGTGATCGGAATTGTAAGCTCGTTTTCCGTGCCGACACCATGAAAGGTGAGTGTAAGCACTCCTGCGGCCCTTCTGTTGCACGTGTGGGGATTTTCGCCCACCCCAAATCATCACAACAAAGGCAGCGTCAGCTCAATGCATGCCATGTTGGCCGCCTAGTCAAATAATTGATCTGCTGGAATGGTTGAACAAAAGCATTACCCAAATCCCTCGAATCAAATCCCTATGAGGAATTTCGTTGAAATTTTGACCCACCGTTCCTTTTGTTTCATGCGTGAGGAATCCCTAGGGGCAACGCCATCTTTTCTCTGGGACTGTCTATGCAATCTGCATCTCGTAGACCTACATCTACAGGCTGCAGATAATGGCTTGGTGGCCTCTTGTGCTTTGATGGCTTCGACGCCCTGCACCAAAACGTGAACAGCCTATTCTCGATTATCTATTACCTGTCCCGAAACTGCACTGAGGCATCTCTAGTCATTCAACGATATCCTGTCCCCAATCGCTGGCAAGGGCGTATGTGAAGAGACCGACCCTCGCAAATGCCAGGCAGTTCAATTATCTTACCATGAATTTGTGCGATGGCAGGCGCTGCATAGAATGAATTTGGGAATCAACGGCCTTCATTAGCAAGGCACACCCTCACATAGGGGGATGATTCGCACGGGGCTCTGGATGACGCAGCACTGAAGGGGACCATATTCCCATCCTGATGCGTTCGTCGCATACCAGTAGATTATTGGCTTGTGACCAGGCAGCGTATGAACTGAAATGGGCCTGGAGACTCTCAAATGCGAATTGCTTGTGGATGGTTTGTAGTGCTTGCAGATCACTATCAGGAGCTTCTGGCAAAGTGGACACACACTACTGGGAGTGTGGATGTGTTGATTTCTCTTGTTACAAGCTATGGCCCTGCTCACACTGTCGGAAAAAAAATCATTTTCCATGATTTGTTGGCCGTGGCACGTCGGTTTTGCTCATGCTGCCACCTTGAAGTCGCCCATCGCGGTGCGCCCATTTGGCGGCATCTGCATACCAAGGTGAACTAACTTGTGTTCGATGAATGGCGATGACCTGCAGGGGTTAATTCTGTTAGAGAACCTTGTTGGCTGCAGATTCGACGTGCTGATTTCACAGGCTGCACCAAGGCTAATGTCCAAACAGGCATGATGATTTGAACCTTATGTGAATGTGAACATCTACAGTTGGTTCACCTTTGCCGGGGGAAGATATCAATCCCCAACCAAGGTCACGGAGGGCAATTTGATTCAGTCATTTTTTCCGTCCCATTTTCCCCATGCTGCTCACAGACACCCTCAAAGGTCAGTTGTTCAAACGGGAGGGTACCGAGCGAAAATAAGGCTGGGCGGAAGGTCGCCTGTGGCTCTGAGAAAACGGCGAAATGTGGCCTTGCCGCGCTCCTGTGGGCCCCACCTCGGGAGAGGGCACTTGAGAGTGTGAGACCGGCTGGTCTCAACTTCTGGTCGAGACTCTGACGTGGCCCTGCCAGGCCACCCTCCGCCCCTGTCCACAGCGCACTTTTCGGAAGCAGCGCGGGCGCGCGTCTCCCCCAAGTGGTGGCACTGTCTCAGCAGCGGGGCCCGGACGGCGCCGGCTGAGATGCAGGCCCTACCCACTGGGCCCCGCGGCTGGACGGGCATCCGCTGGGCGCGGGCACGGGGCGCTGTCGGCCACTGTGGGAACGCCGATTGGGCCCCTAGGCATGGGGGCGCAAATGGCCAGGGGTGCCATTCAAAGAGGGAAGGGTAAGATTTGTTACAAAGAGAGAAAGAAACAGGTCATACAGAGTGCACCCCCTCCTAAGCAAGTGTGTGCGAGACTCTGCCATGTTGTGGAAAGATGATATGGAGTCTTTGATGCGAAATGATGAGCAAGCAACACAAAACGCACGAAAACAAAGAGGGAAGGGTGAGCCGGCGTTGAGCCTGTGTTGATGGCTTGGCGATGGCGTTTTGTGCCACTGCGGTGGGATGCCTTGGTTCCCCCGCGCGTGCGCTGTGGCGGGCGGAGAGCGCGATCTGATGGGATGTCGGCGTTGCCCTCGCCGTGTGTGCACACGCCCGCAGGCGGCCAAGGATTCGCGTGTGCGCCGACGCCGACGCCAGGAGCGAGGCGGTGAACGTGGGTGAGTTGCTGCTGCTGTTGTTGGTCGTCAAAGGGACGCTTGAAAAGCGTCTCGTCTCCGCGCGTTCTTGGAGGTCCCTGGAAATGTGCAAGGCACTCGTCACTTGAATGGGACCAATATTGTTCGCCTGCACTAAAGCAGGAAAATTGAAAGAATCGTTAAAGGAAATCTGTGAGGGGCTATGTTCGATCAGGGGTGTCGCAGGCATGCAAGGGAGAGGTCAAAGTCAACATGCAACATGACCTGTTGGCTCACATAATGGGTCCAACTGTTTGGAATGCTTTTCCCAGCCCAGACAGAAAGGGTGGTGTGAAACCCTGACCGTGGGTTAGGCTTACCATTCCTAGAATTGTGCCCAGATTCAACCTGTCGTCATCTGGGATGCCACTGGCCACTTGGCCACTTGCAGAAGTGGGCGATGGTTGGATGAATTCTACGGTGGTCCTCGTTGACAGGGGAGCGGGCGTCAACCGTCGACGGTTGTGCCCTGCCCAGGCTCACGCATCCCTTGTACTTCAACTCATTGACATGCTACCCCCTTTTGCCTTGCAATGTGGTCGCCAAGCCCCCCTAGTGGGTCTTTTTGCCTACCTGGTCACCATTTTCTTGGAGAACTGGGTAAAAAGGGGGTAGGGTTGAGGCGGTTGGAATGGTGCCTGTTGACATTCCATGCAGTGGTTTGCAATGTCGCAGATCTGTATGCTGGTTATTGCGCAGCAGCTGCATTACAGCACTGGCAGGATGTCTTTCATGCAACAACACTCCAATAAAGCGATTGGTAATGGCTGCAGGACCAGAAAAAAGGGCGAATGGCACCCCTGGGTCGGTGGCCTTTGAGCCTGACCCATACATACCCCATCCAGAGGAATGCAGTGCTGAGAGTACTCTATCAGTCGTTGTCATTGGAGCATCTGGAGATCTCGCAAGAAAGAAGATTTTCCCGGCCCTGTTTGCATTGTTTTATGAAGGCATGCTGATCGAGGTATGCAATAACAGGAAAATGAAAAGAAAAGAAAAGAAAAGGGTGTGACCTGGACAAAGGCACCAAGCGTGGACAAAGTTGCTTTGAGTTGCAGAGCCTTCTTGGTGACAAAATGTGGATTTTGTGGCAAACAGTGCAGTTGCACTCACGGCTTAGTTTCTTTTGACTACTTTTACAGCAAGGATGGTGCAACATCCAGTCAAGTGTGCAGAATTAGTGTTTGAGGTTGTGTTATTACAAGAATAGGTGGTGTGCACACAAATCTATTGTTACACAACAATGTGCAAATCCAGTTTGAAATAGACAGCTGTCCATTGGAAAATCGAGTTCATATCCAATACATTGCAATTGAGGACTACAGGGGCCGAGCTGAGTGGTGAAAACACACTGAAAGTCGCAGCAGTGTTTTAGCCAAACAGGGCATATTTCGACAGTGCCGATTCGCACAGACACTGACGCAGAGGCAGCACAAATATACATTGGCATTGCCCTGGTATTAGGCAATGTTGCGTGAAACTGAACTGGAGGTGGAGGTATTGTGCTGCTGCACCTTTGAAGATACTTGAGACTAGCTTTGAGACTGCTGTTTTTGCACGAAACAGAATTTTCAGATTTTTGGATACGCCAGGAGCAACATGGATGACGAAGCCTTCAGGGACTCTATTGCAGAGACCCTGACTTGCCGAATCGACGCTGGGTACGCTGACAGTGGCAAGTCACACGGTTCTTGGCAGGGGGCAGAACTATTGAAAAGTCAAATGGCTTCTGCATGGGCCCGCATCTGAAGGGAAGAAACCAATTGAAATGGTTGCGACTTGCTGGCAGCTGATATATCAGTTGGACAGTGAAACATGCTGGTTTCAGAGGATGGTAGGCCATGAACTGAAAAACTGCACTCTTTGGCTCCCAGCATTCCACCGGAACTGGACACAATTGTTGGCAACAGTTAGCTCAGAGCCTTGCATCACTATACTGCATGAAGTCTCAGCTTTGCGCAAGTCTGTGTCATACTGTCAAAAACTGGAGAGGAAGACCCAGAGCAAAGCCACCATCCCGATGCTCCACTGTTAGATGCCGCACTCAACCACGTGAAGCTGTGGTCGTACACATTTGTAGACATTGCAGCTTGGTGTCAACTATGCTTCTGATGATGCCAAGCACAGCTGTGGCATCCGACATTACAGCATGTGTTCTATGCTTTGCCAACAGCCACCATGATACACAGTTCCTGGGCTGAACAGTGATGCAGGGAGAGCATTGAATGTTTGCTGCTTCAGGTTGAAGTCTGTTCATCGTTGCACTGCTGCTATCCTCTCTGGAAACCGATGCCCATGAATGTGCCCCAGGACAGAACCCGCTTGGGCATCTTGCAATGGTCTCTGTGTTGCCCCCCCAAAATTGAGCTTGACTGCTTCAGCCACACATATGCTCAAGAACTTAGGCCTGTTCTAGCATCATACTTGTCTTGCATCGCTATTTAGGCCAAGTATGGTACCTCCACGTACATTCCTGCAACCAGCACTGGATGTTTGTGTGCAACGTAGTAACAGGTGCACCGAACACCAAATAAGTGATGCATTTTGGCCTGCATATGTGCAATGCCAAGATGTGGATGTGCATTGCTTGCATGAGAAGTCTTGTATGGCACAGAACATAGTTGCTCTACTTCATGTTTCTAACCACATTGCTGCATCAGCCCAAATTCTCGTTTCCTGTTCTATTGTTGTTCTATCCCCCAATAGCATTTTCATTGTGCCCACCATCATAAACAGATAACTTAAAAGAGCGATGTACAGTTAATTGCTCACCTTTGTATCATGTGTTGGCTGCACAGGGAGGACTGTGGCAAGAAAATGGACATCTTCTTGAGCAGATGCTTCTATCAACAGGTAATGTTGGGGTGTCCCTGGTTTTTTGTTGCCTGGGGACCCTTGCAGGCTTTGTCCATTCTTCCAAGGTTGATGTTGGGCTTGGGGTTTTTTTCTGTGATCAATTTGTGATCTTCTTTGAGTGCTAGAGAAAGGTGGTGCTGTCTGATCATTCAAACTCTGCAGGGATACATGCCAGGACCAAAGCATTGTTATTCATGTTGGTGTTATGGGTATGTCCAGTCTGTTGGCGTGCATTTCTTTTACATACACTTTCTTGAGGGTACAGTCCATCTGAGTCCTGACAGGAAGTATGCGGGCCTCTGCCCCCCTTTCAAGAGAGAGTAAAGCGATCTGAAGCCCCCCCAAAACGATTGGAAGATAGTAGGTGCAAGATCGTGTGATAATTATGGTTTGCTGATTCTGCGCGCTCTGGGTTTGACCACGTGCTTGGGCATTTTCACTTGCACCTGCAAGGGCCTTTGCTCTCACAACTCTGGCTGGGTTTTGGATGCAGAAGTCCTCTTGAATGCTGGTGCCCCCAAGTAAATATTGCTTCTGCTATGCCCAGGGTCAGTATTCCGAAGCAAAAGACTTCCAGCGCCTTGATGCCAGGCTGTCCGTGATGGAGGGTGCACTGTGTTCAAACAGGATGTTCTATCTGTCCATTCCACCAAAGGTGTTCATCAGTGCTGCTGGAAATGCTGCTGACTATTGCTCCAGCAGGTGAGGCCACAGGTGTGCCACGTTTGCAGGCTGGGCTTGCTGGTGCTCCAAGAGAGTTGTTCCCCAGCGCATGGTAAAATCTTGTGATCATGTCAGAAAGGAACCATTGCACGCCATACAATGGGAAGCACCTTCCTCAACGACAGGTGTTGTGAGACCCTTTGCAAGAGTGTGTGTTGCAAAATGTTGCACAAGTCCTTAAGGAGGCACAACACATGACACAAACTAACAGAAGCAGCATGAAAAGTGTGGGCTGCGCTTGAACTGGCACGATGGAAAGTGAGAAAAGCAAATGTATTGCAAGGCACCAGGGGTGGTGGCCAGGCTCAGGGATGCAGACGCACTGAAACGCAGCCAATCTGCAATGATGAGCACTTCAAATGAGCAGTTGAAACACATATAACACATACTCCTTTCTCAGGGCTGCCCGTGTCAACATGCTGCATTTATGTCTCAAGAGCTTGTTTGATTAATGAGATGTCGGGCAGCACAAATTTCAAATGTGTGCACTGAGAATGGTGTCTCAGTGCATAGACAAGGGCCAGTTGAGCAACTTTGCAAGAGTAAATGGGGAAGCAGTCAAAGGGACTGTATAACTGATGGTCAAGTGCTGCATGGAGTACTCAGGAACAGAAATGTTGACTTGACAGTTTGGCATTATGTGCACTGCCGATCAACATTTGGTGTTGAAAGCAACAGCCTTGGCAGTGGAATTGTGAACAAATATCGCAAATTTCACGTTTGTGAGGACTTTTGCTTCACAAAAAGGGCACCCTTCTTCACATGCAGCGTGTGAGGCCATAGAATGCATTGTTTGAGATCCTGTGTTCGCAGTAAATGAAAGGTCTTAGCAATGGGATTGTGTGCTGACAACAATATGTTAATCGGTAGATTGAACAGGCCTTGTGTGCTCAAGCCAAAGGAGCTTGTTGGATAACATGCATTGCCTGTGCTGTGGTGTACGTTTTTGGTTGGGATGGTACTTTCTTGCTTTAAAACCTCTCTTTCGTCTTTTCAGGCCCTATCTATGATTTGCGACTTTGCCGAAGAGAACTCAAAGAACTTGTAGCATGTTTACAGCAGATACAATCTTCAGTTTCAGACAAGTTCCTGCTGTTTCCTCTTCTTGCCTCATGATGCAACTGTTATGTTTGGGATTTCAAGCTAAATGTGTAGGGCTGCAGCAGTGAACAGCGCTGTTGGACAAATCCTGCTGAAGGAATAAATCATAGCATCGCTTTTCGGTGGAAGGACAGAGTTTTGGGGCAACTGCAGTCGCACTGAATGTTATGAAATATGGCATACAAGGCTTGCATCATTGCTTTGCAGGACTGGTTGGAATCGCTGTGTAGTGGAGAAGCCTTTTGGCCACGACAGTGCTTCAAGTCATGAACTGTCAGAAGCACTGGGGAAGCACCTCTTAGAGGATCAGATCTACAGAATCGATCACTATCTGGGGAAGGAGCTAATTGAAAATCTGACGGTGCGCAGCTGCGTGCGCTCAAAATGGTGCTCTGTGCGCTGTGTGTGCCCCTTCAACAGATGCATTGACAACTCTGCCGATGCTGTGCAACAGTTGTTCCTGTTCTTTGCCATCTTTGCAAGCACATTGTCCTGCAACCAGCAACAAAAGCTGCGGGGTGCATATCTAGCACCCACCCCACCCAAGTGTGCCATGCAGTGTCTGCATGAATTGAATTGTTGGCAACTCTTTATAACGGCAGCCTTGTAGCCTTTCCGTATGTGCGCAAGAAAGGATATGCTTTAGGTTTGCACTGCTGTGCTGCTGCCTGAATCTTGTTTCGTTTGTGCTTCAGGTGCTCCGCTTCTCCAACTTAATCTTTGAGCCGCTGTGGTCACGGCAGTACATCCGCAATGTACAGATCATATTCTCAGAGGACTATGGCACAGAGGGGAGAGGTGGATACTTTGATGAGTATGGTATCATCAGAGATGTGATCCAGAACCACCTGCTCCAGATTGTTGCTCTTTTTGCCATGGAGCCACCGGTATGCAGCTGCACACATTGTGCGCACGACTTGTGGTGTATAATACATAGCCAACTCTCACTCGCTCGGCATTAGTGCACGCTGGCATTGTAGTTGTGTGCAGCCGGTTATGCCACACTCAGTCGCCCTGCTCTATTTGTAGACAAGCCTAGTTTGCATTGGTTATTGGAGAACATGTGATAACGCATTCCATGGTGTGGGGTTAACGTGCGGTGTCAGCCGTCCCCTTCCCAAGGAGATGGGTTTTCACCAACGGGGTCTGTCCCCTCCCAGGGTGCCACATCTCTCATGGTACTGGACGGGATCGCCTCTGTGCTGTTGACCGGCTTCTGTTAGGATTGGGTAGCGATGCAGCACCATGCATATGATCACATCTCCCTTGTGCTGCTGCTGGTGCCAGCGGTTTTAACCATGCCTGAAATGGGAAGGCTTGTTGTCCTCTCTGGCACTGCTTTCAGACTACGTACCATTGCAAAAAGATGCCCGCTCAGCGTTGCTGCAGGCTGGTTGGTGACCTGCGCATTTCAAAAATAGCACAGTTCTTTCAACGTCACACACACAGACAATCTCCAGGGCACCTGTGTGAGGGCAATGCCATACTAGGATGGGTGGTTGGCCTGGGTCGAGAGCATGGTTTCAAGTTGTCTTCATGCTGTTCATAAGCCTGTTAGCTGACTACAGGCAAACAGAACAGGGTAAACTTCACTGTGTTGCAGGCAAATACAGGCCTCCTGTCCATATAGGCAGGGCTTGTCTGTGTTGATAAACGAAAACAGACTAGTTGCACACATGGGCAAGAGTTGCACCAATATTCCATGTGACATCGTACAGGAGCTCAGACCATGGACTTCCGTGAACAGTCAATGGCAACAAAGGCAGTCCTCTTAAGGACATAGGAAACGATGTCCATGCATCTTGCAAGGTTACCAGGCCATTGCACTCAGCTCCCATGTCGGATTCATGCAGGTGACTTTGGCAGCAGAGGACATTCGGAATGAGAAGGTGAAGGTTCTACGCAGCCTGAAGCCTGTGAAAATAGAGGACGTGGTGCTGGGCCAGTACACTAAACGGGTCAGCAAGGCTCACACATATCCAGGGTACCTGGATGACCCCACAGTGCCCAAGAACAGGTGGAAGCCCCATTTCGTTGTTGTCCCTCAGCATCTTGCAAGTGCCTGGGTTTGAGTTGTCAACACTGGCGAATGCTGTCAAAGAAGCCACGCAATATTGTGTGAAATGCGATCTTGGGACACTGGCCAAATATTGGTGGCATTTTCCTGCAACTGCCATCTCTTGCAAGGTGCAAGGTGTGTATTTGCCATGTTTGGTACAGCACAGCAGTGCACTCTGTTCAACAAGTATGTACTCCAGTAATTGTTGAGGTAACAATGTAGTAATGATAGTGAAATGGTGAGCTACTCCAGGGAATTACCATCCTGTAGCCATTAAGCCCTATGCTCCACAACCTCCAGAGCTTTGTTGAACCTGCAGCTCTGAGTGGCTGTCCAACAGTGGGCCATCTTTAATCCAGCGCATTTGTGGTTGCAGCATCACCCCAACATTTGCGGCCGTGGCGATGTTCGTCGACAATGCCCGATGGGATGGTGTGCCCTTTCTGCTGAAGGCGGGGAAGGCGCTGAGCACGAGGGGGGCAGAAATTCGAGTTCAGTTCCGCCATGTCCCGGGTGGGTGCCGCGAATGGCTGCTATGCTTGTCGGCTGTTCCTGTGGCTGCTTGTGTCTGCCTGATGCAAGAATACGCAGCCGGTAACAGGTGTTTTTTGCAAGCAGGCATTGCTGCCATGTTTTCGCATTGCTGAGCATGATTGACAGTCTGACTGTGCCATGCAATCGACCCAACCCTAATGTGGAGGGCATGGGCATGACCTGACAATGGACTCTGGATGAGCAGTGTTTTTGCTTGCAGCAGCCAGGAGCAGCACTTCGAATTGTTGCACCCTGTCGGCATCAGCCCCTGCAGAAATTCTAAGAATTTGTCTCCTGGTGTTCACTGTCGCAGCTCAAAATTGTGTTTGCCAAGCTTGTCCTCGTTCAAGCACTGTGCTTAGCTGATCTTGGGGATTGGTTGCGTTGGACAGGCCACCTGTACCGTGCCAAATTTGGCGCTGACCCAGACGCTTCCACAAATGAGCTCGTCATTCGCATCCAGCCTGATGAGGCCATGTACCTGAAGATAAACAGCAAAGTGCCGGGCCTGGGCTTGAGGATCGAGAACAGCCGGCTGGATCTGCCCTTTCATGCCAAATTTGATCGCGAGCTTCCAGATGCATACGAGAGACTGCTGTTGGATGTCATAAATGGTAGGTCGTGCACGTGTTGGCAGATCAGCATCGGTGTTGAAGGGAGAAACATCTTCTTTGGCAAGTTGAGGCGCTGCATCGGCACAACCCGTTCCCCTGTAACGAAAGACGGTCCACAAGGATGGCTTTGCAACAATTTCAGTCTGTTGTTGTCCAACTCACAGTCGCAGCCGTTTCCAGTTTTGAGGTGTTCCAGGTTCCTGCAGGCCTGCGTGTGCAACATCGGAATGGAACCTTCCAGGGGACATCGCTGGCACACCTCTGCCAGAATCAGTGGATCGTCGCTGCTAATAACTGCTAAACATGGGGCAGGGAAGGCCAACCGAATGCGCACAACATACTTATAGCAGTCAAGCAGCAGCGCTGTTGAGGGACCACATTTGGAGTGTGGCCTCGCGCTTGTATATGGGTTCCTGTCTTGCCCTGGGTCATAATAATCCACTGTGGGAGTCAGTGAGACGAAGAGTTCTGACTGCCGTTCTGGGTTGCATGGCGCAGGTGACAAGAGGCTGTTCATCAGGAGCGATGAGCTGGAAGCTGCCTGGAGCCTGTTCACACCTGTCCTGCACAAGATCGAGGAGCTGCACGCACAGCCCGAGCTGTACCCCTACGGCAGCCGGGGCCCGGTGGGCGCTCACTACCTCGGTGCAAAGTACAACGTTCGATGGGGGGACTTGTCATACACGCCGAATGGCGGCGGCTCCTGAAGCTGTGGTCTGGCACTGGTGAAGAACGGCTGCACCAATGCCGCGGCCAACGTTGCGCATTTTGGGTCTGTTTCAACGCATGGCACACAGTTTTACACGGTACACATTTTTGAGCAATTTGACGCGAGCTGAGCATGGGCAGGAGCTGATGCGAAATGGGGAGTTCCTATCGTTTTTTGTGGAGCTATTGGCCAAGGCGCATGTACGTGAGCCAGGGACATGGTAGAAGGTGATTGTAGTAGGGTGCATGGGACCTTTGGCAGTTCTGTGTGTTGCTGGATGTCGGCCATGGGCGGCGTTGTGCGTGCTTTTGCAGTGGAGTAGGTGACTGGCGCAACACATGGCGGTGCGCGGTGCCACAAGAGGCGCTGTGAATTCACAGGCAATGGTGTGTAGCGGTGCAAATGAATGATGCGGCGGCAACGATACGCTCTTCGTAATTTGATGCTGTCTGGCGGTCTTCTTCGGTGTGCATTGCTCCCCTGCATGCGTGGTCTCTGGGTGCGTGATCCATCAAAGCAGTGGGCAGGCGCTGTGCCTGACAGTGTCAGGCCGACGCTCTGTCCGCCTCACTTTCGTTTTCGGCTGCTAGTCTTATGTTCAACATCATTGAAACGCGCGCGTTGTTCTTCCATCCAATATTCGCCGTTTTTGTGCTGAAATACCGCCTGGACTGCGCACTACTGTTGGCGCCACCATCCCCTTGACCCCAATCGCAACGCTCCAGGACTTGACATCCGATATTCAATTGACTTTGCAGTGCAAAGTTTGCACCTGTCAACTGCCAGATTTTACTTCGCCTTCTTGTCCTCCCGATTTGGCGATTGGCGCACAGATTGGAGCGCTGGGTGGATTGGCGAGCCGGGTGGGGATTGTTGGGTACATTGGAATTTGCATTGTATGGTCATATGCTTGACGCAGGATTGTGGACAACGTTGTGCGGCTTCGTGCCATGATGACAATGCCGTTGACTGCATGTTGTAGTGGCGCTAACGTGCAGCGCCACGGCAGCGTTAGCTGCTTGAGTCGGCCAAAATTTGATCTTGAATTCAGAAAGCGAGAGAGATATTGGGAACCTCCTTGAATTACATCGACCAAATGTCTGATCCAGCCTTAGCCATGCACCCCTTACCAAAGGTGATGGATGTAGAAGAGAGCCAAATCACTGCTTGTCTCTCAACTTCAGCGCAATTCCCTGATATCCAACAGCTCCGCATACGGAGGGCTGGCAAGAGTATACGCCTAAATGGGATGGCCACGCCGGTCCGACCCCGCCATCCCTTTCAACAGGCCAAGAGGTGGCCCGGAGCTCAGCCCGGGCATGCATTCTTCATCATTTGGAGGTCTTCTGCTTTCCTGTGCGACTTGAACAGGTGGCAAAGAAACAGCGACCTGGGGGCACACAGGGCACGCTCGTCCTAAGAACGCTGGCCTCCTCGCAGGAATGAAATCCGAGCATTGAGCATGGTCTATGCAAAGTTTTCTAAGCATGTCGCTTTACGCCAGTTGATGGCAAAGCTGAGAACTACGCTGTGGCTTCCATGGGGGCAGCTCTGGCAATGTACCAACGTACTATCGGCACAGTGCAGTCCACGCACTGCACACAGCGCAGGGTTTATTCGTCGTGGCTTTCAAGCAATAGAATGGAAAAAGCCATCAAAAATATTGGAACTCTTGTTCCAAAACACTCTCCCCACCTGCAACGCGCACATCGCAGCGCCCACTCCCTCGGCATCAAGAGATTTCATCCTACTGCGTCCGCTTTCCAAACGTGGTCGTCTTTTCAGTTTCGTCGTTTGCAGTCACCGTATTGCCTTTTGCGAGCACGCAGCCGTCGCCACCTTTTTCGTTCACGGCGTTTAGCTCTTGCACACATGTGTGTCATCGTTGCCAGACCCTGTGCCATTGTGGGGAACCCGTAGCCATGGCCGTCAGGACTGAGATAGGCTTGGTGCTTGGCTCCCGCTGCTTGGGTTCCTTGTAGATGCCCTGCCTACCACGTTTGCTGCGGCCTTCGCTCAGATGGGCTTTCAGGGAGGAAGGGCATTTACGGTTCGCGTCCGTGGTGGCTGTCCTGCTCATCCCATGTACCGTGACCACAACCCGTGGTTGGCCTGCTTTTGCGGTCACATCCTCCGCAGCTGCCGTCCCACCGTACTTACCTGTCATGCAGCAGGCTTGTTTGCAGCCCTCATGCTCCCCATAGCGACTGCGCAAAACTTCTCAATCGTCAGCCTCTTGACGCGATTTGTGGCTGCCATGCTTGCCATGCCCGCCGCGTCGGTCGTGGCCAAGCCGCGACTGGGCTCTTCCAATGGGTCAAGGTCTCCACGGTGACCGCGCATTCCACGCCTTCCCACATCATCGCACTACGTCGAGCTGCTGGCTGCCACACCCTCCACAACAGCCGTGCGCTCATTGCACTTCCCATTGCGATGTCCTCCGCAGTGGCTGCACACGCTATAGGGGCTTACTCCTGACCCTAGAGCGTAGGATCCGCGGATGTCACTGCAACAACAGCCGCAATGGCCTCCGTGTCCGGTTGAGCAAGGGAACGCCCGCAATGGATGTTGCGTTGGCCATAGGCGTCTTGCCGTTGTCTCATCTGACGTCATGTTTGGGAAGTTGTGAGAGCCCGGGCAGCCATTGTGGCTGCCTCTGTGAGAAGAATATGGATCGCAGGACGAGCAGATCCCGCGCGACTTGGTTGAAGCGCGTTTGGTGTCCACTCAGGCTGGAACAAGAGGGGAAGGAAGGATAAGTGAACGCGATTAGTTCCAATATTTTCGCAATAAAGATCATTTAAAGTAAAGCAACCATTATTGTTATTTCTGGAATGATTTTTTTCATCTGACATCATGACCTTGGAACACAATTTCTTGGTGAGCTCTCGAAGCACAGTCAGCTGTGGTTTCAATTATCGAGAATGCGCAGGCCCACATGAGATTTTATATTTGATGTTATCATAACAGTAGACATACTAATAGATGGAAGGAAAACATTGAAGTCCTGCGCTTGCTGTTGTATAGCAAAATTTAAGTTTCTGAATCATAAATAACAAAATTGAATGTTCTAAATTTATGATGAATTAGTTGATGCATCGGAAGAATTCGTTGAAACAGTAATCAATAAAAATTTGTAATCTTTCAGCATATCGTGATACCCACTGGTGCTGCTGGCAATCTGAAGAACATCTAGATTACGAAGTGATCACGATGCAAAAAAATATATGAGTGTAAACGTACAGCGACGTGGCAAATGTCTAACTGCGGAACTCACCTACGAAAGTGCTCGCGTTGTGCAGCGTGAGATGTGGCACAATGTTGCCAGGTGCGCTGGCGGTTCCGCAGGTCCATCTGCATCATAAACGTCATGCAATGTCAAAACCTGCCATAGACACTGGCGGCCTTTACTCACCGGCCACGAATCGGAAAGCCGAGAGGAACCTTGGTCCATTTTGTCAGCAATTATGCAAACAAACGGAAAACCAAAAGATAGCAGAAAACGTGGCCAGCGCAAATTCGAAATGGCTCTCGCGATGAGGCTTTCAACCAAACGAAAGTGCAGCTTGGTGAAGCATATCTAAACATGCTTAGGAAATTAGGATTAGGTCGCTAGAAACGGCATTGCCAAATTGCGTTGACCGCAGCTGCCCTCTCGGCAGAAATTTCCATAGCCACGTGGCTACGTGGTGCACCAAGCCTAGGTTCAATTTCAAGCTTGAAGCTTCACTCTTAAGGCCTATTCCGAGCAACAGACGGATATTGCGAATACATTTGATGGCAACGCACAAGCACTAGATGGGAAGCAAAACCAGCCCTACAAGATCTATTGACATGCGCCATGGTGTCCTGCATTGAGGGAACTTGCAATCATGCCTCGCGTCGCGGGCCTGTTACAGCTGGCTGCGCGAGAGCAGGTCTCGGCGGCGCATGGACGCAGCTGCGCGGGGGAGATGGCAGGCTTTATCGCAACTGGCGGATCTCGGACGTGCAGCACTTGTACATACTCTACGAGACAGCGGTGGCAATTGCTCGGGGTTCGGAGTTTCGACCGACGCGCGAGTTGGCCAAGTCACACGGCGTCCAGTCCAGAGTACACCATCCGAGCTCGCACACACAAAGTTCGCAGTATGCCGTCGCGAGCATCAGGTCCTTCGACACCAGAGCGGGAAGACCGTCTCGGCCCGAGACTCTCCGGCTGTCAGCGAAATCCAGAAACAAAGGGCGGGACCGGCGTTACCGCGCTTCGCAGCTCACCGGTGACCCGCGGCGAAGGGTCGGTTCTTCGGCGCAATGGCATCCCCCTCGCCGTCACGGCGAAGCCAGGTGTCGTGCACCCTGGCTTGTCGGCGTCGGTCTCTTTCGGACCTTCGAAGCCGGATGTCAGCTCGAAGTCAAGAGAAGCTGCAGAGCGAAAAGGCGGTCAGAGGACGGATGGGAGGGGACTTTATACGCGAAAACGCCGGGACACGCGTTGACTCATTGTCCGTGTCTGCAGCCCGTCGTACCCCGGGTCAACTTTCCCAGTGATTTGATGCTCCTGAAAGTACGCCCGGCGGTCAAAGGTATGGGCGGGGCACGCGCCCTGCACACGCCTCTGCTTCGGTCAAGGCAAATCGGAGCACCGCTTGGGAACGACGGTCGGACTAGTTTAGTTTAAAAGGTGTTTGATGTCCAGCGGACCATCAGGCAGAAGTAGAGCAACGTCGTATCGACAGCACAGTTATACCGGCAGTTTCATTAGTGTCCATAAATTAAGAAGTGCAGGTTGGCTGATTCGGAAATGCGCGCGATGGGGCGGAACTGCCCCGGGAACCAGAAGATTGTCATATTTTCTTGGCAACTATGCTCCCTGGCGATGATGTTCGGTATGCTCTGTATTTCAGAATTCCAGTTCAGGTGGGCACTGGCTCCGCCACGGCACATTTCCTCACTCGTGCTGCATAAGAGACTCCAAAGAACACTGCTCGTTTTCATGAGATGTCACAGTTCGGGCAGGGTGTGTCCATCATTGAATCATGTTCAATTGTTGATAGTCATTAACGAATGTCGGCAATTGAATATTATCCAACCACAGACGGAAATGTGCGGACTGTGAAATCTCATGAAAACGGGTGGTATTTGCCTGACATGATACCCATGCTCATGGAAATATATAACCAACTGTCCTGTTGGTGGGTTTCTGCCAAGGGTGGGCGCCTGCCGACCTGGGCCGGGGGGAAAGGGCCCACCTTCCGGCGACGCCGCTGGGAACGGCGACATGACCCCCAGCGACGTCGCCGAAAGGGGGGGCAGGGGGGGGGGACTTGATGGGCAGAAATGCTGTCTTTCGTTTTGCAGCTGCTGCCACAATCTGCACCAGGAGCGAGCCCCAGCACGGCGACGAGCACTGGTAGCCTCAGCCAACATGGCAGCCTCACCGTGCATGGAGAGGTGCTTGCGGATTTGCTCCTGGCAGGACACTGGATCTGTTTTTGGGAAAGGATTAGGAGCACTCGTCTGCTCGAGGACATGCGTCAGCACACTGAGCCCATGGGTGGAAGGTCAGGACTGCCCATTAGGATGAAGAATTGACGCACAGGGCGCGAGCCTGCTTCAGCCCATGTAAGACGGTCAGTGGCAGTGAGCGTGGCTTGCACAAGATGTGCGCAAGAGCATTTCAAACTGGCAGCGGCCGGTGGTCCACAGACGGCATCCAGTGTTCTGGGTTTCATTATGCAACAAAAGAGATGCTATTCCGGACTAGCTGCAGAGGTCATGGGGCAGCATGGCTAATGGTCAATCTCAATCCGCTTTACCCGATTTTCGAGCCCCATGAGTAGGCGTAGTCCCGATCCCATGTGGTGCACCATCAAATTGTCAACGAACGCCGTGGCGAGTCGAAGCTGTCGACCATTCCTCCAATTCTGCAACGCGAGGGGAAAATGCAAAGATGGCTGACCGGGGTCGGAAGAAGGCACCCGGAGGGGCATTTGTATGAAGCCTGTGGGAGCCCCTGACCTCGCGAAAAGTGTAGAAGGACAGTACACGCCTCGTTGTGCACAGGTTATGGGAATCATTGCAACAGTGCCTTTGGCTGCCTGGTCCCTGCTGCATGGGAGAGTGTGCGCCGACGTCACAGGCAAGAAATGGCCCGTTGCTGCCATCTACGTGGCTCAAACGCCTGCGAGAACCAACATCCGAATGGCATTCGCAAGCCCAAGGCACATTCACAGCGCCAGGGTGGCACGCATGCCAGCCGAATGCTCCATCCAGAGTGTGCCAAGCATTGCAAAGGGCATTGAAAGCGAGCAGCTGATTTGCAGTCTTTGCACATCAGCTGGTGCACAAAAGCGTATGGTACAACGAGCTAAATTACATCATCCCCACAAAATCTGCCATCAGAGAAAATTCGTATCTTATTGCAACAAACAGATCGCAAACATCGTCTACAAGCAGGCCTTCAGTGTCACGGGAGCCCGGTCCGCCTCAAGAGCACAGCAGTTCCCACTGAGGATCGCCCGACGCTTGAAAGTGCGCTTCACGACGCAGGTCTGGCCTTGGCAGCCCTCGCCATATGCGACGACGCCAGCCTCATTCTCAGCGTCCCTAGTCAATGGCCATCACCACCGTGGACAGCATGTCGGCGCACTTGCACTTTGATCATTGCAGATCTGAAACCAGGGCGGCAACCTGATCCAGACAGTGGCGACTGGACTCTGCGGAGTGCAACCACAGCAAGAGTCAGCGAATTTGACGTGCATTGCAAGGCAACTCTGCAGCCCAGGCGCACACACGTGTGACTCAAACGCGCAGTGTCACAGGTGGGCCCCATGCTGCACAGCTAGAGTGCCTGAACACCATTGGCCAGCCTTGATTGCATCAGTGCTGCATCAACGGTTTGAAGGATGGCTTTCTTGGTGCCCTGGGTTTCTCCGGCACCATGGAAGAGGCTGCAGCACAGGTGGGGCAACAGAAAGCCAACTTGTACACATTCTTCTGGACAGTCTGCATGCCAGCTGCGGTTCTTGAGCTTGGCAAGGTGAGCGCTGCCTAGTTGAAGGGACCTACATGGCAGCCTGCCGTTTCGCTTTCACCGAGAGCAACACACTGCCCTTGTGGTTGTTCGTCCTGGCCTACACAAGGTTGTCACTAAACACAATTGCAGCCACCCATCCTGCTGATTTCTTGGAGGTGGCCGCTGCAGCACCAGTGCACAAACTTGCCATCCCTAGCTGTGAAGCTGGACCCTGCCATGGGGTGCTTGCATAATGCAAGCGCTGCAATGGCAACCCTGGGAATCAACGTTCATCGACAAAGGCTGTGCAGCATATGCGGTCGAATAGAATGGCATTCGAGAATCTTCTTGTCCTCTGCTGCGTGTCCAATCATTTATTGACTTAAGCACATGGCACCAAAGCTCATCCATGTTTTGCACAACAGGCATGATGGCCTTCTATCTTCTGCACATTTGCGATACAGCATACAAGAGTCACTGAAGCCAGCACTACAACATATGTCCAGATGGCCCGTTTACAGTTGTTCTTCCTTGGTACACCGTCAGCACAGGTTTCTATTCTGCACAAGGCCAAGCATCAAAATTCTGCCAGACAGCAACTTTTGCGCATTCAGCCAATGAAGCGTCAGATTCAAACACGTTGGCAATTTTGTGACATCCAACCTGGTAGCAGTCCCACTCCCAACAGGTAGTTTCCCTGCTTGAGGAAGAGCTCTATTTGCTGGTGATTATCAAGCTGCTCGATCACGTTGAGGACACTTCCGACATCGTTGTGTGTCTTGTAGACGAATGCAAAGTAATACAGGTACGAGAAGACCGCAATTAACATCTGCCAAACAGCAACATTATCATAATAGTCAGCTGCAGCACAGGACGCTCACGTTGGCATCGGGTCCACTGGCATTGATTGATTGCCACATTCCTGCTGGACATGATGTTCACCTTACATATCTGATTTGCTTTTCTTTGCAGGCATCTTCCAATGGCCAGGGTGCACTGTCAATCAACACCCTGTTCTGTACACCATATGCTGCCCTAAGTGTTTGACTACAGGATGGCCTCAGCTTGGGGGTCACTCATACTTGACATGCCTTCTTCAATCTTCCACAGAAGTGTGCGCACACAAGCAGTAGGAATGCAGCTGCTTGTGGGTGCCTTCACGGAATGATGCTTAGATGGCCTCAGTCACACACATGTCCCACACTGAACAGCTGCAGACATCCTTGGCGACAATAGACATAAAGACAACCGAATATCTGTGCTCTCTCACCTGGCAATCGAACCTGTCTGTTACCCCACCATGTCCAGGGATCACACCTGCAAAGTCCTTGACATGAAATGCACGTTTGAAACCACTGGCGAAGAACCCACCTGCAGCGCAACCAATTCAGTGGTAAAATTAGGCCAACGTGAGGTACAGGCACAAAAATCAGGAGCATCCTAAGTGAGGCTGCTAATCATTGGCACAAAACAAGACGTCCATTGGCTGCTCCATTCACTTTCTCTTGTTCTCCCACGACTGAATATATCATTCGGGCACCCTGCTCTCTCCTCCACCACAAACTGAACCCCTCGACCACATGTTGAAAGTCTCTGATCATTTGCGTGCGTCTGCACTTTCCTGTTCCAGGGCATCTGCCAAAGGGTGTCTGTTTAAACATGGTACAGTGGACAAGAAGTGCACCATTGCTACGAAGCCAACTCCATCAGCAGGGCATGGACGTTAGGCAGCCAGAGATTCACACAAATACAAACACCACAAATTCTTCTGGTGGAGCACGCCCTCCTGGGCATGTTGCCACGTCCAACAAGTCAGGGGCACTCACCAAAAGGTGCAACCAGTGAAGCGAACACGGCCATCACTGCCCCATGCAACACTATCGGCTTCGCCGAAAACGTGACCTCCATCATGTAGTCTCTGAAAACCGGTGGCAGCTGGAGTGAAACAAACCCCAGGAACTCCACGAAGCTGGGTGGAAGCAACACACTCACATCTTCAAGTGTGTACACCTGTGGGACATATACCTCATCCCTGGGGCACGACAGGGGCCCCATGGAGAAGTCCTGCAAGCAAAAGGCCGCATAAAGACTTGTGCATCCTGAGTTGCCCCAGATGGGAATAGGCACTCCTGCTGTCAACTGGCATCACTGAAATGGTGCTGTTGTGGCCTGTGGACAGGCAGGAAGCAATGGCTGCAACAGCAGGATCAATCCGTTGGACTTGACAAAGCAGGATTCTATACCTGTGCTCTGCAACACATCCACCTGTACAAATTTGTGCATTAGGGAAAACAGAGTTGCGCTACACAGAAAACCAGCAAGCTCTTTGTACAGCCTTCGACAATAACAGCAGCAGTCTATCTGTGGCATGCAACACCCACTCAAAAGCAATAGCCATCGCAACTTCCTTATTCGGCCATCCTCACCAACCGGGGGCACGTCATCCAATCGAACTCTGACAACCACTCTGCCAGAACGAATGACAGCCCGACAGTGATGACAAAACCACCGATGAAGCCCTCCCAAGTCTTCTTTGGCGACAGGTTGATCAGAGGGGTGCGACCAAAAAAGAAACCTGACATCACATGGCAATCAGCCCTAATCAAAGGAATGATTGCTGTCCCAATTAGTATGATCAAGGTCATGTGCTGGTCGTTCAGTTCAGATGGACAACGTTGCCCCAAGCAAAGGAGAAAGATTTTGAGGTTGGGCGCCCGTTTGGAGACTGGATGGCGTGGGAGAAAGATTGAAACCAGCACAGCGTTGATACTCAAGATAATCTGAACAATGATCTTGACAGACACATCAGTGCGGAGTTGTTGGTCTTGTGGTGGACACATATGCTCAGAGATGAAAGTAACTGGCTCTCTTTCCTGGGCCGGCGGCAAGGAAATTCCTGCTGCAGTAGCCTTTCTAAAAAACGGCCCTATCATTGTGCATATTACACATCTATTTTCAGGTGATCAATCTCCTGGGCCATAAAGTCCCTGGCACAAGGCACAAGGCTCACATCTCCTCTTGTTCCAAGGTCAGCACCTGAATTCTAGAATGTGATGAAGTCATTCACAGAGGACAACACAGTACGTCTCTTTACAGTGTCATCTAGGTGGACAGTGCTGGCCACAACTAGAATGAGACCCTGCCTTACAACAGATTGAACAGTTGTTGCAGAGTGAAGGCTGCAATGTTGCCACTTAGTGTCGACGCAGCAACAAACGCGACGAACAGCAACAGAAGCAGTGACACCCACAGCCCAAGAGGATTGCCTCACAATGCACAATTACTCCAGAACAGATCACTGCCAATGCCATAGGCTCAAGGCATCCCAGTGGCAGCTACACATGAACACGACAAAAAACTCGTGCTCTGTTTAGTTGTTTCCCTGACCACCCCAGTAACAAGTTTGGTTGGCTCAAGGGTCAATTCAAGGCCATCTTCCCTGCACCAATCGTGTACTGTGGAACACACTGTGCAGCTACACAATGCACTTTGCAATGCCGTTGGTTGGCTTCGCCATACTGTAAATGTGTCAGCTGGGACTGCAAATTCAGCAAAAGGTGGCTGAAACAACCATGTATCTCACCTGCCATGTATGCACTTATGTCATTCACAATTATGAGCGACACAGGCAACAGGAACCAGATGATTCCCTCAAAGATGTTGGACACAAAAAATGAAGATGGCACAAACACCACCAGCAAGATCATGTGCGTCCAGGCGTATTGTCCAAACTGGTACAAGTACATCCCCTTCTTCAGGCTCAGCACAAAATATATGATGCCTGCATCACAAGCACCAGAACAAACTAAGCAGCCTCAATATCCTACTATACCATGTGCGAAGTGGAACGAAAACTGCGCCCTTTGGTGCACTGCTCATAGTGCTGCTTGCATAACTGTGTGTTTTAACCAGAAATCAGTTCTCCAGTCTGTGAGCAATCTGCACCTTGAAAGCAAAACAACAGAGTGCCGCCACACTCCTCCCTGCTCAACAAGATTGCCCCTGCACATTTCAGAACCCCAACACTGTCCATCTGCATTGCCTGTTCCCAATGCACATAACTCCAATTACAACAAACGCTGGCAGCTGTAGCAAAGGAGGACAATGGTCTCTTCAACAACAAGATGCAACTGACAGACACTTTTTAACACCATTCAGATGAACGATCTGTGGCACAACAGGGCCATGAACAGAGCTTTGGTGGATTGAAAACCACAATGATCCCAACCCCAACCTCTCCACCACTAGGGAGCGCCCACCGAATGATGAATTTGCTTTCTGCTAGATAGACAGTCTTCCCGGCATCAACAGTACCTGCTGTGTAGAGAGAGTAGGACACAATCGAATGACGCTTGAGCAGCCAACCAAACAGCCGGCTGAGCTTGGCGTTAGATGTTATCTCCACCAACAGATTGTTCTTCACAAACCTTCACAGCGTAGCACTTGCTTGATAAGACAGCAGGAACTCACAGAGCCAAACCATTTTCAACGCACTCGCTCGATCGGGGTCAATATTCAGCATTGGTACCACTGACAGCCATGGCGGCTAACAGCCACAATAGAGTTCACCTGCCAGCAGTTACACGTGCAATCAAGCTGCGCAACAGACGTGCCTCTCACATCCACTCTTTGTTATCCTAAAAATTGCTGTGTGCCAAGGAAAGCGAGGCGAGTGCACAATGAGTTGTGCAGGAGCTATGGTTGCTGCCATAACAGTCCATCCATGCTGAACATACCCAATACCAGACCCTATAATAATTTTCCAAAGGACAAAACCTGGTCAATGTTGAGCAACCATTTAAACCACCAGGTGGAGGTTCGACCTGTCCACAATCCAAGACATGCATTGACCCTCGTCGACTAAAAACACCAACACAATCGCAACAACATGAAACAGACTCTGAAACCTATGACGAGGGCAGTTTGCACCACAAACACATTCTGGCTGGACTTGATTTTCCTCTGATTAACCCCTGCTGACCATGGATAACTTTTCCCTCTGGGAACGGACACGTGCCATCTTTGGAACCCCGTTGGTTCTCACAATCACTCCAAAGAGTGACAATATCTTTGGAAGCACCACGCAACGCAGCCTCCACATCGACCTGTTGTCTGCCACACTCGCTGCAGACCTTTCTCCACAGTACCACAGGCAGATTCACACGAGCCTTGTAATGGGACCAAGTGGCCAGTTTCGTTGTCCTTTTGAAACGTCTTACCTCAGATAAACATAGAAGGTCGCCACTCCAAAGAAGTACCACTGTTGGGCCCTGAACCCTGGCAGCAACTTTTTCTCTTGCTGGCCCTTTCGAGCGAGCTCAAAAAGCTCACGCACCATGCACCACTGTTGCACAAGCACCCAGGACAGATTACTCAACTATCCCTTCACACATCTGTATTCTACGCATGCGAGGACGGGGGTGCCATCTGGATGGCCAGGATTCCGGCGGGCCCTTGATTGGGGGCATCAAGAACTTGCCACATACCTGTAGGAAAAAGATCAGCATCATCAGCGGTACATGGCCCATGTAGATGGTGACAACAAAGCTGCTGATCATGGCTGCTGTGGAAGCGAACCGGACAAGGAACGATCTTATGCGTGCTTGGCGCTCAGTCAGAAGATCAACCTGCACCAGTACACAAAAGCCTTCAAATCCAGGCCTCTACAAAGTGGACAGGCCTGCCTCAATCTGACTGTCAAGCTGCTGTACTCCAAGGCTGGAAACCACAGCACTTTATAGGAAGCTGCTTCAAGGCAACCATTGTAAGGTTGTGCCATACTCAGTTGTTTCCAGAGAACGCTGTTGACAGGACCCACGTAGCACCCCCAAGATGGCAAAACTCCTTCGCTCACTGAAGTTGCAGAAACAGCCCACATCAATGTACACGGGCAGGCCAGGCATCTGCGCATCAGGCATCCAGCCGCGTGCGAGATCAGCCCCATCATTGCACCACAGCGCTGCCAATCGGCGAAGAGGCCCTTCCATCCATTGTTCGTTGCTCTTGCTTTGCAGCAACGAACGCCTTGCACACCCCAAGCCCACAAACCCAAACGCCCCCTCGGCAGCGGGCGACCTAGCGGGCCCCGTCACATGGCTCCACAGGAGCTTGATTGCGCCACACGCACCGCTGGAGTTGGCCCAGCCCGTTCCTCCTCATCCTGCACACAACCCCGCAGAAGGCCGTCACAAGCACACATAGGCCGCCCACGCCGTGTACAAGCGCCCAGCTCCGCAGTGGATATCTTGATTACATCCCCCTTCCATCGCCATCCAGCATTCCCCGGACTCCACGCCTTCCCGTGTCCACGACAGGTGGCCAGCGAATTCGCCGGCCCCAACCACCGCGCAGCCTGCGATCTCAATCACGCCCGCCCGAGCCGGTCCCCACCATGACGGCGCCGATTCTCGCGCAGGGCCGGGGGGACACCTGGCCGCGTTCGCCGCACCGCACGTCACCCGCCGATGACGCTCCCCCCACGGCAGCGTCGCATCCCGAAATCTAACCAGCGAGGCTCCTCAGCATTTCACCGCCCGCCTCCACCACCCCCGCGCAACGGCTCCAATCCGCGTTACGCATAGGTCGCGAAAATCCCCTCCGTGGCCTTCGTACCCTTCCCCACACCATCCATTCGGGCCCATTTGTCATCACCGCAAACTCACCTGCTTCCCCTCGTCGTCCACGACCTCCCTTTGCTCTTGCTTGGGTCCGGGTCCGCCCATCGCTGGCAGGCCGGCCCGCTGAGGGCCCTGCAGTAGGTCGAGGCGGTGCGCACCCCGTGGCAGGAGCTGGTGGGCCCCAACCGTGTTGGAATGGAAATGCAACGGAGCCCCTTGGAATCCGCAAACTGCGGTCTGGCAGCCCCTCAGCGGGTTCAAGGGGAACCCCAGGGCGCTTTTTTCTCATGGGGTAGGGATTTTTTGGGCCCGAACTGAGGATTCGAGAGGGGTTTGGGGGTCGGGGGCTATGAGCACATTAAACCCTAGCGCCCACCGCCCAATCCTGACCCGTCTCCATCACCGTCTCCGTTCCAAGAAGGGAAAACGGCAAAAGGGGGTGATATGTGAGATACCTTGACAAAAGGGGTCCTCTGCAAGGGTGCATTTGCCAAAAGGGGTTCCTCCGACCGCCCCCTATACATTAGGCGCGTTGCCAGACCGACAGCAGACCGGCGCCGATCGGCAAGCCGGTCGTACTAGGGGTGACCCCGCAGAGGACTCCCTTTTGTCAAATACACCCCCTGCAGAGGACCCCCTTTTGTCAATTTTCCTTTTGGGGATGTTATGGGGGTTTGTGGGGATTTTGTGATGCCATCTAAATGACCCCCCCTCCCACCCAGCCCCCACCCCCATCTACCTTTGGTGTCTCAGTTAAATGCAATTGGACTCCATAAAAATGCATGATTCATAATGAGCGATGACATGATTGTGCCAGTGTGGCATGGTTTCTAGGCTCAATGGGCATTTTTCCAACTAGATGTTGCCAATGACTTCACTTTACAGAAGCGCTCTTACAAAATCAAAGTGCTACAAGTGTCCCACATCTGCCTCCTTACAGCTGTTACCGGCCCTCAGTAGTGGTGGTTGAATTTCAATCGGTTGTGTTCGATTACAGTTCAATCTATTCAATTTAATGGCCATCGCTGTAGTCGAGTAAAAGATGGTGGGAAAGAGTACGGACATAGTCGGCCAGTTTTCCCTTGAAACGTACTAAGATGGCTGATTTTGATAGTCCTGTCACTGCTCTGTACTCAAGCAAAAACATGTGCGCAATCAGCTACATTCCAGTACGGTTAACTCAAAGCGGTCTAGGCTTAGATGTCCCCTATTCTGTGAATCTGTGATTGGGATAATCAGAGCCAGCCCAACCTGTGTAGTTTGGGTCATTTTAAGGCCAGTCGATGGGCAGCACGGTCAGCTACGGCTGCGCTGTCATTTTGCCAAGGAAAAGGGCAGTAACTAGTTTGGTTGGACCCCTAGGTTGGCGGGATGCAATACAGTTTTGAGTCACTCATTTCCAGTACACAGAATTGAGGCTATAGGTACATCAGACGGAAAGAAAGGGGCCGTAGTGTGTACAGGCCCGATGGAAAGCACCCTTGAAAAAAGGCTGGTTTGTTCGTAGGGAGCTCTTGGGTGACTTTCGCAGAGAAAGAAGGCCAAATTCTGGCCCCTTTTGAGGACGCCATGGACTGTAAGGGTTGTCATTCAACGGACCTGGACTTTTTCAAAAGGTCCTAAGACCTTCACAGGACAGGTACTGACAGGACGTAAGGGTTCAATGAGTCGTGATGGGACATGGTGTGCGGCTGCTGACAATACTTTGTTGCTTACCAACTGTATGGGAAACTGCCCTTTGGTAATTTCTGTATTGTACTGCGTCGTACACGTTCGTCACATCCCCGCATCCTGCGCCCACAAGGCCTCCGCGCCCCGCGACCTGCGACTGGTCCGAACGGAGCGACGCTGCCGTTTCACCGCGGAAAGCACTGAAAGATGGGCTGATGGCGTGGGTCAAGAGGAGCAGGCTGCCGGATTGGGTCCCGGCGCGTCGCGACGCGGACGGGGAGTTTGGCGAGGGGGCGATGGCAGGGCCCAGCCACATCCCCACTCGATGGATGGCGCCCATCCCGCGACAAGGCAAGGTGCATCCAGACCTGGCCGCCCGAGGAATGCGCGAGCTGGGCGCGCCCCTCGTCCTGAGTGAGGCAGCCTTTCTCGTCAAGCAGGGCTGCGAGGCAAGGGCCGGTGGCGCTTTGGCATGGGGCGCCATCCGCGGCTCAGGCCTCCCCAACCGATGGATCTTCGGGGCCGTGGACTCGACCGCGGCTTGGCGAGCGGCGGACGAGGGGGAGGGAACGTTCGCGTTCACTCTGCGCGGTGGGGACGGAAACGAGGCGGAGTGCTGGCAGCTGTCCAGTGGCGTCTTTGCCGCCTGCGATTTGACTATCGAGTGGATTGGAAGGAAGTTTCTGGTGAACGACCAGTGCGCGACGATGGCAAAGCTGCGTGGAGTCTTTTGAAGTGCTGGCGCTTTACTGAACGAAGTTTCAGGAGCTGTGAAAGGCGGCGAAGGGAGTCGCCTCGTTGACCGGTGATGAATTACCGCTGCTAGGCAGAGCATTAAGCAGCTAAGAGAAATTCAGTGCTGGGGTTGCGCCTCGCTTCGGTAGCGCTTGGCAATACCCCTGGAGTCCTGTTGGGTTTGAATTTGCGTATTGTGGTAACTTCCATCGTCCTGTAAGCTCCTAGGAGCTGAGTGGTTGAAGGTGCAAGAGCGGAACGCTCAGAACTCCTGGGCGATTGACAGGGCTGTGATAGTGGCTGTGTCCTTAGTGACTATCATTGAGCGCATATGGCTGATCGTTGAGTCATATTGTTGTTCCTAAGTGTAGACACCCTCCTGGCGGTGCTTGTCAACTATTTGTAACATCATGGCACTCGAACAGTTGTTTAAAACTTTGGCAAAAACACACAACATTCACCACAAGGCCTTGAGCATATGCCACAAGCATTTTCACAGATCGTCAACAACCATCCCCGAATCCCACATAACTGCCCCACGCAACTCGGTTCACACTCACAACCACATGGTTTGCCACAGATTTTTGGCCACTGGAAATTTTGGCTAACAACGCACAGCAGATATTCAGATGTCAACGCAAGGTGTGCGCAGCTCGATCCTATCTACTTCCAGGCCGCTGTCGAGCGCTCCTACAACCTGGCCCTGCTTTTGGTCTTGCTCTTTTTGGCCACAACTGCAGACGAAATATTACCAAGGTCTGCCGGCAAACATTCCAGAACAACATACACACGTCCAGAACATATCGCCCTCTAGAGCCGCTGGCGAATGTTTCTGTTCCCACAAACTGTGCCTAGTCATCTTGGCGTGGTAGTGGTAGCTGTGTATCCCCGTGAGAATCCTCCAGCTCCTCGCGAAGGGTGCTTGTAAAACGACACCAGAGTACAGGCATGAAAGAAATGAGCGAGCGTGTATCGGGACAGCGGAAAACAGGTCAATACAATAATTCACAAGCCACTGCAAGCTGTACAGAATTTGGTGCTATTGATCTCTGGTGTCTGGAGCTGCAAACTAGGGGTCCTGGCCCCATGCGTATTTTCAGCTGCACGCAAGCTTCAACACAACGCGGGGCTGTCCCCGCCGTTTTGTGGGTCAGATATTCAAATATGCGTCAATCGTTTGTGGGCGCAGGCATGCCATCCGAGAGCCACGGATGCGTTGTTCAGGTTTGTAGAATACGCTACAGGCGCGAGAATTAAGGACCGTGCTCGGCAGAACGCGAGACAAACTCCATTCCCAAAAACAGGCGAGAGGAACCGGGCTCGACGACACGAGGGTCAGCTCCTAAATCCACACGTCGCCTGCCTGGCTACAGGATTCCAGCCAGACATCCCATCTGTAGTCGAGGCGCTGGCATTGCAAACCTGGTTTTGACAGCCGCGGTCAGAAGCCGTGCTCGCAACAAATTTTGGGGGGGCGCCAGACTTGTGCGCCTCCCTGGATAGCCTGCAGCGCTTTCTGTCGTTACGAAATTCGTATTCAGAATCCAAAGATGGTGTTCTGGTATTGTTTCGTTAACGGTACAACGTTGTACCGCCTTTCCGTGCCATACAGGCAAGGGACGTTTCAGCTCCAGTATCTCTGGTTGGAGACTGTGAGTTTCCCTGTCTGTTAGCTTTCCTTTCCAGCTCTGTACGACCGGCTGTCCTCAAGGCTGGCCGAAAGTGAGTTCAGACAAAGTGGGAACAACCACACGCACCGATTGGGCGATTGGGATCAATGGCCGACATCGCCAATTGGGTGGAAGCGCTTTGCTTTCTGTGTGGGCAGCGTCATGAATATATGAATGCACCACGCTCCCCATCCCACAGAGCATCCAGACCAGGACACGGGCGGAGTGGAAGGTCATTGAGTGGCGCATGTCTGCCCTCCCAACAAGAACGCATTCAGTTGACATGGCCATCCATACATTTCGAACGGGGCACGCCATGCATCTGACCCAGCCATCCCAGCTGGTGGTATACTCGATTTGGTGCCAACAAACAGTTCACAGCCTCCTGTCCATTGTACAAATAGTAAAACACAGCTGCGCCTACTAGCCTTTCCTTGCTGCCACCTACTGCCGCCTCTTTCTGGATGCAAACGCTGACACTGACTCAACTAATGACATGATATTGAAGTTGCGTTTCTTACCGACCGGAGAACCAGCAGCTGCTTCCCCTTCTGCCTTTCTACTGGGCATCTTTTCCCCACCCACGGGGAAGGAGCCCGCTGTGTGCAAGTTGCTTTCCCCGACCTTCACCCCTGCTTCGGCAAACGCCGCAACCGCCGCTTTGCGAGCGCACTCCCTCAACCTCGGTCCCACCTTGTGACCCATGACCTTCTTGAACACCTCCCCTGAAAACCGAGCGCGGTGCTGCAGGCCTGGCACAGCACGGAACCCACCATGCACCCCGGCTCTGGACTTGTTCTGGCTCCTCACATTCAAACCCACCCCTGTGTCTGATTTGACAGCACCAGCTTTTGATTCCAACGCCTTGAGCAGCCCCTGGTTCGCATCAGCAAACCACCTGGCGTCCTTTGCGGGACCCTCGCCGATTTTCTTGGCCATCAGGCCCAAGGCGTGCTGCCTAGGAATCACCACTACTCGGATAGGTCTGCCACTGTTTCCAGTCACAATGAGCATCACGCGTACGGAATCTGGGGTCTCGTGCACACTGCCACCACGGATCGGCTTGAAAGTCCCGCTGCATTCCATGTCATCAACGTTCGCCACACGAATGCGGCAACACTCTTCAGGGTCTGTCACACAGGCCCCTTGCTCAGGGTTGATGGTTGCCCAAACAGTCCTAAGTTCCTCTGCCATGTACGGTTCCTGCACACAACCCACCCAAAACAATATGTCAACCATGAAAGTGCAGCGGCCCACTGGATGCCACCCACGGCTGTCAAATCGCTGTCCAGGGCAAGGCGACAGGGCGCTTGCTGTCCTATGAGCATCAGCACTGGAGTATGAATGTTGTGCCCTCAACTTTTGCACAGATGAAGACCTATCAATGGGAGAAAACAATATCTGTTTTGCATTGTCCACTGTCCCCTGGGCACCTTTGATGCTGGATCAAGGGACACACATAAGTGGAAGAATGGCACTGATGTACTGCCCCGCATCGCCTTGACTCAAAGTAAACACACCACTCAATCACTTGTGGCACATAAATCCACAGTGACAATTGTGGAGTCAAGTGCATGGCCAGGCAGGTTAACACAGTTGCGACAGCGTACCCCTAGTCTAAAGCATCAGCTCCTGAGATTTTCTCGTCACAGGCACAGCAGATGTGTCAAGCCTAACTGGGGCAGGGGCACATTCGTACATGTCGCAGTGGTAGCCAGAGGTCGTCGTCTGCTCGCCACACGCTTGAACCCAAAGCTGGGCCTCCTGAGACCATGGACCTTAGGGCATCAAGCTTGTAAGCTGTGCACGACAGCCCCCCCTTGTTGGTCAAGAAATGAAAGGCACCAGATTCTGGTGGTGGCCGCAGAAGAGGCTGCTTCATGGTTGCAACAGAAGTTTTCCTCTTCTCTTCTTTAATGGCTGTGACGTGGGCAAACACAACCCGCTTAACAAACCTTTATGGCTGTGAAATAGACGCAGGCTCTGGGTGCACTCCAGTTCAACTGCCACCAACTCGTGTGTAATATTCACTAACTGTATTGGCCAATAAGTGACAGAGCGCAGCACCAACACCTGCAAGGACATGTCGGGCAGCATCAAATGGTGCAGAGACGGATGTTTGGGCAAGCGTCCCAATGGTATAGACAACTGCAAGGACTATATGAACACTGGGTGACACACGACATTACCATGTTGTGATTCCAAACCACTAAAGGCACATTTGTATCACGTGCCTTCCTGTTAGGGATGCGCTCGCAGCCACGTTCACACCCACATTCACTCAGTGGCGGAGAACACAGAGAGTGTTCCCTTTCCACACACAACCCTCGTGGGCAGAGGGGAAAATGCTGTCAGCCTCAGTTGGCCATTCCAGGTGGAGAGTTCAATGGAGCCCAACTGGGCATCGCCAAATGGATGCGGCTGCCAATCGGTTGATCACACTGGTGACAAGGCGTCAAAGCGCATTCACATTTGCAAGAAAATGTTGGCCGTTAGTTCATCCAAAGCAATTCTTCTCCACTGTTGGGTGCTGCTCAGGCACGATTTGACAAAGCTTTGGATACAGGCACCACAGTCCATGCACTGTCACAACAGGAACAGCTCAATATTTCTCACCTAAAGCAAAGCGGTCAATGGCCAGAGTTGGGATCTGCAAGACGTATTTCCTTGTTGGTGGAAGCGGCATTCTTGGGTCGGTAGCTACATCATTGGGATTCAACTGGTTCGATGGTATCCGCATAGGATAGTCTTCCTCTTGAAAGTGGGTGTTGGGATCAAACACAGCCACAAATGGAAGATGGCATGCATCCAGACGACGAAGCTTGTTCCTGTTCTTCTTTCCCTTCACATCCACCATCTTCTCTAGGTATTTTTTCTGGGAGGCAGAAAAATCACAGGGAAAACATCAGCCGCAATGCAGATATGACAGTCATAACAATACAGCAAGAACAATCACCTGAACAGATGTATCCACACCAACAGTGTTGTGGATCACAGTGGCCAGGTCACGCATTTGACGTGTGCGAAACACATGAAACATAACAAACAGCGCATGTGCGGCACTGTAGCAAGTCAAGTTCCCTGAAAATCGCTACACTCTCTGCTAAGGGGCCAGGCTTCTATGAAGTGCGACAATGTTCCAGCAGCACGTTGTAGGGCCGCAGCGGTCATCAATCTGTGAGCCACAGTGAGATCCACCCCAACTACAAGTGACAGAGCACGTAGCACACTGCAGAAGAGGGGTCAACCCAGCTTGCTGGCTTAGAAATCGTGACTCTATCATTCCTTGGCAACAGAAGACAAGGACAGAAGAGGACCATTCTAAAACTGTGGTACGCACCAAGCAATCAAGGAGCAGCTGTTTTGGCGTTTTCTTTTGAATTGTTCAGCTGACAATGTCCATGCAGAATGGACCAAATGGAAGCACTACAAAGGATCCTAGAGTTCTGGCGGCCTGCATACTGTAGGCCCAAAGGCCTGCACCATTGCTCCTGCAAGAGTAGCAGGTGCTTGAAGCAAACGCCAATCATGAAAGGAACACCATTGCAAAGGACCACAGATTGGAGATGCCAAATTGAATGCGTATACATTGTGCCAAATGCAGCTAGTGCAGCAAATAATTTGGCAAGGGCAGCCTTGTTATTGTGATACAACAGCCCACACGGACCGTGTCTTGCCGACTGGACGTCAGCAGGCCAACGTGTAGTGCTCATGCTGCCATGAGCGCGACGCATGAGGCCACACAGCAGAGACCAACAATTGTGCTGCAACATAGTCAGGCGGAGGGCTTGAATCGCAGGCATGCACAGCTGCCCTAATGAAGCCAACACCATTCTACACACAACACAGGCTGGGGTGCTTAAACACAGTGGCATGCGGGTCAATACGCCAGATAGTGGCCTGCCAATCTTCTCCATTGACATGCCTGTTACTGGGCGAGAACAGCAGCGAAAAAGCAGACAAGCTGTTGTGCTGAAACTACAGTACGAGCACCTAAACTGGAGTGACTCACCGCTCGCAGCCTCATTCCCATAGTGACCCTAAGTCTCTTCCGTCCACACTCATCCTCCTCATCTGTGCTGGTGCAGTAGTAGTCACTGTCACACTCGTGACAAGCAGCATGGAACATTCTGCATGCCAGCCGTGCTCTGAACCGACCAGGGATATCTTGGCCTCCAAAAACCTTGCTCATTCGTTTGAATCCCTTTGTCATGGCATCTCTTAACTTTTGGTTGAAATCCATCCTCTTCAGCCAAGCTTCATCGCCAACATGGGAAGGCTTTGGAGGTGTGCCTGGTACACTGCTGCTCATCCTTGTTCCTTGAACACTGCCGCCATACGAATTCCATGGCATGTTGTTCTGAAGAGTCCTCCAATCGGGAGACTGTGAATGCTGGCCTTGCCAATTTCGCTGATAATTGTGGCCAGACCATGCACTTCTGGAATGGCTGTATCTCTGCCAGGATGGGTGTGAGCTAGTTTCTGATGGCGCTCTTTCAACAGCAGGGATTGGCACAGTGCGTGGGGGCTCCCATCTGCTCCGCTTCCGCATCCCCTGCTGCTGTTGGTGACTTGCGGCATTCCCATCCATCTGTTAGCACAGCAAAACGCAACAGATAAATCACTCAGTCACGTGCGCAGACAGCTTGAAACACATCAGTATGATTATTTCCCAAGCAATCTTGGATTGTGGTGACCACGACCGCGGGCAGACTAGCAGTCACAACGGCACAACATCTTCAGGATGCTCAATAGCTAGTCTCCCGGGGATCCATTTGGCGAAGGAAGACAACAATTGCGTCTGTTTGCCTTCTTCAACACACTAATCTAACATGCAGCCTGCACCCAACCTCAACGGACATCGAACCTGCAGCTCAAATTCTACCTTCATATCATCTTCCTTACGCTTGACAGCCACTCCGGCATTGTCCAAATGCTTGTCCGAATGGGGATCCCTGGGGGGAGATCCAGGAGGCGGCGGAGGCAGTGGAGAAACGCCCGGTGGTGGAACGTCTGCCCCAGGGTCTGGTGGAGGAAGGGGCGGGGGGTCGACTGGTGGGACTGGGGGTGCGACTCCTGAAGGATGCCCCGGTGGCGGCTGACCTGGAGGCGTCCTTGGCGGAGGGGGGCGGTGGGCTGCCTGCTGTGGCAATGGCTGCCTGGCTTGGACTTGGTCAGGTGGCGGACCCGGGGGCAGGGGGGGATGCCACTGCTGGCCACTGCCATGTGGCCTGTAACTCGGAGCAGACCAGTGTTGACTGCGGTAGTTTGCCATTTGCTGTGCAGGAGGATGCTGATACTGACCAGCCAAGGGTTGGTATCGCTGCATATCGTGGGACCTAGGGCTTAGTCTCGAGTCAGCATGGCCAGAAGACTGCCAGCGCCTGTGCCCATCCATTCGAGCTTCGCCTCCCCTCTGCCAGTCTTGTCTTCCTCCGCCTTCTGCACTCTGTCTTTCCCTGTGGTTCTCCGCATTGCCAGGCACAGATTTCCAAGGTGGCACATGGTCAGCATATGCAGTGTGACCCCCACTAGTAGGAATGCCAGCTTGAGGATGGGGACCTCCCCATCCAGCATTGCTGCCATGGGGAGGGAGGGCACCTCGCACAGTGCCGCCACCTTGAAGAGAAGTGCTCCCTGAAAAGCGTTGCCCTGAGCTGGTGCCACTCAAACCGCTGCTCTTCCAAGGAGGAGCGTCATCCCTGATGTCGTGGCTGTGCCTATTAGGACGCTTGTAGGGCTGGCCCGCAACCCAGACATCGTCTTTAAACGTTTGGGGTCCTCTTGATCTGGGTGGCGATCTTCTCACAAACCGCCAGTCCCTCCTGCCATCAGAGGGCAGTGATCTGCGATCGCTCCTGTGATTTTGGCCACCATGGTCCCAATCCCTGTGACTGTGCACTGTTGAGGAGGCCACATTTCCATCCATTAACTTATCTGGCTCTTTCTCCTTGTCTTTTCCTGCCTGCCTCAGGGACGCAGATGGGGCATGTAGTGTGGTGGAGCCCATGTGTGGCAGTGACCTTCCAACAGAGGTCGTGGGAGTCTCTTGGTGGATGGGCAGTGACTGTGGACGGGAGTCAGGCAACACCTCTGGCGCCTTGACAGGATAGTCTTGTTGCTGGTGACCAGGCACAGGTTCCGATCGAGCTGGTGGTTGCAACACCATTTCTGGCTTGCCCTCACAGCTGTGCTGCTGCTTGACATCTTTGCCAAACACTGGCGCAGAAGCCTCCCTTGATGGAGCACCACCAGCCCCCGGAGTCTCGTGTGTTCCACTCTGCTCCCTGTCCTGTGAACCACTTGTGCTGGCACCCAAGCGTGCAGAGCCCTCCCTTCCTGCTTTGCCATCCTTCATGCCATCTTCCTTCCACCGTTGCAACTGGTGGACACCTGGTCGCTCTGTCACCAATGGTCTGGGCGTTGTCACCTTGTCGCCCCCCAAGTCAGGTGCAGAAGCTGCAGACTGAGCTGGCCCATCTACCTGGGTGCCCCATCTCTGGTGTTTCAGCTTCTGCATTCGGGCCTGGCGCTCAGCATCGCCCAGCTGACCACTGTTCACAACCAGGTTACCAACTTCTGAGTGGGGGGCAGGCACCCTGTTCAAGGATCCACCTGTACTGCCCAACGCAGCCACTCCATCGTTGGCCATCCTCACAGTCAAGGATTGGGAAATCGCTGATGGCCTGAATTGATCAGGGCCACACGAGTCAGGGCTGTCCTGATGGACAACATTCTGGTGGTCACCAGGTGCCTGCTCATGTGCACTGTACATTTGATTTTTGTCATCACCATCACCTGGTGGAGCCTGCAGGGCCACATGTGCGATGCTGTCGTCTGCTGCCCTCTGACCTGAGGAACAAGCAACTTCCCCTGGCTCTCGGTCTGCTGGTACATGCAGAGGTTCTGGACCCCAGCGGTGCTTGCTTCCGTGCCTGTGCACCACACAATATGCAACCTGTTCATTAGTTTGCTGATTGTTGTCTCATCAAATAGCACATCGGCATAGAATGGTGTCATAATCAATTGCCAAATGCATTCTCAGACCATTCATGGCCAAGTGCAAGGGCTGCTACCCATCGCCAACAAAACAAAGGTGAAAGATAAAGGGAAGGCCGCACACACAGCTAGCGCTGGATTCAACAGTCTTCCTGGAATCAGTCCACATTTGCTACAAGATTAAATCAATGCCCAGCTGCACTTGTCCAAGCAAGCAGCAATGAAAATTGTTGGTGAAGCATTTCACGTATCAAAAGCAAATGGACGACAAAGCCAGTTACTTCTTATGAACTACACAACAACTATTCTGCAGCCGAAATGCCCAATATCCCTTCGGCATGATTGCCACCAATTTTCTCCTGGCACAACAAGGGACCCCCAGTTACCACTTGGGCACACACACACACAAACAGACAATGTGGGCATGGCCACTGAGCAAACCTTGACCAGGCGTTCAGCTCTGTCAATGTCAACCTTGCTGTAGCCTGGCCAACCAACAGAAATTGATGCACAAACGCCAACACAGCCCCACAACCTGTCCTTGCTGTGTTGCCACCGCCTCCGCTCATGCTCATGCCTGTCCCTGTATTGTCGATTCTGTCCTTGCCATTCGCTGTGTTGTTGGTGAACACCTTCAGATCTATGCACCAACGAACAAATAAATGGAGATCAACATCCAGGAGAAAGACAGCTCCTGCTCTGTGGTCATCCACAGGTTTAACACAATGAATGTGTGACAAATACTCAACTCGTTGCATCTGTATGACATTGACAGTCAGAATTATGGGAACAAGCTTGTTCTTTCTGCAGCGTTTGTTCCTGCCACCACAATTGAAAATCCAGATATGTCCCCGAAAGACAAAAGAACCTCACATACCACAACAAAAATGAACAACACACACAGGTATCACATATTCGTGCCCTGTGCATTTGTGCGAGATCCACCATATACTTTGCCCAACATCAGCCATATTCACCGTGGATTCCTGAACACACAGGCACTCCAAGCATGCGAATATTAGCCCCAGTCGTGAACAGACCAATGCAGCCACCCTATGGCGTCAGGCTGGATCCTCAATCAAAAAGCACAGACAGCGCAGACCAGAGGGTGACTGCCTAGGCAGATCAGGCCCAACTGACCCACAGAGAAGTGCGCTTCAACTTCGCAGAGGGCCTGTTGTAAATCAGCCAAAATAGGCGTAATGCCGAAGTTGACATTCCCCATGGCAGCCCATGCACGTCTGCACAATGTCGCTGTTTTCACTGACCAATCATGCCGTCGCCCTGTCCTCACCTCTTATGAACCGGGCTTTCGCTGCGCCATCCGCTGCGGGGAGATGCCGCCCGGCGGTGCGCAACGCGGCCAACCTGCGGCACACGCACAACAGCAACGGCGCTACCGCTAGTGAAGGAGGGACAAGACAACACCCGAATCCCGATTGGAGCCACTCCAGTCGATGCACATTTTTTACCCTCCGTCCAGGCGTTGCCCCACGCACCCATCTACAAACAGTTGTATTTTGCACCCACAATTCCACAACTCCACCCTCTCTCCACAGTCGCAGGCCAATCCAAAACAATCCCACGACCGCGCCCCAGCACCCAGGTTGGCCACACGCCACACACCCGCCGGCCATCGAAATAAAATCGCATCGGCGCCGGAACGCGAATGCCGTAAGAACAACGATTCGGGTGTTTGCGTGGGCCGGACTCATCCACAGAATGCGTTCTGGGGGCCGTGGAACCCCTTCTCCGCCCCCTCCCCGCCCCCCCCTCGACTCGCCCACCTCTCCCGGCTCCCAGTCGCGCCGGCGCCCGCTGTCCGCCCCCCTGGCGGGCCGCGTCTTGTGCGACATTGGTTGGGGCAGTGACGGTGCTGCGGCCCACTGGCCGTGAAGGGAGTGAATGCAGGGAGCGGTCGGTCATCACCAGCATCCGCGGTCATGTGATTGTGAGCACATTTTCATTCCGCTGGCGAAGGCAGGAAGCGTCGAGGAGTGGCGGTCTCTGACCGGGGACCGCAGGCTCGAGTGCACGGCAAAGCTTTACAGCGGAGCAAAGGGACAGCAGGAGTTCTGTCCCTTATGTCCGGCCCGCTCATCAGTGTCCTTAGTTCAGTTCCTATTGTCTCATCGCCCCTTTATGCGTCGAGCTATTAATGATGCTCAATCAGTTCCTGTTACAACAGCGTGGTATTGAAATACCAGCATGATGGAGCGCTTTATAGTTCTTCTTCACTCCGCTGGATGCTCCCAACGCTGCGTTCAATGACAGCTGTCCGACCCTGACGCTTCGCCGATTGTCAAGTAGTTTTGACCTGGCGTTGGAAGAGTCCGGCGGAGCGCAGCAAAAATGCTTCATCATGCTTGTATTTCAACACCGGCGTGTTTTTGTGCTGTCGGGGTCCTGTCGGGGTCTGTTCGGGGGGGCGGGGGGCGCTGTCGCTCTGCGTGTCGCAAGGACTCGCAATTTGTGGTGAAACGCATGTTGCAAAGTGTGTGCGCCATTCCAGGGACGAAAGGGCGCCGGAATGCCCCGCTTCCAGTCACGAACGATTCGTTGGCCTTGTGGAGGACCCCTCTCAGCGGAGGGGAGAAAGATTCCAACTGTTCAGTGGGGGACACTGAACTGTTCAATCTGAACAGCGTTACCTTCCTCCTGCACTACGTCCCCCCACCCACCCACCCACCCACCCATGCCTCCCACCACTTCTCCCCCAAATAGAATTCAACTCCGTAACGCTCACCACTTTTGCGTTTCATCCCACTGTTTCGTTGCTGCATCACATCAGCAACATCAGTTGCCTCTGGCAACTGCTGTGATGGCTTCAACATATGGGCACGAGTGCACATTCACACTTGTACAAACTATAACAGGTAGGTGGCAGCTCGCCTGTTGCCAATAAGCCAAAGGTACAGCCTTACACACATTGTGCCATTTGGACGTCGTATTGATCAGCAGATGCCCTGCACATTGGGGGCAATGGCTGTACATCGCTCTGTCAAAAGTAGACCAATAGAGGTTGATGTAGCAAGATGCTCCACAAAGCATGGGTCTCCCCAGCCTTGCAAGATTCTTGATACTCTGTTCCATACTGCCAAGAGTGTAAGAGGGAAATGCAGATTGACACCAAACCAGAAAGTGCAGTGTATTCTTCGATTGGCACCAGTTGCACATGAACGATGAATTGAAACTTCCTTTGCTATCCTGGTAAGCGCCCATTGCTCATTTTGGACACGTGGTTGGCACTGTAAGCTTGCACAAGCTAGAGAGCACATCGACCAGTTGCAGGACACTGCTCCAATGTCTACTCACCAAATAAGGCAACAATAGCTACAAGCACAAAACTGTTGGGCTGAGGGGCCAATTACGCTAGAACAGGCACCCAATGCTGCTCAACTTCTGGAAAACCTATTTGAGCACCTCAATGGAGGCTCAATTTTACACTGCCTCGCATACTGCTCACCACTGCGTCCGTTTGCAACCCCCCCATACACTACCTTTCCAGAATGTAGTCCTATCACCACCAGAAACAGCAGATCCCTCATGGGCTCCACTTATCATGCACCACCGACCACAAGTAGCTGTGGCAACAGGGTGCCACATTGCATGCTTCGGACTGCATGACCATGCATCAACTGGAATGAAGGTGCCTGGGCAGCATTAGTTTTGATGAACAAACTGCCATCACATTGGAATCCAAAACATTTGAATTGCCTGCATGTCCTCATGTGCCCATCCTCCAATGGGTTCCCTGCTCCCCAGGCACCTTGTGATCCTCAGGCATTGGTCTTGCCTCATACACAGCCTCCACAGCCTCCCGCCTCCTCTCTGTGAATTCGCCTTTCAAACCGATGAAGTGAATCTCGCTGTGATCGGCACCAAAGTTCTCAGGGAAGTGCAGTGTCAAGCCATGCACTCCTTGGAACTTTGCCACATGTGTTGGGTATTCCAGCAACCCCCTGTGGTCCTCATGCAGAGTCCATTCCTGTACCGGAGGCAGATCCTCCACCGCTGAAAAATCTAAGTCATCCCTGTTGACAAAGGCCCTCAATTTTCCAGGGCTTGTGCCGTCCATGCCTCCAATGACAGAGATCCCCTTTATGGCCAGGGCACCAGTGAAAGGAATGTACAGGAGCAATTCTGGGTCGTCTGCATTGCTCCTCAGGGAAGGGCCCGAGAAGTCAGTCCGCTGGGACCACGGTTTGAAAACGTTCCTGCAGCTCTCGGGCTGCCAACCAGAGACAAACACATCATCACGGCAAGAAGCAGCGATTCACTGGCAATTAGAAAACCTGCAAATATTGTGGCATCCTTGCAACATTTTTGAGACAAATGCTGCTAGTCAGCACAGCAGCAACCTTTGCCAGGTCGTTTGAAGATTGCTGATGTTCAAGCTACTGCTTGTTCAGATTGTTTTCTGCACATCGTTTCAATCCACCTGTGGAGCGTTCATTGGCTCAGCGTCATCCTAGGATTGGCAAGGTGGGAAAAAGGACATCTTGACAGAGGTTTGGCAATTGTCTTCCTAGTTGTGGAATTCTGTGTTGCACGCTATTCCTTTGGAAGCAATCGTGTGGGCGGCAATTTATCAGTGACGAACAAAGATCTTGCACCAAATGATGGCGCGCAAAACGTTCCATCAAAGTTTGTTCAGTTCCACTGGCATCGGATTTTGCATCGCCCACAGCACATAACAACACATCGCAGAACAAGAAAACAAAACACATCTGTCGTCCGCAGCAGGGGCTGCCCATTCCACGACTTGTTCCTTTTCTGGCACAGAACAACACAGTCCCCTGTGTTTGGGCATTCTTCCACTGGCGCACCTCAGACTCGTTCAGGCATGTGACGCGCGCCAAGTCGATGTGCTTGTAAAGCGAATACGAGACCCCGCAGTCCGCCTCGCCGCAGTCGTGATCGTGGGCGCAGGTGCCGCGAAAGCTGGGCATCCTCGTCCCTCTCCGCTTCTCCGTGTCGAGCAGCGACTGCCCTGAAGTGGCGCTGAAGTGTCCCAAAAAAGGCGTGTTGGGTGCCAAGTCACGTTGCTGACGTGGAGACGCCACAGCAAGTTGTTGTAGTCAGAACTGATCGAGTATCATTAAGAGCTGGACGCATGGAGGTTATGAGGCATTAGGAGTTGCATCAAGGACATCGATGAACGGACCGGATATAAGGGACAACCTTCGCTCCTCTGTAAACCGTTGCCGTGAACTCGAGCCCACGGTTCCCAGTCAGCGGTCGCCACCCCTACACCCTGCCTGCCTTCGTCAGCGTCAACACCAACGCTGCGTGCCCTTTGCCCAACTTGAAGTTCTCTAGTAGCTTGGCTTTCGGGGTCCAGTGTACCAACTGTGCTGAGGCCTCAATGTCCGCAATGGACTCTACGGCGCCAGCCGCATGCATCCGCCATCCAGTCGGTGCTGTGGGCTATTTGCTGAAGGACGTGAGCTCTTTACTACTTAGGGAACACCAAGCCCAAAAGAACAGGCAGAATGTTCTTTACCAAACACTCTCTAGTACAGGGCATACTGTCAGCAAATTGCTCACCATGCCACTGCAAAGCCAGGGAGGGAACCCAATTTGCGCAACATGCACTTTGTTTTCCGCCGGGCCGGGCTCCTTGTCCCACCCAGGTCCACACACACACTGGACCAATACATTACACGACATTGTTTGTCCCAATACAACCCGAGGTACCCACAACTTAGTGTGCCCAATCGCTTCGCTAGTAGTTAAGCCAGTCCCATACAAGACTCAGCCCTTGAGTCAGACCCACCACTCCTCATTTCCACGTCCTTAACTCCCACACTTGCCCAAATCAACCGAACATCACCCTAATAGGGGGGGCCGGGTGGGAAGCGAAACAAGATAAGGTGGGGACCGAGGGGTGAGCCTAAGTAGCCTCCCCGCTCGCGCCCGCCAAAGCCCGCCGCTCCCAAGGGCGCCAAAAACCACTGGCCCTCCTTGAACGCGACGAACCAGCCACTGACCCAAGGTACGGGGGGACAGAAACCCCAAGGGGCCGCCAAAACCATTGTACTTTAAGCAGCGCTGTCCCAAGTGGGTCAGCGCGCCCGCCCCTCGTCGCCCTGGGCGGAAACCACTTAACAAGATAGTTAATCCCATTTCCGCCGGGCCGGGCTCCTTGTCCCACCCAGGTCCACACACACATTGGACCAATACATTACACGACATTGTTTGTCCCAATACAACCCGAGGTACCCACAACTTTGTGTGCCCAGTCACCCTCAAACACACTGCGCTCCTCCGGAGCAGAAGATGTGGCCATACCTATCATGCAAGTCCCGGGCGGTAATCGTCATCCACCCGAAAAGGCGATAGTCCCACTCTGATGGGATGCGATACACATCGATGTACCGCCAGAGGGCAGCGCCCCGCCAGTCGCCCCAGTGGCGGATGCGCTATTCGGGCACCTCCAAGGCGAAGCAGGCCGACGCCCCACCCGCGCGTAGACCATGGTGATCGAAAGCGCCCGGGTGCAGGTCGGGAGAGGAGGCCAGGAGGTCCCGAAACCAGGAGGAAACCGTGCGGGCGGACGGGTCGCGTTCGCCCGGGAGCGTGTAGAAATGCGTCGGCGTCCCACCCGCATCCGCCCAGGCGCGATCCCGAAAGGCTCCCCAACGCAGGAGCAAATTCACCAGCTCGGGGGCGCCCTGCGAAGGCCAGGAACGGAGGCGGACCGCCGGGTCCGAATCGGGCTTGAGCTTGGTCTTGCGTTCCCGGAAGATCACAACGCCATCCGTCACCCGCACGTCGTCCAACAGAATGAAATGGCCGCTCTGGGCCCGATTAAA